CTTGAATAAAAGATTTATAAATATATATATATACATATATATATATATTGTAATCATGTAAACCCCGGCACGCTGAATGTGCTCCGTATATGAAAAATGAGGCACCCTCCCACCGGGCAAGGAGGGGAAGGGATGACCATCTAAGATACGACACAAGACCAAGTCGTATGGTGAAGGTCTCCGAAGATGACAAGATGGAGGGGGGCTCTCAAAGCGGAGGTGTTCGGGAAGCCACATGAGAAACTGGTCAGCATACCTGCTCTTCCCTACTCTGGTCTGGTCTGCACATTCCCCTCTTCCTCCCCGGTCAACCCCAGTTTACAAATCAAGAAATGAACATCCAAGTCAAAATAGGCAACAAGACGACCGCCTGGTCCACGGCGCGAGACTGCAAACAAAAACAAAGCCGTGGGAGCCGCTGAGACTCGTTTCGGATCGACAGGGAGTGGCTGCCCACAGACAGTGGAGCATTGTATGGCACAACTGTGCAGTGTGGTCCAGGCCAGTCATGAGAATGTCAAGCGCATAAAGCGACAAAATTTGATTCTCATAGGGAGTTGGTAATTCAAATGACCGTGCGGATACTGCGACTTATACTGCATATTATTTCTTTTCTTGACATTGTACATAGTCAGTCAGGTTGGCTGCACTTGACAAACCGTCAAGACCATGAGACCATGAGACCATGAGACCCTGAGACCACCTATTATTGTACGATGCCGGTGTCTCTTTGGTGCGTTTTCTAATTGTGGGAAATGCCAGGCTTCGTGGACGAGGACCAGCCTCAAACCCTCGTTTGCTTTTGCTCTCCTCTTGGTTTTTCTGTCTTTTGTCTTGTTTGTTCTTGGCACAAAAACAAGAAAAGCTCCGGTGCAACGCGTTGAAATATGGACACATGGTCAACCCGCCAAAAGTATGACGGCTCCACCAAGAGGAACAGAAAATGAATGAAAACTAAGAAAAAAAATGTAATAAACATAAGGGAGGATGACTGGGCCTTATTTGATATCGTCACATTGGATAGGTCCGGTCTCGCCGCCTTAAAAGGTTGTAAGCATTTTTTCGGCCTCGTAATTTATTGCTTCGCCCGGTCATAAGCGAAATCCAAGGCAAAAAGCGTCATAAATTACTGCCAAATGGAGAAATGAAAATACATGCGAAGGAACCCAGTAACTGTTCGGTTCAAAGAGGGGTGTGCGGCAACGGCAACAGGGCAACAAACACAAGCACTTCGTAGCGAGCTGCACCCATAGAATTCAGCGACAAACCACCCACCTACTTCTCTGCCGCACTCATGCAGGTCTCGCTATGATGGTTGCAGCCCTCTTTCTTCCCGTCTTCATTTAGCCCCAAAATATTTGAGCCCGTGCTACGTTTTACTCTTGTGCTTCTGAGCACGGCATGTCGGCCAGCGAAGAATACGCAATAATTAGGAGAATAAAAAATAATACGACGCACCAGAGTGAATGGGTGGTTGGCATGAAGAAGCAAGACTGAAGAAATCGACTGCTCATATGCATGTTTACGAAAAGAGGAAGAAATTTATCACTTTATCTTGTCATTTTGCATTACCTGTGTGATGAGAAAGGCGGAAATAAGGATGAAAGGTCAAAGACAAAAGTAGAAAAATATCAGAAGAGATAAAATACGAGCGTCGCAGGTCGTATGGCGCATCCTTCCTGCCGTGCTTGTGCGTCAACCCGGGTCCTCTTTGGTGTTATTCCATCCTTCTTGTGTCCTCTTGCACTCCCATTCGATTCCAAAGCTCAGCTGGCAAAGCCACATACACAAACACACACAAACACACACACATCCAACCGTCGACTGCCGGGTCAACTCACACAAAACCAAACGTTAAATGGGTAAAAAGGGTAACGTGGGAAAGTGATGACCCGAACTGTGAGCATGTGGCCATGTCAGGGTCCCGACTGAAAGGGCACCGGGACAGATCGTGGGAGGACAAGATGCCACAAGAGCGCTCACTGACGACACAACAAGACACAAAAAACGATACCGTCGGAGAGAAATGACGCAGTGACAGTGAGGACAGCCCACTTGACGTCTTGGAAAGGAGACGAACGCAGTGAAAGGAGTGAGCGCATCATGATACAATGAGTCTTTTTCCGTACCATGACGATCCAGCCAAAAGATTTATTACGGGAGATTTTGTTTTCATCATATTTTCATTAGTTAATGCATTCCTTAATGTCAACATATGTCTATGCACCCGAGATATGACGAAGTGATACTTGGTCGCCGAACAAGAAAGTCTCTCGGATCAAAAGCAGGACGAGTCATCATTGTGCACGCTTCGTGTGGTACAGTATCTGCCTTTCTTGAAGGGATTTGCCTTTTAATTTTTCTGATTTTTTTGTAAAAATGTAATACCCATGTTTTGCTGTGCTTCCTTGTTTGACGTGCAGGTACGAGTATTCAAAGCTGGTCTGGCGGCGCGGGATCATACTCGTGTACGTATGGGTGTGACTACGGAGTATTTTAGTTTCACCTATCGCGGTGCTCTCTGTACACTGGAAACGACTTACGAGACATCCCTTTCCTCTCTATATCCTTGCACATACGTTTGAATGTCTCACGAGGCGACCAGAGTCTCGGGACGGAGTGTGAGTGAGTGGTATGAGAAGGCACATAGTACAATGTTGCACGATGAAGCTTTATTTTTCACATCCACAGTTCGAGCATCATTAGCACAATCTTGTAATTCACCCTTGTTGTCCTTGTTCCAAAATATCAATAATCACCCTACCAGACGGCAAAAATATTTTTAATAAAGTACAGAAGCGTGCCATGTTCCTTGTAGCCATTCTGCCTTTTCGCTTTTCTGTCCTCATAGACCTGTCGTGTGAGCCTCACAGTTGGCGTGGCTTTTGTCGACGGGTCGGGTGCATGGAGGAGACGCAGGTGTATGCAAGTTGACAGGCAAGCGTTGGCATATGCAGGAAACTGCAGGTAGATGTGCACAGTGCATGCACTCATCATTTTTCATCGCTGAAATTTAGTAAGGAGAAAGGCAATTAACGTTTGTACAGCGCACACATACATGCATTCACATACATACGCGAAATCAGTGCCCTTCAGAACATTCTTACTGGACGAAAAATGACAAGAGTGAATTCGCCGCAAGAGCCGCCAAAAAGTTTATCAAACGCTGGGGAAAATATCAGAGGCAGACGCAACACAACACCGGCAGAGTGAGGTCCTTTTGCTCCGAAGCCTTTGTTTCCGTGGAAGAAAAACGAATGGGGATAAATATAGTGCACAAGATGGCACTCGTCGTAATCCAAGGGCGATCAGCCTCGTGTTCTCTTTCCACTGCCTCGAAGGAGCTCTTCATGCCCACGCGTCCTCGCGTCGTACATGTACGATCCATGTCAGCCCGTCCAATCCTTAACCTCTGTTGATTGCCACAGGAGGTGCCACAGTTGCCGGCAGCCCTGACTGCATATGATCGTGTGTGTCCCTTGTATGCATACCTTCCTCTCACCTGCAGGCGACGTCCCACCCAGTCTTATTCTTTAGCTCTCTCGCCCCAAGGCCGGGGATGACATACCACTTTTTGGCGCAGCATCCTGATGCATTTTCATATGCAGGTCATCCCTGCAGCTGCCAAAAAAAAAAAACTTAAAAAACTTGAAGTGTACCGGAGGCGCCGGCCGGTCGTTCCGGCTTCCATTTTTTGGTCGTGGGTTTGTGTGTCAGAACTTGTTATTGGGGGTACTGGGATGTGTGCACGAGGGTGAGGGTGAGGGTAGGGGGTGAGCGGCGTGTGCATTGAAGCCCTTCAAGATGCATTTTGCGCCGTCCACGATGATGCACACATAGGGGTCACATAGAAGGAATGCCGAACTGAAAGACCAGATGAGAATTCTGTCAGGTGTCCTAGCCTGTGTGCCATCGGTTCGCGTGGTGGATTGGCATCTGCATATACAGGACACTTCCATCAGGGCCGGCAGCTTGTCCACCCCCAAAGGTAGTCAACGGCCGAAGTATACGGTACTTTCAATATATGGAGTCACGAGCAGCGCATCTAGACCATAGAAACCCACCGTCCGCATGCTCTTTTGTGCGCCGTGTGTGCCTCGTCGCTTTTCTTTGAAAATTCAGTGTGATGGTTTCTCCACTTGTGTTTGTTTTTGCGGTATCATGCAGAATTGCGTGCATTTCTTTCCGCCCGTCTGCATCTGCATAATGCCGAGGAGGGGGGGGGCATGCACGAACGAGGGTCAGAAACTAGAAACAAGTAAACGAGAGTGGGCAGGTGGAGCTCCAATGTATTATGGGATAGTGCATCCGTAGATGCTGCATGCGATTATGTATGCGTTGTCAGTATGGGGCAAGAGAATGATCGCTGAGAAGACAAAATCGTAAGGCTGGCCAAAGGACAAATCGGGAAGCTAGAAGTTTTCCCCCGGATGGAGCAATTAGGCGGAGCATCTAGTAAAGGATTTGGATGGGAAGTGATAGTTAATGGAGGGGGTGCCATTGGGAGTATCGTTGACTTTTGGATTCTGAACCGGTCAGTCAGGCACCAGGGCCAAAACGTGAATAAGATATAGAGGTAAGCGTGGCAACCAGTCCATGGGTAAACCATGGGTTATTATTCTGCTGTCACAGGTCAACAAACTGCGGCACAAACCGGCTTCGAGTATTATCCGATATATTGTTGCTAGTTCAGAAGAAACTGTCTAAAGAACCGTGCACATCATCTGTCGAGAGGAGATCGGTATAGTAAATGCAGACAAAATCACAACATGCCTCCCTTGAGCTTCGTCTGAGAGGAGATGGTCTTGGCCGGCGTAAGTACGCATCCGTAATGACAAAGCAAACGCGAGCCTTCTGTTGACTATCACGCAACAACGGCGTGTGTGCATATTCCATCCTTTCCGTACTCCATGCAAATGATCGCAAGTCATACCTTCACTAAATTTGATGAGGCAAGCCACATCTCCACCTGAACTGTGCATAATGAAGCCAACGGCCGTCTAAATGGCCTTGTTCTCGATGGCCAAGGCGACGAAGATGCCATGGCGTCTTCTAGCCGAGGCCGCAGCTGATTCCTTGACGGCGTCGGTCCGCTTCTCAGCAATGGCGTTGATGAATGAGATAACCTTCATGGCGGAGTCATGGATGAGCTGGTTGGTCACGTTGATATACAATCCTGGGACAGTGTCCTGTGGGAACGTGAAAAGACGTCCATCTGCCAGAGCCTGCAGCTCACGAGCCGCCTCGGCGCCTGTCATTGCGGCACCTTCGACCTGGGTGTAGAGCTTATCCGAGGACTTGGCGCGCCGCTCCTGCTCCTCGGGCAGGCACTCGACATAGATCGGTACAAATTGCCGACCGGCATCGCGGGCGGCGTTCTCATAACGCCGCGCGCCTTCAGCACCCACCTTGTCGTTAGCACGGCAGTCTGTGAAGATGATGACGCGCTGCCGCTGGACGGCGTCGACTTTGCCATTCTTGATAGCCTCGTCATCCTCGTCGCCGTATACAAACTTTCGGAAGCAGGCCTCCTGCTTCGCCTGGAGAGTGGGCGAGAGACCGTCTAGACCGGTCATCAGACGTCCGCCCATGCACTCACGACCGGGGCAACCACGGCCAGGGCACTCTTTTCCTGGACAAATCCCACCATCCGCGCCAGCTTCGCTACAGACGTTATAGCGGTGGGTGTGGGTGTTGCCGTTGATGTCGCCAACGCTCAAGCCACGCGGGCGGCCACCACTGCGGCTCACATGGCGAGACATAAGAGCGTCCCGGGGGAGATTCAGCTGGTCGGTAAACTCGCGGTCGTCAATGACCACGGCGCGGTCTTGGCCGAGCAGCTGGCAAATACACTGGGCCAGAGCCAGCTTGCCCATAGCAGGCCAGCCGTTGATCCAAATGATCGGCTGAACAGGCCGAAAGGGAGCAGGCATGCCGAGATGTTCGGGGCGGCTTCTGTTGACGTGTATATTTGCTGTCTCGAAGCTGCAAAGTCGTATCGACATATAGTCCACAAAATCTATTAACCATTAGTAGTTGATCAATATAGGGGAAGACAGCAAAAGGCCACCTCGTAAAGTACTGTATTTGATTATTACATTACCAGATCAGAAACAACGGAAGTCTTGGAGCGCAAATGGCAGTGTTGGAAGGGGAAGACGCCGTGATGAAGAAAGTGGCCCAATGTTGATGGACGACAGTTGTTGCAGATGTGGCTTTTCTTTACGCTGGGAAGCTTCGGCGGAACGTTTCTTTCCACAATAAAAGCGTCCTTGCGTGCTTTTCTGCAGCCTTGATTCAAATGCTTGGATTGTTTTGCTTGCTTAGCTGCCAAGCCAACTTCTTGTACTTGTTATTGGTGTCCTATCGTGACAGGTTTGCTCGCTTGCTCGCTTCTCGTCTGGCACAGGCTCTTGAGAGATCGAACTCCTGGTCTCGTAGATTGACTTTATTGTGCTTCTATACGAGGACATGTTCGGACGGACGCGTGGTGGAGCGCAGCCTGATTGTTTTGATTGCCATGGTAATGTGGTGAATGGGACAATGGGAAAAAGAGAACGGCTAAGCCAAATAATGGTGGGTTTGGCATATCTGCTTGCTATCTTTCTGGCAGCTTCTTCAGTGATTCTTTTTTCACGATCAGATCTAAAAATTGAGCAAATTTATCCTTTTTCTTTTCGCAGCTGCCTACGAACACAAGCTCCTTCTCTCTTCTACGACGTTGAGGTTCCCTTGTGACCCGAAAATAACTCGGAACGAGAAAAAGCCGGCAGCAAGAGAAGGAAGGAGGTGTGTCTCTAGTCACTCAGTTTGGTACAGAATGTGTAAGTACTCCAAAAGAGAAAGAGCGAAGACTTTTCACAATGTCGCTCGCGCCTTCCTCCCACGACCATGAATAGGAGGACGACGGATTGGACAGAAAAAAACACATTTCCTAATTAGGAAAGTTAGGTTTGGCGCTAAACTGAACCAGCGAATCATAGCGCACAGCACCGGAGAAAACAGCTGGACCAGTACGCTTTCCAGATATTATCGTCTCCCATAAATAGTCCCTTTTACGCGTCGTTCTTTCTTCATTTTGCAAATCTATTATCCAGCTCGTCGAAGGAAAGAGCGGTAGACAATGAGGCGCAACGCGACGATTGTTCTTTCCAAATCCGGACACATGAGAGCCAGCCACCAAAGAAAAGAAAAAGGAAGCAGCAAGGGGCCCGCGGGTGCGGCGGCTACAATTTTGTCGGTCTCCCTTTTCTTTCCCTTTCGTCATCTCCCCACTTTCTTGCTACCCACAAGCAACAAACCACAAGCGATGTAAAGCCTACCTACAAAGCAAAAGACGGATTCGAAGGGGGAGGATGGGGCGCAGCTCATATTGGGCTCTGTAGAAATAAAGGGTTGAATGAGTTTTGAAAGCGATGTGCAAAAATCCGCCGGACCAACGCCCTTGGACAAAGAAAGCGGACATGCAGGAGAACAAAGAAAACCCTACAAGCTGCAGACGCCGGATCTGCAACGGTGCCGCGACCAGCCAACAACAAAAAGGGCACCACACACACGAATACGAAATTAAAGGAGTACAGGCGCCGTTTTTTTTACGACCGGTTGCCGGACTCCGTCCACAGTAGCGACTCCCAGAAAATTTCACCGAATATGAAGCAAGTGTCCGGTGCCCCGAAGTCGGGAGATTTGCAGGGAATACCGGTCTTGTGCTTCTTTGTTTGAACGGAAATAAAATGCGACATGTTTCGAATAGGATTTTGAAAGTAAGTAAAGAGACTGGCAAGACATATTGAGAGAAGAAGAAAAGGACAAGGGCCGAAAGAAGACAGTGGTAAAAGATAGGAAATTCGTCAATCATTAAACCTCTGTCGCCATGAAAATTAAAACGGTACTTGCGAAAGGAAATGGGGTAAATAGCTTGGTAGATAGAGGCAAAAAATAGAAGGAGAGAAAAGTGAAAATAATATAATAAAAAAACGTGAGAAAGGTAGAAAAAGAACAGATCAAGTTGAGCTCTCAATCGCACTTCCCCCCGAGATACTCAATATTCTGGCGGACCTCGTCCGTCAGGTCGCCACGGTTGCGATATACGTACGAAGCGGTCCGAGGCCAAAACTCGGGGTGCGGAAGTGGCAGCTCAACGACGTCGCCGGCATTCACACGGCACGACAAGATGATAGCCGCAAGGCCAGGCAGGCTGCCAAGCGATGGATGAGGGCCTGTTATTGTGTTAGTTTTTCAACCAGATAAGTAGTAACGACAGATAGAAACAAAAGCTGGAAGAACATACGAATAGGAATAAGAACACTGCCGTCCGCCTGGAATTGGTCTGGTGGAGCCAGCTCCTTCTGGCTCGGCTGGCGGCTATGCCTTCCAGCAGCCTGCTGACGAAGCTTGGAAGGTGGGCTGGCCGGCGTGTTTGGCGAGAGGTCGGACGCAGGTCTCTTCATGCCGGTCTTGTACTGGATGGCATTTCCACCGCCGGCCGTGACAGGTGTAGAGGGCGGCTGTGCAGGCGGTCCAGCATTGGCCGACGATGACAACGCAGACAGTGGCGAACCAGGTGTGCCCACAATGGGTGAAGCAAGGATGTTGACGCTTGATGGACGCCGGCGGTCGGTAGGCGGCCGCGGCACAGCGTCCAGCAGCTCCTGCAGGTTAAATTCACGCCGCAGCTGGAACGAGGCCCTATCTTTGTTGGCAGGCACAATATATGCAGAAACCAGCAGGCGTCCTTCGGGAGGCGGCGTTAGCCCGGCCTCGCTGGCGCCGCCGCCTTCGTTCTTGGCCGATGACGCGCCATTGCTGCTGCTGACGCTGCTGTGGCGCCGGTGGCGAAGATGCGTGGCCTTAACGTTAACACACGGCGAAAGCGTCCGTGGGGACTGCAGCGGACTGTACGGCGCGGAGGCTGCAACGGCGGACAGCGGAGCATAATGATGATGCTGGTGCCGGTGATGCTGTGAACCTTCAGGCGTATTGACCGTCACCAAGGGCGTCAGGTTTCGGCGGCTCGGCGGGGGAGGCAGGCTGCGTCCTTGGGTCATACCCGGCGAAGGTGACTGAGACTGCGGCGGCGGCGGCGGCGACTCCTTTGACATCGGTGACTGTGGGAGCCCTGACAGCAGGATGGCACGGTTCTGTGCAAAAAAGGCCGATCCGGTGGACATGGCCTTTTCGGAAGCTGGAGAAGCCGCTCCACCACCAGCGCCCCGCTCAGCAATGGGGCTGTTCAGGGCGAAATCCCCGATTCTCATTGCCAAATCAGCACGTGCAGACGACGGTGGTGGCGTCAACATGCGTGCGGGGCCTTCCGTTATCGGGGCCGACATGTGTGCCACCGACGTGTCGATGGAGACGGCCATGTTGCTGGAGAGTTCGGGTGCCTTGCGAGACTGGCGAGGCTGTGACTGCGAGGGCTGCGACAACGCCGGTGGAGGTGAGGATGAGGAGGATGGCGGAGACGAGCGACGATTAATGACCTTGGTCAGGCGAGGGGCCATGGCTCAAGGGTAATGAGCGAAAAGCAGTTGCAAAACAGTAAGGAAGGAAGTGTGAGTGATTCGTCTGCCTCGTCTCTACCAAGTCCTGCCACGTTGGTCAACAGCAAGACAGGTGGGAGAGTGGAATGTCCTGGGACGATGCAATGAAGACAAGGCAAAAGATAGTCGGGAAGAAAAAAATTATGACCGAGAAGGATGGCCAGATGCGGGTGTGAATACCATAAATAGAAACCAGGAAAGTCCGGGAGAAAAGGGCAGTAAACAGAAGAAAGAAAATGAGAAGAACAACTAAAACCAGAAACAGGAAAGTTTTCAAAGACCAAAGCAGTCGAGATGGTTGGGAGGGACGGCTAGAGGGTGTGCTTCCACACTGAGTAAAGTCAACACGCTTCTTTTTGTTTTTCGTTTTGTTTTTCCTCTTGTTGATCCAATAATTTGCTAGGCGTCCATCCTCTGTCTGATGCCCAGCAAACACGATGTTGGACTCTGCATGCCTTGAGTCAAATCACAAAGAGGGGAGAAGTAAAAGATCGAAAGACAGAAAATGAACAGAAGGGAGGAGAAATGAAAGAAAATAACACAAACAAGCGGCTAGGGTGGATGTTAAAGGCTTCAAATACGAAAAGGGGGGCAACACCAAATAAAAAAAAATCCTCGAAAGACGAAAGAAAGAGGATGATGAAGGATGCAAAAGAAGAAAGAAACGGGAGAAATGCCTCAGCTGGATGAACTAACAGTCTTTGATGCTGTGCCACACCAATGCTCAACGACAAAGAAAGCAGAAACCACAGCTGCAGTCACACACACCACATGAGACTACTGCTGCGGCTACGTCCTGCAGTCGTCGGGTGAAAGAAAGAGACATGTAAGAAAAGGAGAACCAAGTGGGTGTGATGGGGTGCAGTCGTCTCCTTTCCGCGAATCACCATGAGTTCCAGGTGTTGGACCGACAAGTTGAACAGACAAGCAAAGTAAACACGGTCTATCCTGCACGGCCAGGCTAGGGCTTGGTTGGGTCTGCTATCTTTACTTTCCTACTTTTTTCCTTGTGTTCAAGACCCTGACAAATTTTCATGGTTTTCGGATTTTCTTTCGACGCGGGACAAACTGGCCAGCGCCTAAAATATATGGTGGAGAGAGAACAAAGGCTGTCTGGGCCAAGTGCCGACCCAACGGTAACGCGACTACAAAGAGAAGCGCGCGAAGAGGGCGATAAAGGGGTCTTTTTCGGAGGGGCCACAAAAACAAAAGCACAAAAGAACGAGTGGAACTAATAAAAACAAACAAACAAAACCGGGCAAAAGTCGAGGCGGTGCTCACGCCGGGCGAACATAAGAAAGAAGGAAACAAGGAATACATCAAAGGGGGTTGGGCAATGAGGTGGCCTAGCTGTGTTGTGACAAAGGAACGTTGAGAAAGAAGAGAAAGGGGAGGGGGGGTTGAGGAGAAAGGAAGAAAAGAAAACAGATAGCAATCGATTGAACCATAGCATGAACGGATTCGGCAGGTCGTGCCTTTCCTTCCTGGCTTGCTTGTTTCGTTCACATAGATTTCCTCGTTCAATCCTTCCCTCTGTCCCACGACACCTTCAACATTCTTTCAACATTCTTTCCTCCTCATTACCCGTCTTCCATCGCACTTTTTTGACTCAAATCCCACTTTGGCATATTCGTAGCGCACTACCCCTATTGCGATGTGCGGACTATTTTTGCTTCGTTGATCAAGATATGTGTGGCTACAAAGCACGCTTTCGTAGAATGAAACGGCGCCTTCTGGCACCAAGGCTCGCTGGCCACGTACTCCTACAAATTACAGGGTTGATCCCAGCAAGCGGTTTAGCTTGGCTATGGTAGCTCAAAGAACAAAAATAACAGGAAGATGAAAAGACAGAAAGGGGAACGGCGGAGAGCGAACGGCGAACGGGGCACGGGAGTACAAGGCACAGATTCGGAGAGAGGGTCCGGCGGCAGGAGTAAAGAAGAAATATGGATCCGTTCTTTTTTTAAACAAAGAAAGGAACCAAACGAACGTCATAGGACAGTCTGCTGTGGGACCAGGGGAGGACAAGAAAGAGAACAAGAAGTGTCTCCGAGGTCTGCAGAAGCGAGCCGCCGTGCGAGGAGCAAAAAGAGGAGGAAGATAAGGGAACCGCAAGACCAAATAATAGAATAAAAAGAAGTCGACTCTTAGAAGCAATACAGGAAAAGAGAAGCTGGAAAAGAAAAGAGATCTGGTATCGAACCATCTGATCAAAGGCAGGACACCGTCACAAGCCAACGCCGAATGTGGCTAGAAACAAGGGGCGGCTTACTGCACGTGACATCGCGCCGCCGTGTCTGTTCGACCTCTGAGACCAACTTGGACTCTTTGTGCATTTTTGTTGTCCTCACTTACCCAGGCCCTTTGACTCGCCGCCGGCCTCGACTTTCTTTCACCACGCTCGCTTGTCCCGTTGTGTTCTTGTCGCTACCCTCCTTTCTTAGGTATCCCGGCTTTGGCGCCGTCTTGTCTTGGGTCTAAGCTATCGGCCCAACAGCTCCTGTTCCTTTCCGGTTTCCAATACGCGTGGGATGTGATCGAGATTTACCAGCTTCTCTCGGCTCATTCTTTCTCGAATCGCTGTACCTTACTTGTTCCGCTTTTTTCTCCACTCTGTGCCTTACCCCTTGCGACGTCTATCCGTCCGGGCATGAAAGGGTGACTCAGACGAAAACAGAAAACGGACTGTCAAACGGCCAGTCGACTCTTGACATCGACGACTATCGAGAGCTTCTAGGGGCCACCAACTCTCCATTGGCGGCGGTACAACGACTCTGCCAGGTCCGAAACCGTCAGCTGCACTGCAGGTGTTACCATGGCTGACTCTGCCGTGTCTAGCGGTGCGACCGCCGCCGCTGCTGCCGCTGCCAACAACTACAAGAAACTCAAAGAGGACTTTGTCTCCAACCTCTCCGGAGGATCCGCCAACGAAGTGATTCTCGTGACGGCCGTCGCTCCGGTTAGTATTCTTTCTTTTCTTTCTCTTGCTTCCTCGTGGCCGAGAATGCTTTTTGCATGTCTGCTGTTTTGTCTTTTCTATTTTGTCCGTCGTTTGGCCTCTTTTTCGTTCTTTTTTTCCGTTTGTTCTCTTCTTCTTTGATCTTGCTAGCTGTCAGGACTAACGTTCTTCCTCTTTCTTTCATACCTCTTTATAGGTCGCCGTTCTTGCTTGGTCTGTCCTCCAGCGCCGCCAGTCGTTTTTCCGGCCCTACTCGCCGCTCGCCTTTGTTGTCGACTTCTTCCTCAATACCGGCGCCATCCTCCTGGCCATCACACTCTACTCGAGCCAACCCCTCCTCCTCAATGGCCTCCTCATTGCCCAGACCCTTTTCGTCTTGGCCCTGCCGCGCGGGCGGCCTCGTCGCGTGGCCAAGAAACCACCAAAAGCCGCCGTCGGCTCCAAAACATCCAAACCCGGCAAGGCTGCTTCGGCCGGCGGGCCCGTCGCCCTCCCCAAGAAGGCATTCCTGACTACGTACCGCGGTACCATGATGACCGTCACCTGCTTGGCAATCCTGGCTGTTGACTTCCGCATCTTCCCGCGCCGGTTTGCCAAGGTTGAGACTTGGGGCACCTCGCTGATGGACATGGGCGTTGGGTCGTTTGTCTTTTCGGCCGGGGTGGTGGCCGCACGGTCCGTACTGAAGGAGCAGCAGGGGCAAACGGCAGGGCCGTCGTTGGCACGTCGCCTTCTGACCTCGCTGCGTCACTCGGTGCCGCTGCTCGCCCTAGGAATTGTGCGACTACTCAGTGTCAAGGGCCTCGACTATGCCGAGCACACCTCCGAGTACGGCGTGCATTGGAATTTTTTCTTCACGCTGGGCCTTCTCCCGCCATTTGTCGCCGTGGCCCAGGCCGCACTGCAGTTGATCCCTTCGTCGGCTGTACTGTCGCTGCTTCTGGCCGGCGCGTACCAAGTCGCCCTTGAAACAACAGACCTCAAAGCGTATGTGCTGACAGCGCCACGGGTGGACCTGATCTCCAAGAATCGTGAAGGTCTGGCCAGCTTTATCGGATACCTCGCCATCTTCTTGGCCGGCCAGGATACCGGCACGTATTTGCTACCACCCTCACGGCCGGCGACACCACAGAACACCAGTGGCGGTGCACTGGCCAGAGTGCGGCAGACACTGTCGGCCAACCGTCTTGCGGTCTGGTCGGTCGGATGGTGGGTGCTGTACCAGCTGTCCATCAACCGGGCACCGTACGGCCTGGGCTTGACCGAGTCGCGGCGCATGGCCAACCTGCCGTACGTGTTGTGGGTGCTGTCCTTTAACGTTCAGCAGCTGACCATGTTCTATCTGGTCGACAAGTTCGTGTTTGGCGGTGACAGCCAGGAGGGTGACACCGATGACAATGGCAAACAAGATGCCGCCACAGCACACGACGAGTCCACGAGTGTGGTTCTGCGGGCCTTTAACCGCAACGGCCTCCCCATCTTCTTGCTGGCCAACCTGCTGACCGGCCTGGTCAACATGACGGTGCCCACGCTCGACGTGGGGCAGGCGATGTCCATGGCCATCCTGGTCGCGTACGCGGGCGTCGTGACTGCGGTCGCCGTGGCGCTCGAAGTGTACAACATTACAATCAAGTTGTAATGGCCCCGTGTACCGCACGTGTGTTTTAATTGTGGAAGGTGTCATCGGCCTCGTAGTCGACCCTGTAGGATACGGAAAAGCCGTTGTTTCTACTGTACGATAGATGACATGTAAACCATATGCATGAGTAAATTAAATCAAGAAACAAATTGTAAAACCTGTCAACACCGCATTCGTCCGCAGTGGCTACAATATTGATTGATCTGAACACTGAGGTCCGTCAAGCACGAGATTGTGCTACAAGGAGAGACTGGTAGCAATGTAGTACAAGATTCGGCAGGAAGATCCATTGTCAATATCGTGGATGAGGACACAGTGAACCTGGATATTTGTGTAAATATTGAAATGTTCCGTATTTGCGTGGTCTGGCTTGAAAATATTTTATTATATGTCTCATAACCTTTTCTCCATAATTTTTTTTATTTAGAAAAAATCCAATAAAATAAAAATAAACACACGATTTTTTATGCTCACAAACTAATAAATCGAATAAACGAATTACATTGTCATCCTCAGTTTAATCCAACATCTCCACTTGCTTGCAGTGCCATGATTTTCCCACCGTGACGTCTCGAAACCTCAAGGTCACTCGTTGTCACATGCGTGCTCTCCGGCAGACCCCGCCAAACACGACACAGAAATAGAGACATCCAGTTAAACGCTAAGTTGCATTCCTGCTGCCATTTCTTCAACGCTTTTCACTTCTCTTTTGGGAGATGTCACACCCTCGTTTGTAGCCGTTGCCCTTGCATTCCAGTCCAGCCCCTTGCATTCATCCAGTTCGCTGTCAGTTGTGGTATGCTCCCCCTCACCGTTGCCAAAATGATAGTGTCTTGTCTGTTTAGACCACCTGGAGAAGCCAGTGGAATGCTATTTACGCGAGATAACCAAAAATACCAGGAAAAAGACGCGTCGCAATCGATGAGTTAACAAGTAGGACGATACAACATACTCTGTGCGGCCATTCTTAGGATCCAGTCTGAAGTCGACCGAGGTTACATTTTACTTGAAAAAACGTAGATGGCAGCTGGGCTGATGGAAAACACAGGTCTCAAATATGGACGGATGGCAGGCAAGACAGGGAAGATGTTCCTCCATATCATCCGAACACATGGGACCGCAATATTTGGTGTTTTGCTTGCTCTCGGCCTCTTGTCCCTAGGCTTCTCTGACTTTTCCGCCCGCGGTGCTTCATTTCCGATGCCGTCAATGCCTTCTGGACATGTCTTACCGTGCAATATAGTATATGCGCAGGGTAATATCAGTATCCCTCGCATATTTGGATTGCCATGATATCGGAATACGGCTTTATTTGCATAAAGAACTACTCTCAGTGGGTTGAGCCAGTCGCAAAGCAGAAAAAGGAAAACAAAGATGAAAACAGGACGCCAAAGTTTATGCGGCTCGACAGGGTTGCAGTAACCTTTACGTTTCAACAGACGCGACTCAAACAGAACAAACATTATTGAAAAATACGTCTGGGGAAGGGCCACGTTAGCAAGCTAGGAGTCGACAAAGCAGGCCACTTGGGGCAGCCGCCAGACCGCCTCGTTGAGTGGTGGTGACAAGTGACAAGAGGATATTCGTTCACCGCATATTTGGCCACATTTGCATTTGTCCATTTTATGTTAGCGCTACTGAGTGTCCAGAACAGTACAGCATACAATGGCGTCCACATGAGGTGATTTAAGCCATTTTGGTAGAGCTATGATGCAGCAGCGGTGTTTCAAAGCTATCTTACGATGCAATGGGGCCCTCAGCTGCAGCTGCACGCGTTTCTGCTTGCCATATTTTCTCGCGTTTGTGTGTCGACTTTTGTTGTCACGTACAACGAGCGCAGAAAACGAATCTGCCTTTCCTTTGGGTTCTGGGCAGTTTCTTTGGTTACTTTACTTGCGTACCGTGCCCATATCCCCTGCGTTCTGCGTCATGCAAGCCGCTTGCAGCATGCAGCAGCTCGTTTCTTCCGTAAAAAGCAATCGCCCGGTGAGCAAGACGCGTTGGACAACGCGTTCGGTTCATCCTCGTACGAGTATCAAGTGGTATCAAGTTTGTGAATGTTTTTTGATATCACTGGTCAGCAGTCGCTCCCACGTTGGACAAATGCCTTGGATGCACTATTGTGATCCCTCGAAGGTCGACAACCAATCCGCCACGGCGATGTGTGCGGTGTCTGGACTTTGTCGATCTGAACAGCCCTTTTCTTCCCATCTTCCGTTGTTGGTAACAGTGGATTTGGGCAATCATACGGAGTGCAATTGCCAGGAGTGGGTCATGCAAATCGAGACAACCGGCGACACGGGCGGAAGACGAACCATTTTGTCGCCAAAGTAGAATAGAGAAAAATGAAGACAGACAAAAAGATTAAACGAAATAAAGCCACATATACGCTGTTTCAGCGCCTCACTTTCGCATGTTGAGACGAGAATTGGGACGGGAACAGCACCCGCAACGCCTCGATCGAGCTTTCTACTCATGTTGGTCGGTGAGTGGCCCGTCGTGCCTTCCATTCACGTACCTGCCCGGACACCCCGAGATATGAGGAGAAACATGGAGTAATACCAGAGCAGCACAGGCCAGGTTGTATTACTGCGAAGTACGAATGTATCTTACATCGTAAAAGGCATTGACTGTGAAATGACGTGGGAAGAAGTCCCGGAGCATTATTGACTCTATCCCGCTTTCAGAATGCTGCCGACAACGTCGACAGGGAACCCAGGCGCACCATTCGGTTGGTACGAGCAGAGTATGTATATGCGTCAAAACGTCGGGGAGAGCAAGAAGCACTGGCGGCGAGGTGGTGTGCGACTTCCTTGGTTTGTTTTGTGTTTTCGATTTGTCCACCCTGGCTGCCCATCCATCTTGCGCTAGCGAGCAGCGTGTTCCGTGTACCTCGTTCTTTCCCCTTTCTCCTTCTCCAAGCACCCCTGTCGTCCCAGAGTGGGTCTTTCCTGCCCCACGAGTGAGATTAAACAAAATTACATGGCCAAACAAGCCCAGTCAAATCTTACCGCCTTTCGCTCCGAAGCTTTCCCTTTGCCAGCGCAGAACAGACACAATGCCATCCAAATGTTGACATGGCATGCGAATAAGAGTGTTGACTGACGGCATAGGGCAGCCTACGGGCTTGATTAGATACATGCTCGCTAATTCGTACGTGGCGGCAACATTGCATTAGAATTTCGGGCTTCGCTCGTTTCAACTGCTTGTATTCCAGGTCTCATAGGGCGGCTGCTCTTCGCTCCTTCCGCATTCCGCGCATGCTTCTTTCTCGAACAGGACAAGAAAGAGCGTACGAGCCCCTGACCATCCTGACTTTGTGCATCGGTAGAGGTATCTCAAGTCTCGCCGAATAACTTCACCTCAACGTTAGCTTTTCTGCCAGATGTTCTGGCGCATTTTCGGCTTCTATCACCGCCTCTGTTACTTGGTATACCCCTGCTACGCTAATCCACTTCTCCCACTACCCACATCCATCGCCTCTCCCTGATTTTATTATTATCCGTCGTATTGTCACTCTGAGGTCGCATTGTCCACCATCCTGACGCGACGGACGTTTTTGGCGTGTTGTCAGAATACCCAGGTGCAACAAGCCTGCACGGCCACACTCGACTTTGCGCTGGTCCGAATCGCCTCGATTGTCCATCACCAGAAAGAGGTTGTTGACATAGTCCGCCACCCTCCGAGCCTCCCTACTTGTTTGTCGCTTTCTTTCTGCGCATCCCCATGTGCGTGTCAAAGCTCGTGGATGATCACTTACTCATCTCGGCGCCGTCAAGTAGCGTGCTGTTCGCCGTTGGTCAGGCACACTACCGGTGGACCTAATCTTGTAATTAGGTACGATTGTTTCCTCTGTTTTCTCCTGTCGACAATAGTGCACTGGCCGCCGTCTCCCTCCCAAAGCTCCTAATACGTCGTACTGACGGGCCCTTTGTTTCCAGCCTCGCATAAACAGCCAGTCGTCCAGGGCGTTTTGGTGGTGTCGCGTCTTTGCACCCTGACCGTTCCCTCTGATTTAGCACGACCCTCCCTCTCCTTCGACCCTTTCTCCCTTTCGCGTCTCTTTGTCGTCTACTTTCTCACCTTGCCGCCCACGATCCCGCTATCCTTTCTACTCATCCATTTTCCTTCTCTTGCCCCCTTCCGTCCCCTCCTCCCTTCCGTCTTGCTTGACGCCTTTCTGCCGTGTGTTGATGCCGCATTAATCCGCATCCACCAAAACACATCACCCCCTCGGAATCACAAGCGCATCGAAAAGCACCATTGCTCAACAACCCCCAAAGCAAGGGATTCAACAGGCCGACTGCATTGTGCAGTCTTGGGCCTTCGTTTACTTTGCCCAGCAGTGCTGTCCGACTGCCAATTCCTGTCGATGAATGCGCCTACGAGACAGTGCCAAACCAAACAACTAGGGACAATCTGGCGACCTACACAAAGTAAACGGAAGTTATACAATCAACACGGACATCGATGAGCTTTCACACCTGGAAACCATTTTGAGCAACAATGACCGCAGACTGTTAACGAATGCCGTTGTTGACCCTGTTTTTACGTCGGGTTTCCTTTTGCGCCACTTTTCGAGTGTTTTGCGGTGAATGCTTTCTCACCCTCTAATTTCCTATTAGGCCTCTGATTGTTTTGCATGTTTCGTTGGAACAGCGCACACATCAAGCACCACAACCAATTCCCAGGTCGCGACAACAGCCCAATCAGCGTGGACACGGGTTTGCCAGCTCACCAGTTCGTCGACTTTTTTTCTTTCTCTTCTGTGCAATCTGTGCATTGCGCATTTGTTTCTGTTCTTAGTTGCTTATTCTTTCCATTGCTGTGCATCGTGTCCTGCTCGCTCATAACACAGCGAGAGCGCATTTTCCTCCCTTGGGGACGTTTGTCTCACCTCTTTATTCCTCTCGATCGACACTTTGCCCTTGATCTATTCTCCCACTCGTCGGCCGTTTCCTACTCTGTTTTTGTCGTCGCACATTTACCGCACACCGGCACAGCTTTGCTAGGCCTTCTCTGCGCCTCGCATTCGCGTCGTAGCTGGTAACGAGAGGTCCTGCTGTGCTGCGAATCCGAGCTATTTGGGCGTTCGCAACTGGCGGCAGTTCATCGCCTTCGACTGTTCGTGATCGAGACGCGCGGTTGCGTGGAAAATGTCGTCTGCTGCCATACAGTCGACCACCGGACTACCGCCATCTAACCGACACTACACGCCGACGCACTCCCCACCGACTCGTGAAGAATATCATGCAAATCAGCAACAACAGCAGATCCCCTCAGCTTCGCCATCTTCTTCATCCCGGCCTTCCCGCAAAAGCAGCGCTGCTGGACAAGGCGGTGGAACTACCAACAGTATCTTGATGAACGACGGCAACAGTAGCGGAGCTTTCCTCGTCGGTGCAAGCCCTGCACATATGTCGCAAACAAACTCACCCATGAGTTCGCGAGCGGCTCTTTCTTCGCCGGTTGCTGTTCCGTCTGCCGCTGCAAACGCGGCTGCTGCAGCTATTCCCGACCATCCGCAACCGAGTCCAGTTTCTTCCGAGCGCCGTCGTCGCCACCACAACCCTCCTGTTGCCCCACCGCGAACTTCTTCACAGCAGCAGCAGCAGCACCAGTCCATGTCGGGTGCACCATCTTCAAGCTCAAGCTCCCGGAGGGCGGCTGCTGCAACCGCTACTGGATCAGACTCGCCTCGAACCCGTACTCGCGACACACGTGGTGACGATTCTGCACGACGGAGACAGCAGCAAGAGCAGGAGTATGCCCAGCGGGTGGCCGCGAGTGGAGGTGCAAGATCAGCAGCTGCCACTGCTCTGCCAATACGAAACCATGGCTCGCAACCCTCGTCCCACGGTCCCTCCCGTGAAACGAGCGAGATTCTTAATTCGGTGACAGTATCCCGGGATGAAGTTGACGTTGAACGCGAAAAGGCTCGACTTGCCATGGCTCAGCAGGACGACTACTATGATGATGCTGCCCCGCCACCGATTGTGCCGACAAACAATGCACCCGAGCAACAGTTCGACGAGAGCCGCCGTGGTGGTCGTAGCCGGCATGACCACTCGCGGCGCGAGAAGCAGATCAAGTTTGGCGAGTACATTCTCGGCAACACCATTGGCGAGGGCGAGTTTGGAAAAGTCAAGCTTGGCTGGAAGCAAGAAGGGGGTGTCCAGGTCTGTTCTAACCCTATGTTGCTCTTCTGTCACGCAACGGCTCAGTTCCTTGCACATGTTTAAATTACTGACATTGGCTCCCTCTCTAATCCAGGTCGCTATCAAACTCATCAAGAAAGACATCCTTGGGAGCAACCCGACTCGGATGGCCAAAATTATGCGCGAAGTCAATATTCTCCGTCAACTAAATCATCCAAATATTGTCCAGTTGCACAAGATGGAGGAGTCTGAACACCACTATGGCATTGTTCTGGAATACGCTTCAGGCGGAGAGTTGTTCGACTACATTCTCAACCACCGCTATCTGAAGGACCACGCCGCCCGCCGCTTGTTCGCCCAGCTTATTTCAGGTGTCGGCTACCTACACAAGAAGGGTATTGTCCACCGCGATCTGAAATTGGAGAATCTGCTTCTGGACCGGAACCGCAACATTATCATCACCGACTTTGGCTTTGCCAACACCTTCGACCCAACCGAGGAGCTTACTGAGGATGAAGAGATCAACCTGGTTGACCGCGAGTATATCAAGCGTATGGGCTTCGACATCGTCAAGCCCAACGGCATGCGGAAAGCAGATCTGATGCAGACGAGCTGTGGTAGCCCTTGTTATGCCGCTCCTGAGCTTGTTGTCAGCGATTCTCTTTACACAGGCCGCAAGGTTGATGTTTGGAGCTGTGGTGTTATTCTGGTAGGTCACAAGTGTATCCCTCATGAGACGGCTTTCGCTTTCATACTAACATTCATTAATAGTACGCCATGCTTGCGGGCTATCTACCCTTCGATGACGATCCGAAGAACCCCGAAGGCGATAACATCAATCTCCTCTACAAATACATTGTCAACACACCTCTCACCTTCCCTGAATATGTCACACCACACGCCCGGGACCTCCTTCGACGCATTCTCGTTCCGAACCCGCGGCAACGTGCCGATCTCTTCGAAGTTGCTCGACACAGCTGGCTTAGCGAGTATGCTAATGTGGTCGAGTTTATCACGAGCAGCACCACGAGCTCCGCCGATATCCAGAACATTCCTATTTCAGCAGATGATATTGAAGACGGTCGGATGCTTGGTCGCAGCTCGTCGGTGCGGGAGGCGTCGAAGAAGGCTGTCGTGTCACCAACAATTGGTGGCTTGATCAGCAAGGCAGGCAACGTCGATCCCGAGTCCGAAGCAGCCTTGCTCAAGCAGCAGAAGGACAACAAGCGCCGGACGGTGCAAGTCGAATACGTGGCACCTACTACACAGACTCAGCGTGGTGGCGAGGCGACGTCTGGCGGTGGAAAGACGCGGGCTCGTTCCGGCAGCCAAGGCCCCATTGCGGTCAACCCCAACGCTGGCCTAACGTCGCCGAACGAGAAGCCGCTGCCCCGCGATCCGCCAACTGGCAAGTCATCTCGCGACCCAAGACGCCCGCCGAGTGCCCACCGTACGACCGGCACTGCGGCTGCTGTTGCCGCAGCAGGTACTGGCGCTGGCACCACGCGTTCTAACCGTGATGGAAGCCGCGCTGTTTCTGAAGCCGCTTACATGGTGCAAGGCTCTGGTGGCCGGCCGGTCACTGGCGGCTCTGTGGGCTCCGCGAACCCGCGCACCACACCCAATCGCGCCTCGTTTGGCCAACCCGTACCACCAACCGTGGCCGGCACCAATGCGCAGGGCAGAATCCAACAACCGAAGAGTAACAGTGGTCGTAACTACGTCATCTCGAACCCGATCCCGCAAGACTCGTCGACGTTTGGCCGCCCAAGCATCAGCGTGCCACCCAAATTCGCCCAGGTATCTGGATTTACTGATGGCGAGGGAGAGAATGCTGGCACTGGGAAGCCTTCGACCCCCGAGGTCAAGGGCCACCGGCGGTCAAACACGATTGGAGACATCACCGACAAGCTCCTCGGCCGCAGCGGCTCCATCTTTGGCGGTAAGAACCGGAAGAAGCCAGACGAGCGCCAGTCAGTCGGAATGGAAAAGGCCTCGCGCAAGTACCCGCCAGTGAGTATGGCAAACAATACAGCTATCCAAAGTGGTGTTGTTCCCTCGGACGAGCCGCGTGCATCGATGGATTCCACCGCACGGCAGTCGAGACGGTCGTTCTCTCTCGGCTTGGGCAAGAAGCGGTCGGGTAGCATCGAGGGCTCTCAGACGTCTCATGAAAAGCAGCACACTCGGCGGTTCTCTCTGCTTCCCGGCTCCTTCTCTTTGAAGTCGATTGGCATCAACAAGGATTACGATACGAGCCCGGAGTCGCAGACCGACCTTCCGATCCAGGAGCCGCCACAGGATGCCCGACTTGGGTCGCCCACCGACAGCCTCGAGCCTGCCTTCGATGGCATGTACACGCACTTGTCTGAGTCGCAGCAGGCCGCAGCAGAAAGTGGTCGCCTCCAGCAGCAACAACTTCAAGAGCAACGATTGCAACAGTCGCCCGCCATGCAGCAAGGCCGCCCGAGTTTGCACTACCAGCAGCCACCCCAACAACCGCAGCACCAGCGCCATGTTTCTGCTAGTCAATTCGAGCGCCAACGACCTTCTGCTCTGCAAGAAGTGACTGACAATGTGCAGCGCAACCCACCCCGGTCTGCACCGTACCAAGCAGATGTCGAGGCCTTCGACCCTCGGCGTGCCAACCCAAACGTGACCAACGCGCGTGGTGGCCGTGTCGTCTTGCAGAAGAACAAGCGGATGGCTGACGCTTACGACACGGACGAGTTCGCCAAGCACCACGACCGCAGTGGTAGCAGCGGTGCAGCGCGGCGTGTCATGGACTTCTTCCGCAGGCGCGCCAAGGCTCGTGGCGGTGATGAGTAATGGCTACAAGCTCATTAATATGGCGGTTGCTTCTGGCCATTGCAGATTTTCTTTTGTTTTTGTTGTTCCTTTTGTCTGGTCTTTGTCGAAACGAAGTCTTGCTGCGTCTCTCGTGTGTCTGCCATTTTCTTGAGAACTTGCATATGGCGTTGGGAAATATTCTTATCTTACGAAATTTGCACCGATATCTTATTTGCAGCGTCTTTCCACTTTTGATGCGATTCTCTCTTATCACCTACACTACGCACCACGCACCGCCTTGTTTCGCTTTTGCAGGCGACCAACTCATCTTTATAACCCCCCACCCCTCTCATACATCCCCTTCAATCCTGCCTCCTGTTTTCGCCTCTTGTCAACAACCGGTTTCTTGTTCCTCTCTATTTTTAACTGTTATCTTCTTATTCTCTTTCTCATGTCTCCCTCCTTGACGGGGTGAGCCTCTTTAATATACTACATTGATAAGAGCAGAAGAATGTTTGCCATCCTTAGAAGCAGATGTCACTGGGAAGGAGACACGAAAACACGATAGAGAAGCGAAGCAGCATTTATTTCTCGGTGGTCTATTTTTTTCGTCTTTTTTCATAGGCCCTTGGCCTGGTTGTTCCCTCAATGCTATTTGCTGGTTGTGTTTCGGGCGGCGAGGCACGCTGAGGTATATTCTATTACTATCTTGGGGTGGCTTGTAACTTTTAAAGGTTGACTTTTATTTCCACATGCATCGGTGGTTAATTTGATCTTTTCCTCTCTCTGCGGTGTCTTAGCATGATAAGAATTCCATGTGCCTTTCTTAACCCTGTCATCATGCACGTTCTCGGCTTTGACCGGTATGTCTCTGCGAAGACTTACACTTTTAAATTTCAAACCTTGTTCCATATACCTTCCTGCCCATCTCTGCTGTAAGTATGCAAACACGCACAAATACAAATTGACTACAATTTCTCATAGACATTTATGAATGCATAGAAGGAGGGAAAATCAAATAGCAAAAGTAACGAAAAAAAAAAGCAAATAAAAAGTGGCGAGTAAATAAAAATCCGTGTGAACACGAATTACGAAAGTAAAGCGTCTCTCCCACCAACTTCCCGTAGCGTAAGCTGACAGGAATAGTCTGGCCCCTTCTGGATTTTCAATTTGAACGAATCTCAGCTCTCCATCAAGTCTTCTCATTGGAACTAACATCACCGGACAATTTGATTCATCCCCTGATTTCTTTTTGCCATCTTCTCTTTCCTAAATCTCACTCGTTCATAACACGACTTACGATTTGAGTGCTGGGTTCGCTGCCCTCAGCAACATGTGTCTGCTTGCTTTGATTATACTTGCCCAAATGGCAAAGCAGCAAACAATATTTGGCCACGGTGACCGCCCCTTTTAACCCCACGAGCTGGCATCCTCGGGTTTGGGATAAAAGAAGGCGACGACGCTAATGATGATGTACGTCGAGCACAACAAGGCACCCTCGAGGTAGTTGCTGCGGCCGTCGAGCACCAAAAAGTTGACGATAAAGGCCGAGACGAAAAGGCACACCGTCTCAAAGAGTGTAAAGTAGAGTGTCATGTCGCGGCCAATGATCCAGCCCAGAATGACAACGAGTGGAGTCATGAAAAGGGCAATCTGGATGGAGCTACCAACCGCCACACCAATGGCCAGATCCATCTTGTTCTTCATGGCGACCATGACGGCTGTGACATGCTCGGCCGCGTTGCCGACAATGGGTAGAATGATGAGACCGATGAAGACCTCGCCGACGGAACTGGTTTTCACAAGACCGTTGATGGACGCCACCATGAACTCGGCACACGCTGCCACAAGACCCGTCGTGATAAGTAGCAGCAGGATGGCCGCCTTGCGCGACATAAATACACGATCTTCATCACTACTACCATTCAGCGTAACCGGGGGTTTGAGACGGTAGCTGTTCACAGGAATCTGCGACGGGAGCATGGCACCGGGAGGACGGAACTGGTACTGGTGGTTTAGACGATCGGGAAGCGAGTTGGTGCGGTGAATGCCGTAGCGAATGCGAGGAATGGGCCCAACAGGAGCAGTCTCCAACTGGGGGCCGACGGGTTGCGTGAAGACAGTAGGGGCGAGACTCTTGGCAACAGGGCGTAGGGATGACATGGCACGCAAATTGAAGGCACGCCGGGCCGAAGCCAAGTCGGCAGCAGCACCAGTCGGGTTTCCGAATTCGTCAACATTGTTGGACCCGTTGAGATTGGGGTCTGCGATGGCAAAGTCCACGCGGCGAGGCTCACCAGGACGGTACACAGCAGGGTCAGGAGTCTTTCCGAAGGGACTCTTGGTGGGTTCGGTAAAGAGGACAGATGCAATTCTGCCGCTGCTGACAGACGGCGAAGCTACGCCCGAGAGAGCCGGGGAAGTGTTCTCGACGGACTCAAGAATAACATCGTCTGTGGCAGCATCTTGATCATGTCTTCTGCGGTTTCTGCGGTAGCGGCGGAGAGATCGCTTGTGGTGGCGACTTTTATGGCGGCGTGATACAGTGTCGTCCTCGATAATGGCCTCTTCATTCAGATCGGAAGTCGTGCTGCGAGAGAGAAAGGACGGCCTGGCCGAGGCCTCCTCCGAAGGCATGGACTCATCGTTACCACCAGCGGCCTGAGTACTGAATGAGGGCGCCCGCGTAGTACCAGCAAAGAGGCTATCGGCTGTGTCCAACGAAGCGACGCTGGACTTGCGGCGACGACCACCGCGAATGACACGGCGCATGCGCTGCTTCATGGTGTCGCGGGAGTGACCAGACGTGTCCGAATCGGACGAGGAGGAGGAGCCGTCATCCGAGCTCGATGAGTCTAACCAGCCAGCGGCCGGACCAGGTGTAGATTCCTCATCGATGATGTGCTGCGGCGTCGACTCGTACATATACGTATGGGATTTGAGCTGGAACAGGAGGTAGATGCCATAAACCAAAAGCAGGACCTAACAAAAAGGTTAGCAATAAGATCAGCGCCGATTCGGAGTGGACGACACGACTTACTACACTGGTGCCACGGCTGATCTTGAGGGACTCGGAATCGGCCAAGGTAGAGCTTTTGAAAGATGCATGGAAAGCGGTCTGGGACGTCGTTAATATTTTAACTGATAAAATAAATTCTTTTGGAACCGAATTTGAACTTACCGGCAGGACGAGGCTGATGACACTAAGACTCAAGAGGCACGCGCTCATCTGTGTGACTGTGCTGTTGTAGATCTAGAGGAACAGTTAGACGCGACGTCTCTCTGAAGGAGACACAGCAGTACAAACGTACCTGTTCACGGAATCGAAGGCCGCCGAGGAGGAAGCTCATGCCTAGGATCAAAAGGAGGTTGGCCAGAATGGAGCCCAGGAGCGAGGCTTGCACAATACGAATTTCATCCTGGGAGTTATTAGTATATGCGTTCAGTGCATGCGACCGTTTAGCATAGAGACAAACGCTAGGACGACGAAGAGAAATCATACCTTGACCAAAGCAATGCTAATTACGTGGGGGAGTAACAGAAAAGCGAGAGTTAGTTTGTAAAGTGGACAGGTGGGATGATTACGAAAGGGTCATGCAATGAGTGTCACGCATTGAGTTGCAATACGGGCTGAAGCAGCCATGCCAGGGTACTTTGGTGGACCAAAGCTGGGCGGACGAGAGAGTAGAAAAGGAAGAGCCAAGAAAGAAAGGACATCAAGAGGGCGCTGGAAGAGTAAAAAAGAGAAGACCATGATGACTCCTGACGCGATTGATAGATAAAAGAGGGCAGGCGGTGGCTTGTCGAAGGGCGACAGAGAGCAGCCCTCTTTTCGTTCGTTCTTGTCTCGAGTAGTTCACGGGAGGCACATACATACTGAGTGAGTTAGTCGACGAACGAATAAGGGATGGATATACAGAAAGTACAATACGGGGGAACGAACAAGATAATAAGTTCTACAGCGTTGCCAAAGGTGACGTTGAGCAGAGCGCCAATGGAATCACCCATGTCGTGGGCAACGGTCTCGGTGGCAAAGCCCAGGAGGCCGGCCAGCGGGATGATGGCGATTGCGTTGACCGAGAAGACGACGGCGGGGGGCAGGCCAGGGATGGCGCCGACAATGATACCGGCGGGGACAAAGACCAGGAAGACGTTGAGCCAGCTGTGAAACAGCACCATCTTGGTGGTCACGAAGAACGACACGACGAGGGCAGACAGCTTGCTGAACACGGTGGCGGTGGCCTTTTCGGCAGAAACCGTCGTCTCTTCGGACTCGCCAAGTACTATGGCAGCGTTGCCATTGGCAGAGTTGGTGCCACCTGCCTTCGTGTTGGTGCTAGTGTCGTTGCCATTGCCGTTGATATTGACGTTGACGTTTACGTTGGTAGGGTTGCCGTTGAGGTTGAGGTTGGGGTCGGTGTTGGTGCTGGCAGGTTGAAAGGGAGGCAAATTGGCCTCCTTCTCCTTCTCCTTGCCGCTACCGACGTCCTCTAAGACAGGCCCCGGCCATGCTTCTTGTAGTGGTGCAGTAAATGTCGACGCTGGCGACACGGCAGCAGTGGTATTGCCGCCGGACGAGCTGCCTGCGGTATTGTTGTCGCCGCCGTGCACGGGCTGCTGGACAATAGAGCCACCATTGTGTGCGATGGCCGATGTAGGGTTCTTGTTCTTGTTCTTGGCTTCGTTGATAGCACTATGTTCATGCTCATCTTCCTCCTCCTCCTGGAGGTTCTGCTTCAGCCGCTGCTGTTGCTGGTAGTGAAAAAGGTTGGATTCACTCAGGGACGCGGGTGACGACGAGTCTGCGGTAGGTCGTCGCGACGAACTGCGAGAGAGGCGAAAAAGGTCTCCATCCGCTTGCGTAGGGGACAAACGCGGGCGGTCAGAATCGGGCGGTTTGGATAAAGATTTCTTCATCGAAATAAGGACCAAGCAGAAAGAGAGAGGCTTGGTGATGCTACGGGACTGGAAACCGAAAATGTTGAGATGTAAAGTGATTGATGCACAGAAGCTGGAAAGCAAAACAAGTGTGTTGAAAGGGGAAGCAAAGAGATATGAGTTAGAGAGGGATAGAAGAGAACAAAAGCAGAAGGAGGAACGAACGAGGGGGTGATTGATAATAAAGGGAGGGGAGGCAAGAACCAGAAATCTGCCAAGACGGAGATCAGATAGCAGGAACGAAGCCTGGCACGAGACACACTGGACTCAAAACACTAGCTACGGCGTACGAAAGGAGGCCCAAGACGCTGGTCGTGCCTTCTGTTTGTGGTACCACATGGTACCAATTGGGGGGCAATGATACACACTTGGCTTGTACATCCTTCTGTGGACAAGGAAGGAGCAATGGTGATGTATGTCGAGTGAAGGAGGGCACGTGGGCTGGAGCTGGTTGACGTTGGAAAAAAGAGTGGGTCCATTCGTCATTGGGGATGGAAACTGACAGGCGCGGACGCCAAAAAACCCAAAAAGGAAGCAACGAAGAGGGAGCTGACGGGTAGTTTTCCACTGCCTAAGCCAACTGCGCCTTGCTGGGCACGGCACCACACTGCACTAGCAGAGCGATGGACGCGATTGTACCTATCGAGAGAAAGAGAACCTATGTACGACTATATGTCATACAAAGGCAACGTAGAGATGAGGCAGGGACTGATTAGAAGACGTAGTACAAGGTCAGGGCGCTGTGCTGTCGTGTCGCTCCTGCCTTTTCGGTGAGCGACGACTTTGCAGGCACTGAACTCGCCTTGCCGGCAACTACGACCGCTGATTGGCCCTAATTGGCAACGCTACCCCCGCTGTCAACGACCACCAGTGATCCACTTTTGTTTTCTTCTTCTTTCGGAGTCCGGAGTATTACTCGTACGGAGTAGTTCCAACACTGCGACATACAGCTATTCATTCCAGTGGCTGTAGGACGAGGCCTCATGGGCCTAGATCGTTTGTATACAAGCGGCACACGGAGCTAGGTGAGTACAGCTCGAAAGGAACACAGAGCCCATTTGCCCATTTGCACCACAGTGGGGTCTGGATCTCAGTCCTCTGGGCCCAAGTCTTCCTTCATCTCTCATTTACGTCGCGTGCCCGTGCGACGGTCTCTGCATTTCATTTGGCCGTCTGCCGGTCAGTCTGCGGAAACAGAAGGTACAGTCGACCGAACGCAGCGGCGCACAGCAAAGAAACACAGTCGTGTCCAATTGAACCGGGACAGACTTGACAAAATGGTCTCACGGTGCAGGTAAAGTCGTCCGTGCAGCTTGTCTATGCATGCAGACCCTCTTTTTCTCTCCCTTTCTCTGTTCGTTGGTCGTGTGATGAGCATGCCAAGCTTGGGCTTGGCACCCCGAAACGCAAGATAATACAGCCCGACCAGCAAGCAAATGGCAACGGAGTGATCAACGGCCGAGACGCGCCCGTTGACAGAAACAAAACAAAATCAGCCGGCAGTGGAAAGGCAAAAGCAGCCTCGCTTCGGACGGAACGTGCTCCGAGGTGATCATCATGTCCAAATTTCCGTCAAAGCCATGGGGAGACAGCCAGTACATATGAAGAAAGATGACGATTGTGCCGTTCGACGACCTGCATATGTATGAGGTATCTGGCCACACACCACCGGACGGCTCGGAAGCAGACTGGATGGCTTAGAGATACTCAGACTCCTTTGGCGACTCTTGCTTGGCGTGGAAGAAATCCGACTCTGCAACCTCCTGCAACCTCCCCGCCCCGGCTTGAATATCCTCTTTAGTCTGCTAACTGCCAAAGTGAGCGGCCATGGCATAACTGGCGGCTGCCACCGTTGAACTATTTAGCACCAAAAGTTAGTTCTTTGGTAAGAGGCAATGACCAACACGTTGTAATGGTTGGCAGTGTTTCATACGTCATGATTCCGTGGTTTAACATCGCCATCTTTCTGCTTGTATGCTCTATTGCAAGGTTTCTTGTGTCTGTTCTCACTTGTTTGTTTACTCGCCACGTGTGTTTTAACGTCATATCCTCTGGCATTGGCGAGGTTGACGGGTAATTAGTGCTTTGCGAAGAAAGGTACAGTTTGGCAGGCGACAAACATGACGATATGCATGGATCATACAGCTATGTACTTCTGTCGTATAAGAACTCCGAATATCTGCAATCTAGAAAGCACACTTTAAATGTAAGTTTCGTACGACATATAGTGATGGCAGATACGGATAATCATCGCAGCTTGCAACTTCCAACTTGTACATCGCCTCCTCTAAAGGTCCTAAAGTTGCCTTTGGATTCATTGACGGGGACCGGCCCTTTTGTTAGATATTTCGTAGAATCAACTCCCAAGGATGACTGTCTTTTTGCAGTTTGAATATGTCTGATGTGTTTATTTAGGAACTCGAAAGAAAGTAGAGAAAAATAGACACATCTCATACAGAGAAACTATTCCTACTTGCACAAATGCAATATTTCCGTATCCCACGTCGAAACATATCCGCGATTTCCAATCAAACAACAAGAACTATCTTCGCCATACCATCCTCGGATTGTAACATTTATGCAGCGGCTGTTTGGTGTGATGTTATTTGCTGGTGAGCCGGTAGTGCCTGGCCTAGCAGCGCATTTCGGACAGTGAGGTCTACAAGGTTAGTGGGCGGTGATGGGGGAATGTCGAAAATTGTGGGGCCGCAACCGGCGTAGTGCTTTCAGTTGGAGCAAAACTCGCGAAAAGGGCAGGAGCTGCGGAGAACGAGACGAACGTACTCCGACGACTTCTCGTCTACTCCGTAGCCTTCTCCCTTCGAGACCTGCAAACCGCGGCATATATTGGTCGAAGCTGCGCCCAACACACTCGACTCTCGTGCATTGTTTAGAGGGAGGACAGTACGGGCAAAGACGAGACATCGCAGTGCTGCTCCGTGTCCGGTGGCCGGCCGAGAAAAAAAAAGAAAAAAAAGAGAACACTTTTTCCGCGATCGCTCCGCGAGCATTCCACGACCATGCTGCAGCACCGGCTCGGCCGCGGCGCTTCTCGCGCTCTGTCAGCGTCGACCACCGCTGGCGCCCGGGATCTGGCCCGGTGCGCCTCTTCGGCACCTTTATTACGACGCTCCTTTGCCTCGAAGCCGCCCAACAACAACCCGCCACCGCCACCGCCATCCGCTTCCTCTTCCTCCACACCTCAGAACAGACGGCCAGCGGCCGGCCCGCCTGGCGTCGATGCCGACGGCCGCAGTTTCCGTGGCCAGATGCTCGAGAGCATCAGCTCGCGCATGGCCCGCGAAAAGGCGGAGCGCGAGAAGATTGCACAGCAGCGCCAGGACACGGCGTCGTCGCGCAACGCGGCCACCACCTTTATGCTGCTCTTTGTCGGCGCCGCATGCTACTACCTGGGCACCAAGACGCCCCAGGAGCCCTCACCCGACTCGACGCTGCCGCTGTCAGCCACTCGCGCACCCCGCCACCGCACGAGCCGCGCCGAGCTCGAGGCCGCATGGGCCGACTTTGTGGCCATCGTGGGCGCCGACAACGTGAGCACGGCCGAGGCAGACATTGCCACGCACTCGGCGTCGGACTGGTCGTCGCACAGCGCACCCGAGGGCACGCCGCACCCGTTCTGTGTCGTGTACCCGAGCAGCACCGAGGAGGTGTCGCGCGTCGTCAAGATCTGCCACGCGCGCCGCATCCCGGTGATTGGGTTTGGTGGCGGCACGTCGCTCGAGGGCAACTTTGCGCCCACGCGCGGCGGCATCGTCATTGACTTTTCGCGCCACATGGACCGCATCATTACCGTGCACAAGGAGGATCTGGACGCCGTCGTACAGCCGGGTCTGGGCTGGGAGACGCTGAACGAGGTGCTCGCGGAGCAGGGCCTGCTCTTCCCGCCCGACCCCGGCCCGGGCGCCCAGATTGGCGGCATGATCGGCACCGGCTGCAGCGGCACGAACGCGTACCGCTACGGCACCATGCGCGACTGGGTGCTGTCGCTGACCGTCGTCCTCGCCGACGGCACCGTGATCAAGACGCGCCAGCGGCCCCGCAAGAGCTCCGCCGGCTACGACTTGACACGCCTGCTGATTGGCTCCGAAGGCACGCTGGGCCTGGTCACCGAGGCCACTCTGAAGCTGGCCGTCCGCCCCACGGAGACGTCCGTGGCCGTGGCAGCGTTCCCCGACCTGCGCGCGGCCGCGGCCTGTGCCGCGCGTGTTGTCGGCGAGGGCGTGCCCGTGGCCGCCATTGAGGTGCTGGACGACGCGCAGATGAAGTGCATCAACACCGCCGGATCGACGTCGCGCCGCTGGGCCGAGGCACCCACGCTCATGTTCAAGTTTGCCGGCAGCACGGCGCGCGCCGTGCGCGAGCAGATTGACGCCGTGCAGGCGGCGGCCAAGTCGGCAAACGCCGTGTCGTTTGATTTCGCCAAGTCGGCCGACGAGCAGGCCGAGCTGTGGAGCGCGCGCAAGGAGGCGCTGTGGAGCGCCATTGCCACGAAGCAGCCTGGCGAGCGCGTGTGGACGGGCGATGTGGCCGTGCCCATCAGCCGGCTGCCGGACGCCATTGAGGAGGCCCAGGCCGACCTGCGGCGCGTGGGTCTGCGCGGCACGATTGTGGGCCATGTGGGCGACGGCAACTTCCACACGATTGTTCTGTACGCCCCCGAGCAGCGCGCGACGGCCGAGGAGTTTGTGCACCGCATGGTGAAGCGGGCGATTGAGCTGGAGGGCACTGTGACGGGCGAGCACGGCGTCGGCCTGGTGAAGCGCGACTACCTGCCACACGAGTTGGGCGAGGAGACCGTGGCGGTGATGCGCAAGATGAAGGCGGCGCTGGACCCGCTGTGCCTGCTCAACTGCGACAAGGTTGTGCGCATGCAGAAGCCCAAGGCCGGCGAGATTGCCGAGTGGTAAGTGAATGGAAGGGTGGGCTGGGTGCATAAAATCGCAGAGGGATAGATACTATCGCTGGAAGTACGGCTACGATATGAGCAAATGCAACTTTTCAAAGCCTACGACTGTCATTGGAATGTAAATAATATACTTTGATATATAAGTATATGGTATGCATATGTGTGCCGCCTATCGTGAATATTTTGTACGCCGAAATGGAAAATGAACCAATATGCCGTTTGACTATCACACGCTCTTCCCAACGCTAATCAAGACCTCCCCACTCGCCCTCGTCGCCATCGCCTGCGACTTGGCTCTGCTGCTTGCGCTGCTTGCTGCTCGCAATGGCGTCGCGGCGGTTGTTGTCCCGGCGGCGCTCCCAGGCACTCTTGGACGTGATGCGCGCCTTTGCATTGGGAATGGTCTCCCTGCTGTCGCGGCCACTGGTCTTTCCCTTGGTGTGCTTGCCCTTGTTGTTCTTGGCCTTGTCGGCGGTGCCAGCCGTAGTCGTGCTCCGCCGCGACTCGACACCCCGTGTCTTGAGCCGTTTCTTGTCTGCCTTGGACACCTCGGGCAGCGCGTCGAGCAGCCACTGCTGGATGCCCTTGTTTTCTGTGTTGGCGGCGCCACCGTTCTTGGCGGCCTGCTTCTCGCTGGCGGCAATCACGTTTGCCACGCTCTTGACAAACGGAATGTCCTCCTTGGTGTACAGCGTCACCGACAGGCCCCCCTGACGGCCTGCACGACCCGTGCGGCCGGCACGGTGCACGTATGCCGCAGCCGAGCCGGGAACGTCGTAGTTGACGACGCCGTTGACACCCGCAAAGTCGATACCGCGCGCCAGCACATCCGTCGTAATGAGCACCCACACCTGGCCGGCGCGGAACTTGCGCACAACGGCCGACCGTGCGCTGTCGGCGAGGGCGGCGTGCAGCACGCCCAGACGGTCGGCGCCGCCTGCGGCCGCCGGGATGTCGTACTTGAGCTCGTCGTGCAGTGCTGTGGCGCGCTCGGCAGTCTGCGTGAAAACGAGAAAGGGCGGCCGCAGGGCTTCCGACCCACCGCCACCACCACTCCCAGATGTGCCTGTGACGGACGTGCTCGTGGATGGGTGCAGCAGCTGGCGCATGGCCAGGAGCTTGCCCTGCTCGGTGGCCGTGTATACGAGGCGGTGCGTGACGTTGGGCACGGCCGTGTCTTTGAGGCCGACGACCAGGCGGACCAGCAGGCGCTTCTGGCCCTCGTCCTGTTCATGAGAAGACCGGCGGGCCGCCAGCTGCTCGACGACCAGGGCCTCAATGTTGGACGCCATGGTGGCGGACCAGAACGTGGCGCGCAGGTCGGGGTGTGTGCACGCGGCCCAGATGCCCAGAGTCTGCTCGCGGAACAGCGGGTCCAGCAGAACGTCGGCCTCGTCGAGGACGAGCGAGCGCACCGTTGGGAGAGCGCGGCGGGCTAGTGAGTTGAGCAACATGAGCGGTGTTGTCACGAGAATGTCGGCGCGTGTGACCGTCGCCTTGGACGCCTTGGGCTTGTCGTCGTCCCCTTCGTCATCCTCATCGTTGTTGTCCTTGTCCTCCTCGCTGTCGCTCGCGTCGTCTTCCGCTTCCTTGTCGCTGTCGTCCGCCTGCACGCGCATGCCCTTGCTCATGGCCACAACGCGCACACCCGTGCCCACAGTCAGCTTCTTGCCCTCGTTGGCAATCTGGTGCGCCAGCTCGCGTGTCGGCGCCACAACAACTGTGTCGAGAATGTGATTGTGCTTCTGACGTCCGCTGGTCTCGTAGCTGGTGCTATCGTCACCGGCTTTTTCCTTGTCCTCCGCCCGCCGCTTCAGAATGCCGTTGATGGCTGGCACCAAGAAACTCAGCGTCTTGCCGCTACCTGTCGGTGCCACCGCCATAAAATCAACGGCTGTTGTGCACATGGCGCCTGCCGCGGCGTCTCCGGGAAGCGTCGTCTTGCTGAGTGCCAGCGCCGGGTCCAGCAGCAGCGGAAGACTCGCCATCTGCACCTCGGTTGGGATCCGATACAGCAGGCGCTCGAGGTTGTCGGCCAAGCGTGCTGACAGGTTGTATGTCTGCCGCAGCTGCGTGAATGCTGTCAAGGGCTGCGAGAAGAATTGCTTCTTGGCTTCGTCCTTGGCGGCTTTGCTGGCGGCTGCGGCCGCCTCCTCTTCTGCCCGCTTGGCCTTTTTCTCGCTCTTTTTCTTTTTCTTCTTTTCCAGTTTATCGGCCACGGCGGCGGCTGCTGCTTCGGCGGCTGCTTCGGCGGCGGCGCGTCGATCGGTCAGCAGCGTCAGCTTCAGTCTGTGCGACCGCAGGATCTGGCGACATTCGTCTTCGTCTAGCAGGTCGTCGGACGGGTCCCGTTTTTGTTTCTTGGCTGCCTTTTTTGCTTTCTTTGAGTTAGCGTCCGCTTTTGAGGCCGAGGACGAGGCATTGTCGGTCGTGGTCGCAGAACGTTGGCCGAAAAAGTCGAGCTCGTTCAGGTCATCGCTGTCTTCACTCTCGTCGCTGTCGCTGCCACTTCCGCTTCCGCGGCCGCTTTCGTCGCCAGTATTACCCGCTGCATCTCCACTCCGCTTCCGTTTCCGACTCTTCTTGCTGCCGCTGCTGCCTGCAATCAGGCCGGCCACACGGTCGTGGTACAGCTGTGGGTTGATACTGGAGCCGGCGGACGGCAGCGTCGCAGCGCCTGTGGGAAGGAAATTCGTATTGCCCTTGGCCTGCTTGCCGCTGTTGGGCTGCTTGAGGCCGCGCGAAAGGACCTTTAGAATATCCATGGCCCGTGAACAAAGGGGAGGCGTGGTTGTCTTGCTCGTTTGCGAGGCGAGGAAACAATGCGAAGTCTGCTTTTGGTGAAGAAAAAAAAGTGGTAAAGGCGGCAGAAAATGGCGAGCGTACCCAAGACAAGTGAGGCAGGCGCGGCAGGGGAATTATTGTGGGTCTCCGCATTGGGCGGTGAAGGCCCACCAGACAAAACGCACTAAACCGCATTGGGTGGCAACTTCTTTGCGTATAAGTGAGTGTCGGCGATGGGTTTCTTATATGCTTTGGCTTCGGGTGGAATTAAAAGCATGATCGTATTTACTATCAGTTGAATAATATAGCGTTACAATTTTCATTTGGAAAGCGTTTTCTGTCTCTGCAGGCGAAACCAAAAACTGATTGAATACAATTCATAGAAGTCAACGAGGAGCACCAGATTAAAACTACAAACAGATTCACGAACAGGACTCTATGTCTCCCAATATGCACTTCAATATCGCTGCTTCTCTTTCACATTCCGCTAAACTTGCAGGTAGTATTTGGTTGTTGGAAATGCTTCTGATTTTTCCATGCCACGACTGGCTGGTTAGTCAAATTTCCGCGAACAGCACGGAGGGATCAACAGCTCGTCCTGCCTTTATCAAATACACACAGCATATTCTAAAAGTAAATAGATAAGCAGTTTCTGTAGAAGAGTGGACTACATCTCAACTCCACATATGAACAGGTTGTGTGCTGTTCTGCTGTGTTGACGAGTATCCTGTTCGGGCCGCCGTTTTCCAGCTGATCATAATACGACCAATGAGGCTTACCTGGTTCGGGGCTCCGTTTGATGGTCTCATTCTGTCCGTTTATCACAACGTGGCCGTTAGTTTCCTGTGAGGAATCTGGAATGGGGACTGGAGAGAATTGAAGAGAGCAAGGTTCCTGCGGGACCTACCAACGCTACATTTGCCGTGCTGTACCGTCACCTTTTTTCCAGTCGATCTGAGATGCGAGATGCCAGAGGCTACCTGTCGACCATTGGATTCCAGTGGTAGTTATTCTTGGACGGCGGGAAGCTGGTCTCCTAGTTGTCGGTACCGATGGCAAGGAGATAAATAAAGACAATGGAAACAGGTGAAGTTATAGAAACAGAAGGGAGATACCATAAAGACCCGTATCATCTGACACATGGCTTTGGATTATCATGATGTAAACAAAACAACTCGAGACGCGTAATTTTGGACGAGCACACATTTTAAAACCTCAAATATTATGTATTTTTCTATATACCGGTATTAAGTTTTGTGCACGTCCCAGCAGACGCACACCCTCTTAGAATCGCCGCGGTGGTGCTGGGATGGCGTTGCCCAGGACCGAGTCGATCTCGGCCAGGATCTCGGGCGTCAGCTTCTCGACCACATGCAAAGCAGCAATGTTCTCGGCAACCTGCTCCGGCCGCGAGGCGCCGATAATGGCCGACGACACGTTCTTGTTGGCCAGGACCCAGGCGAGGGCCAGCTGCGCCAGCGTGACGCCGTCGCCGAGCTTGGCCGCAATGGGCCGCAGGCTGTCGACCTGCTGCAGCTCCTTTTGCCAGGTCTCGTTGCCAAACGTCTTGCTGTAGCCCACCGTGAACTTGTCGCGCGACTCGGCCAGCCGGCTGCCGGCGGGCGGCGTGGCGTGGCCGTTGTACTTGCCGCTCAGGATGCCCTGCTTGAGAGGCGACCAGATGGTGAGGCCCAGGCCGTACTTCTCATAGAGGTAGCGGAACTCGTCCTCGACCTTGCGGCGCACCAGCAGATTGTACTGGGGCTGCTCGACAATGGGACCGACCAGGCCCAGCTGGTCGGCGGCGCGCCAGGCGTCGGCAATCTCGGGCGCGGTCCACTCGGAGGTGCCCCAGTAAAAAATCTTGCCCTGGTCGAGCAGCAGGTTGAAGGCGCGCACGACCTCCTCGACGGGCGTGGTGCGGTCCGGACGGTGGGCAAAGACGACGTCCACATAGGGCAGGCCGAGGCGCTGCAGAGACAGGTTGACGCCCTCGATAATGTGCTTGCGCGAGAGGCCGACGTTGTTGAGCCAGCGCTCGGGCTGATCGATGTGGGCCGAGTTGTTCTGGCCGTGGTAGACCTTGGTGGAGATGACGAGGTCGTTTTGCTTCCAGCCAAAGTGCTTGATGGCCTTGCCGAGCACGATCTCAGCCTCGCTAGCCGAGTAGTTCTCGCTCGTGTCGAAGAAGTTGACGCCGGCGTCATAGGCGGCCTTGAGGCACGAGAAGGCCTTGTCTGGATGTGTTAGTGATGTATCATGTAGTCACCCTGTACCATGGCAGAAGCTGTAGAGTGCGGCGTACCATCCGTGACATGACCCCCGTAGGTGATCCAGCTGCCCAGGCTGATGGCTGACACTTTCAGGCCCGTGCGGCCGAGATGGCGGTACTCCATAGTGTATTTGGGATATGCCGGTAAAGTGAGCTGAAAGAATCAAACAAGATTGTGACGAGTGGAGGTAGAGGCGGAAATTCAAAAGACCAGAGCGTAAAGTTCAGATTCAGAATGTGCAGATGCCCTCTCCTCAATCTTAGGAATAGGCTGGTTTTTGAGGGCTTTGCGTCCACTGCCCAGGGACTATAGCAAAAGACGTAAAGTACACGCACGCCACAGGTTGCTGCAATGGCTTCATGGGCGATGTGCACTGCGTACCTGCAGCAAGTCCGACCACGGAAGTTGATGGCCACAAGAATGGTACAGTCCGTGGTCCGTTCATTGGTGCATCGTAGTTCTCCTCTCGGGATTCTTTGATCTTGCTCTTCGGCTCCTCCCTCCACTCGAATGGCACCATCGCCTAGCACCATTTCGTGCCGCAGCAGATGTTCTAGCAAACCGCCCATACCTGCATTCTTATTCCCATTAACGACATTTTCTGCCATCCCTTCAACATGGCATTCTCGGATGGGCCCTGCTTGGAAGAGGAAGGCAGAGCTGCTTCGTCCTGAATCTCTTGTCTAGTATTTGTTTTAGGTGCTTCAGAGACAGGAGATGACGAAGTTGCTGAATCATTTCCGCTCTCCACACATGACACCGGCGATTTGGTAGCCTTTGGTTGTGCTGCTTGCTCATGGGTGAATTGTGCTTTTATTCCGACCTGACATTCTCGTGATGGTGTGATCAGTAGCCGTCATGGTATCATAGATATCAGAATGCCCTGTAGGGAATTGTGGGTGTGCTGAAGGATAGCGGCGCTTGAGGCTAACTGGGGGCTCTGGGGAAGAGCCGAGTACGCTACTGCAGTTGAACTCCTACCCTAAGTTTGGGGCGCGACGGACGGCCTTGGGTCCCGACCAATGCTGGCAGGCACGGCGCTGTTCTTGCATCAGTCGAGAACGCTAAACTGGTTAGTTTGGGAAGAGCCAACAACAAGAAAATTACCGCTTTGGGACTGCCGCCCATGGGACAAACGCCGTTGCTATCGTCGCTCGAGCTGTACAATGAGCTGAAGAGGCAGCTGCCCGAGTTTATCCAGGCTCTGGCTGAGAAAAAGGCGAGTGCAGTATGCTCCTGGAGCACCATTGAGTGTGCGTGAAGTTTGTTCACCCCTAACAAATCACCCTAACAAACACAGGCGTCATTGGCCGTCAGTACTTCCCGGCCAAGGATGACCCCGAGGCCAAGTACATTGGCTGGAACTGGAAGAACTCCTACGGCTTCGACATTGTCGACGGCGACTCCCTTGAGGAGCAGCACCGCAAGGTCGAGCATGTACTGCGCGACCGCCTGCAGGCAGAGGGTGAGTGGCAGTCCGACGGCGTGATGTACGTCCTCTAGCGGCTGCCGGCCCTGCACCGTGTCGAGTCGACGGGTCTGCCGTCCTGCTTTAATGGTCTGATGGGCGTATATGGCCGCGCTCGCGATAACAAGGCCGAGGCGCCGTACCCTGGTCTCGACGGCAAGTTCCGCCTGCCGACGACATACGGCGACGGTTCGCCGATCCCCTCTGATGTGCTAGACAAGGTTCTGGAGATTGCCGACAGTATCGGCTTCTGGTGCCGTGGCAAGTGGGTGATGTAGCATACATTGACAACTACACGGTGCAGCATGCGCGGACCCCATGGGTGGCGAACGGTCGCTTCTTGTTAGTCTGTGGGACGGTCGGGAGAAGTCTGTTGCGTACTAGGTGTGACGTTGTAATAGTTGTCGACTAATTATATAACGATACGTTTTTGCTTTTTATGTTTCGGATGCGCTGTGGTGCTCATGGACTTGAAGCAATATTGTCCAAAAGTGATAACCAAGATATATGTATGTATAAGCACTTGTGTGATCGTCTAGATTCAAAGGGTACCTACGATGGCAGGCCCTGCTTGACAAACTTGTCGTAGAGTTCCGGATACCACCGCTGGCCGACGTCGGGATGGCTGATGACGCGGTTGCGTAGCTGGGCCTCGCCGAACTGGACGTGTTAGTAGCGAACAAAGACAACAACGACCAAAAGCGAAGACAAGAACGTACGCAGGAAAAGAGCGGCGACAGAAACTCGCTCGGGACGTCGACGGCGCGCTTCTTTCGGTCGTCCGTCACAGGGATGCGGGCCACAATGTGGGCAGCGGACGAACGCAGGTCGTCTGTCGTCAGGTCGAGGCGCACGCCCTGGAAAAAGGGCACGCTGTAGCGCACCGTGGTGCCTTGCGGGGAGACCACGCGGTGTGTCGTGGCTGGGCACACGCCGCCCGTAATGGCCTCGAAGCCTTGCTGGACGTTGACGACTAGACTGCCCGCAATGGGTGGCGCAGCGATCCACTCGCCGTCCTTGCTGAGCACCTCGAGGCCACCGACGTTGTCTTGTGACAGGAACGTGAACAGGCCGGTCGAGTCCTTGTGCGGGCCGACGCCCTGACCCGGCTGGCCGGCGGGTGTGGGTGGGTACTTGACGAGCTTGAGGCGGTGCATGTTGCCCAAGAAATCGTCAAAAGCGTCGGTGGGGAGGGAAAGCGACTCGGCAACGAAGCCCAGGAAGACGCGGGACACGCCGTCCAGGGCGGCCATGTACGTCTCGACGGCTCTCTGGAATCCGGGCAGCGCGGGATACTGGCTGGGTCCCTCCAACGACCGCCAAGCCGGGTCATCCTCGGTCGGGGCGGGTGGCATGGTCCCGAGAGCGGCGCCTGGTCGGCTGCCAAAGAAACCAAAGTCGTACTGCTCGCGCAGGTCGGCGCGTGCGGCCGTGGTCTCGGCACCGAGTGCTGTGTACCCGAGAAACGACGGTGAGTTGCGCATGTTGACGCGCTCGCGCTCGGCCTACGGGATGCTAAAGGCCTCGGGCAGGCGGCCGTGCAGCTCTTCTAAGAGAGGCTCGACGCCCGTGTTGACGAGGTACAGAAATCCGACGCGGAACAGAGCATCGGCAAGCTTCGGTAGCTCGTTGGCGCGGGTGGCTGGGTCGTTGAGACGACCAAAGTCAATCGTCGGAACAGACGTAAAGTCGCCCATTATTTTGCATATGTGCGTGCTAACTACCTCTTGTGGTGATATCTTGAACGAGTCGGTTTGTTATGACGGAAATGTATGATGTCTCGCGGTTCGGTTTAGTGGGGAAGGCACGACCGCCAAGAGTCACCTACGACTTAGACCTGAAGCCATAACACACCGATGTCGGGAGTTGTTTGATCGTTTCGGATTAAGGTTTTTCTTGAAATCCATCTCGGATGTAGTGTATTATATTACTTGAGTTTGTCGTTTGGTTACATTCCCATTGGCACCTGCTTCCTCGATCTGAGCAGTCATCATTTGCATAGACTTAAAAGATCAGTCAATCCGCTTCCGACGCTGTCATTAGTATTCGAACCACATTCCTATTGCAAGGGAGTCGTTTTGTATGATTGAAGGAGAGGGTCGTGGTAAATAGAATCTGAAGAAAGTAGGATCATAGAACCGAAAGGGTATCATACAGGAAGCAAGAAAGGAAGCAAAGATGCGAGGCACATGACGGTTCCACTCTTTAGCAAGCGGATTCCCCGGTCGGCTACGCTACAAGGAGCCGAGCACCCGTAGAGAATCGTACTGCAGCTGGAGCCAAGACTTCTCCCGCCGGGATGCAAAACGGACGGCGTCACCCGAGTATCCGACGACGCCAATACTGCCGTTGGCGCCCGTCACGAGCGCTGTCTTGCCGCTTACGATGAATAGCGACATGGTCGCAACGTCAATGGACGCGACGGAGGGCGCAGGTTCCGCCGGCAGTTCGAACCTGGGCATTTTTGCGGCGGGGGGCATTTGTGTTGCCTATAGTGAGAGAAGCTGTGTCGACAGACACCTGCAGGGGATATGGATTATGGGAGACGTCGTGGATCGCTAGGGTTGCCGTGGAAAGTCAGACGTGGACGCCATAGGAGAGATCTTCTCGTCAATGGCAGGAGGTGCTCTCCAACTTCCCCAATGTGTAGCAACGGCTTCTTGTTAAGTCGCCAACGGCGTCTCGATGTTTTGCTCGTTTTCTTCAACGCCAACGATTCCAAGGTATGGTACCCCACACAGAACTAACAATGCGCGCGTAGATAATGTACAGCTTCATGGCTGGCAGCGAAAGACGTGAGGCGGGTGGCAAATAGAGTCATGTTTAGGTTCTTTGCATTCCGGCATTCACAAGCAGAAAGAAGTGCAGACTAACCTGCTTTGGGATTCTATCGAGGCGACAGTGAGAAATACAGAAAAGAGACACACTTGTTGTCAACAATCAATGGTTAAACAAGAAACGCCCGTCCGGCGACAATTTGATTACCGCCGAATATCCATCCCAGACTCTCACCTAATACATTGCCCTCATCCTGTCGTATCAAGGCTCTGTTCCGCAGCTGCCTTTTCCTTCTTCGACCTTCGTTCTCTTTCGTGCCTGGCAACTTGTCGTGTGCCCTGGAAAGTAGGAAAGTATGAAACTAGGAAAACAAAGATAAAGAGAAGAAAAACCATCGAAGTAGAGACCAAACGGTAAAGTAAAGTACAAAAGTAAAGTACAATATTTTGGGGCCCCATGATGAAAATGGCTCCCACCCGGTGTCCATCCCAACGCCGTCAACAATGAGGAAATGAGGAAACAAGGATGGCGTGAGAGTGAGAAAAGAAAAAGAGGAAAAAAAGGTATTATGAAAGATAGACAAAGAGGGGGGGGGGGGAGAAACGAAGAAGAAATGAGTAAAACCTGGTGAGACATCTGCCTATACCTAAACACGACTCCGCTTTGCTGCTGCCGAGGGCGACGAGCCGAGGGCGTCCACCGTCCGCTTGTGCCCTGCTGCTGCCGATACACTGCTCTTGGTCTGGCGCCAGCCATCAAAGGGACTGCGCTTCTTGGGCGCAGCTACCGATGTGGCCTTGATGGGCGTCAGCTCCTCGGCCGACTTCTGGCCAGACCGTCTCGTGCGCGTTGTCGTGGGCGGCGAGGCGGGTGCAGCAAACTTGGGTGCAGGAGGTGGTGTGTTCGGTGCCGAGGCGATAGTGGGTTCCAACTTGTCGTCTTCGGCTTCGGCCTCGCCGTCACTGTCGACCGTATTACTCTCCTCAATGTCAGTGTCGGCCTCCTCGTCTTCGGTCGTGCCACCGTTGGGTGTCGTCTCCGCGAAACTGCTGTCCTCACGCGGGAACAACAAGCGCGGCTTGATGGCCGACCGTGTCAGCCGTTTGCCCTTGTCTGCGCCAGACGTCAGGCCTTCCAGGATGTCCTCCTCTTGCGCGTCGGCGCTGTCCTCAAACTTGCGGAAGATCTTCTTGCCACGGAACACGTAGACAAGGCCGTCTTCCCGGCGAGTGGCCTCCTCCACTGTCTGCTTTCCCTCGCCCTTGATCGACACTTGGTTGCGCTTGCTACGGCGACGTGTCGGCTCGGGAGGAGAGGTTGCGGTGGCACCATCACCAAAGAAGGGGTTCTCCGCGCTGGTGTCGGCCTCGGGCACGCGGTCCTGCGAGTCGGTGAAGATGGGAATTGGTTCCTCCTCCTGGACTTCGGTGAAGCTCTCGAGCGAGAAACCCGTGTACTTCTTGCCCTTGCGGGAGGGCGTCTTGCTCGGTGAAGCGATGACCTCATCGACGTTGGTGTGGAATAGGTTGCGAGCGATGGCGGCGATGTTGGACTCGTTTTGCGAGGCCGCGTGTACCTTCTTACTGGGCGTCTTGGCCGGCGTGGGCAACATGCCGGCGCCCATGCGGCCACCGTAGGTGCTGCTCTCGCCACCAGCCGCGCTCTTGTTGGACTTGAGCGCGTCCTCGGGGCTCAGAAAATGGGCAGTAGGCATAGTTTTCTTCTTCCTCGGCGTCGGTGCCGGTGAGAACGTAGCAACGTCGAGGTGTTGCGGATGTGGCTGTAGGTTGTGCTGGTGCTGTGTGGGAGCTGCTTGTTTGGCGAGGCGCGGCGAGCGTGGCTGGCGGACGGCTTGCCGGGCGGCCGCAGATGGTGAAGGTGTGCGTGCTGCTGCGGATCTTGATGCATTCTTGGAGGCAGCAGCAATGCGCGACGACTTACGCGGCGAAAAGGGCTCCCAAGAATCCGCAAATCCTAGGCGCGGTGTAGGTGGTGTGTGAATATGAGGAGGGGGCGACGGCGTGGCCGCAGCTATCGGCGTGGTCGCCATGGCTGCGAGTATTTATGAGAAGAGGGCGGTGAATGAAAGCGCAACCAGTGTGTGCGCATGTGACTGTGTGTGCAGCAGAGCGTGAAGCCGGGTTGCTAGCGTGGGCGCACAGGAGTAGCAAGGTGCAAGTGAAGTTGTAAATAGAAGTCCGAGTTGACGCAGCAGCGTGATTCTGTTCAAGCCGTCGATATCTTGATCTTGAAAGAGGACGGTATGGCGTTGCGATCGGACAATGCAAAGCAGGCCTGGGTGTTTGAGAAAGTATCGGCGGTCCAGAAAAGACGCTTTATCGCGGGCGCCCTCGCGTTGCTGATCTGTTTTGATCTTGTTTCCCAGACGTAATGACGAGGAGCAGGAAAAATGAGTAGAAAGGGGACGAGGAATAGGCGGTCACGAAAAGGATGTCAGCAATGCTGGGTATAGCAACAAATAGGCGCAATGTGCTAAGGATGAACAGTAAGAAGCAGAATTCGTCAACGACGAGAATGCAGAACAACGAAGGTGAGTAAAACAGTGCTGGTGGGAATTGGTTCTGACGATGTTTGTGTCTGGTGACGATGGGGAAGTGGAAAGTAGGAATAACGGCGGGAGATCCCAAGGGCGAGCAAAAATCGAGGAATTCGGTGGCTGGGAAGGCTCGACTGCCGCTGCTTGGTGGAACAGAGGGCCCACAGGGGGGTGCTTTCTGTCTTTTTGCTGGTAAATGTTGGCGTTTGCCTTCCTTTAAGGCCCCACTTTGACCTTGTGTCCTTCTGCAGCAGCGCCAACAGGGCGAAACAGTCCTTACCTGCCATCAGTGTTCGTTATTTTGTCCTGCACGTTTAAGTGGAGACCCACTCAGGGCCAATTTACTGGAGGCAAGGAAGTGACGAGGATGCGAAACTGACGCGTCAAGAACGCGTCGTACCAAGCCGGCCACGCTAAGGGCTTTTTGTTGGCCGGGACGCTGAGCAGGAACGGCCAATCAGAGACACGACTTGACGGAAGGTGCCAAGGGAACAATACAAACAACACACGCATGCAGCCTTACTTTGCCCCGCCTACTCAGCTGCGACACAACAACAGGCTAAGAGAAGTCTCGCAACAGGACAGAGGACGCAGGGAGTACGAAAGGACCACGGACCTGGGGCCAATCTCCCAGTGTAAGAGGCAAAGGGAGAATAGCGAAACAAAACATAACGTCATTCGAGACCCAACCAGGCCAGAAACAGGTTCACAGGGCTCCATCAGGCTGTGGCCAAGGGGTGAAATCAACGTGGAACCAGAAAAAGGGCACAACAAACGCCGACAATCCCACGTCATTTGGGCCCAAGGGAGACTTTACCACCCCACGAAGTACGGAGTAAAAACAAACAAAACCACGCGCGCACAACAACGATCGGAATAACCATGGACAGCTCCGACCTGTTCTCGTCGTCGCCCGTCGAGGAACCCGCCTACTTCGGCCGCGACGAGCGACCCAAAACTCCCAAGACGCCGACGGCCAAGACGCCGCAACGGACACCGCCAACGCAGCAGCAGCAGCAGCAGCAGCAGCAGCAGGCACATCCTTTCGATGCTGAGGAGGCCCGCGATGCCATTCTGCAGCGCGAGCTCGAGGGGGTGCGCCAGATCAACAAGGTCATCGAGGGCGTGATTGGCACATTGGAGCAGTCACGGGGAAACATGAGTGTATGTCAACGATGCACATAGGCTCTTCTTCTTTATTGCACATACTGACAAACAGACCGTCGCACAAACCGTCGGCAACGCATCGGCACTGCTCAACACCTGGACACGTCTGTTGTCGCAGACGGAACACAATCAGCGCCTACTGCTAGACCCACAATGGCAGGGCGCGACACAAGACCTCCGCGCCCTCGAGGCCGAAGCCCTGCAGCGTCAACAAGAGGCCGAGCGGCGCGCGGCCGAAGCACAGCGAAAACGCGACGAGGCGAAGCGCAAGGCCGAGGAGGAGGAGGAGCGGCGGCGGCTGGCAGCACCCTCAGCATCGTCCACATCAAGAGGACTCTCGTCGAGGGGAAGGGGTTTACGAGGTGGTGTGCGCGTTGGCAATAGAGGCGTCGGGCGGACAATATACGGGACATCCACACGGGGCGTGAGCAGCCGGACTGGCAGCTCTGCGACGGGAACGGGCAGCACAACCACCTTCAGTGGCCTGACCCGAAGCAACAGCACAAGCGCGAGCAGCAACGCACGCAGTGGGTCGAACATTGGCCGTGGCATACCAAGAGGAACACGAGCCAGCGGCCACGGTGTACGATGATGCTCGCTTTTGGTGGACACAAGGCGAAGATATGAAAATCAAAGTAAACCAAATAATGAATTGATGAATAGTAGCCCGGACTACTCGCACTGCATGCAGTTGCTATCCAAACACCCCCAAAACGCCACATTGACCATGCCCATAGACCACTCCAGGTCCTCGGGAGCCCACTCCGTTGCCCAAGTATCATCTACTTCTTTTTGAAAAACTCGCTCAGCTTCTTCATGCCTGTCACGTTCACCTTCTTGAGATTTTTCACGCCCCGACTCTCGCCCGCCTTCTTGCGCTTCTCCTCCTCCAACTGCTTGCGCCTCTTCTCTGCCCGGTCGTCGTCCTCCTCGTCCTCCAGCCCGCGCTTGCGCCCGCCTGCGTAATCGAGTGCTGCTGACCGCGCCAGTGCCGTCGCCTGCCGCATCTGCGCCAGCTTCGCCAGGTATGCGTTCAGCGGCGTGAAATCGATGCCCGAGGCGGAGGCAGACCCTTGAAGCTTCTTGGTGAGCGTCGCCGTCAGTGCTGGTGGCACGTACCGCGAGCAGATAAACTGGAACGCCACACGCAGCCGCTGCAGCGCGACCACCTCCTCGGGAGCCTGCATTGCGGCGCGAGCAACGAGGTCGTCCTCACTCTCACCACCCGCTACGGAGGTGGCTGCTGTCGATGCTGTTGACAGCGTTGACGCTTCCGATACGAGACTAGCCGTGGTCGACGTTGAAGCCTGCGATTCAGCGCCCGAGTCGACCGAGCCGGCCGTAGACAGCGGTGTGGATGCGCCATTGGTCGACGCTGCTGCTGCTGTGGCCGCCGCAGACAAGCCAGCTGTCGATTTTAGGCTCTGGACGGGCGCTTCCAGCGCCCGCGTCACAAACTTCTCCTCCAGGCTGGCTGGCAGGTGCTGGCTCGTGCGCTGCGCCTTGCCCAGCAGTGCCAGAAGGACCTTGTCCTCGTTGAGCCGGTACATGGTCTCGTCGGCCGCCGCCACCGTGTCGCACACGACGGCCATGCGCTTCGTGAACAGCGTCCGCACGGCCGGTTGGTACCGCAGCAGCTGCGACAAGTGTGACCCGCCGTCATGGCGCAGCGCGTCAAAGTGGTCGTCCGCCGTCAGGAACATTCGCTTGGCCGTTTGGTGCCGGTCGGGCGAGGACGGCGAGCGGGAGCGGGAGCGTAATGGTCGTGGTGGCGAGTCGGACCCGGAGGTGAAGCAAGGCTCTGCGACAAGCGCTGGGAGAACAAGGAACAAGGGGTCGACGGCCGTGGCCACGAAGAGGTCGGCATCTTGGGTTGTTTGGGTGGAGAACGTGGTTGGCGATTTTGATGTGGTCCCTTCACCTTCTACTTCTGTTGTTGATTTTTCGTCCTCCTTCTTCTCGCCGGTCACTCCATCTTCGCCTGTGATCAACCAACTGCGTGGTGTCGACTTGGGACTGGAAATCTGTGTGAACTCGTAGGCGCCCGTTTCGGGGCAAACGAGGAATCGCGTCGATTTCGAAGAGTACCGTGGGTGTGGCAGTGTGACGATGCGAGCGTCCGCAGTGGCCTTCTTTGGCAGCACAAAGAGCCGCGGCGGATTGTCAGTCTCGGCCTCGAGGGTATAGGTTCTTGAGGTTGCTGTTGTCGTCTCCGTGTCATCACCACTGCCTCCTTTTGCCTTGGAGGCACGTGTTGTCCGGGGTGGCATTGTTGGATGTCGACTTGTTGGCAAAATAAATAAGACAGCTACAAAGAATTCCTGACACCTCGATTCTCAAATTGGTCGCGGCCGTGGTTGTTGTAAGGTCGTGTGGTGGAATTGTCGAGGTCAAAAGATCCGTTGTAGTCGATGGCATTAATTAGCATTACATAATCCGTCGCGTCTTGTTACGCCAGGAACGCGTCTGTCACGCGTCGCAATATCGAGGCGGCCCTATCCCCCATTCTGCACTTCAACAAAACCACCACCACCAGACTGGCAGACAATAACATCTCCTTTTCTTGGCTAGCCTCATTTTCTTTATCGTCGATCGATAAGCATGTTTGAAACGATTGCTGTCGAGAAACGTCTCCTAGTCACCAAGCGAACAGCTGAATGCTTGACCCAACGGTTTTATTTCATCGACAACGTCATAGCTTGCTTTCTCACCATTCGTCATTTTCCATTTCGGCACCTACTATTCGTCTATTCAGCCATTCTCTTCCAGTGCAACGACCCAGGATCGAGTCCTATGCGAAGCGCCATACGACATCGAGAGCTTTCTAGAAGCGCCTTATTCGTCTTGCCGAGTGCGGATAACAAAACGGTTTTCGACACCGTTGACGCCCTTGCTGACTGTCCCAAGCCATCTGGCGTCCCGGGCAGAAGCAAAGGGTAAACAACACAACCTTGCCTAATATACTTTCCGCCTCGACGGCCCGCTATCATCGCCTTCTTTCCTTTTCCAATGGTGGCAGCCAGGCTTACCGTCTACTTATTTTGTCTTTTTGTTTTTGTTGCATTTTAGCCTTCGGAGGGTGCACAGAGAAAAAGTTGATACAATGTCGAGTGAGTATTTGTACGCCGGCTTGCCTACTAGTCCGCCAAACCGCCTGCTGACACCATGGCTCTCATAGAATCCGAACCACAATGGCCTCCACGATCGCCCGGGGAGGTCCTCCTCAGCACACCCGGTGGCCGCGCCCGACTACGGCGCCTCGAAGCATCACGAACCTCGCCCTCTCCCTCTCGCGGTGGGCGTGCCGGAAGCCACATCTTTGACGACGCGGCTATGGGCGGAGTAGCAGGCGAGGACGAGGACGATGAAGAGACACTGCAACTGCAGTTGCAAGAGATCCAGGCGAAACTGCGCTTAAAGAAACTGCAAGCTGCCAAAGCACAAAAAGTGGCCGCTGGCGAGTCATCGGCTCGGTCAACACCTGGGTCGGCGAAAATAGCAGCTGGCAGCGGCTCTGCAACACTACACAATTCCAGATCGCCACAGCGCAGTACAGTGGAAGTGCCGGCGTCTCCAGTACGGCGACCACAATCGGCAGTGGAGGCTCTGACGCAAAAGTCGCCCAAGAGGGTGTTGTTGGGGATTGACAAGGGACTGCGCGGCCAGGATGTCTCATTACGGCGGCCGCCATCTTCCTTCCGGCGAGGGCTGACGGGTAGTGCTAGCAGCTCTAGCATCGAGGGAGGGGGTAGCAGCTCGTCATTGTCACAGAGAGAACCAGCGCCACGGCCTCTAAGCTTCAACGAACGATTAGCAGCGGCACGGACGCAAGAAGCTGCTCGTCAGGACAAGTCGGAACGCATCCAGAAGCTGCGGACATCGGGCTTCGACGTGGGCCGGGAGGAGATGGATCAGTACAAGGCCAAAGCTGTCGACATCCCAGTCGTTGAGCGAGGGCCGCAAAAGTTCAGTCGGGACGACATTTTGGGGGCGGCTTCCGGACGAAAGCAGTACGACGCCGACAGTGGTTCCTTGCGACGCAGCAATACGACGCCGAATATTCGATCCAAGTACATGGATGAAGGCGTGTCGGAGGGGGCAAAAAAAGACACTGCCACGGCAGAAACCGACGAGGCTTCCTTTGAGCCTTACAGCGGCTTCCATCTCACACGCCGTAACCTCCCGCACTCCGTCGTGGCGCGCTCTGTGTCTGGCAAGACGGCGTATACCATCAAAGATCTACTCCGTCTCGTCAAGGCACCTCAATTCGAGCTCCCCCAGGTCGAGACGGATGTTGTTGTTTGGGGAATTATCGCCGAGAAGTCGGAACCGCGGTCCCACAAACCTGCCGGTAGTGCTGCTGGTCCGGCTGCGAACCAAGACCGCGGTAAGTACATGGTGCTGACGCTCGTCGACCTCACTTACCAGGTCGAGCTATTTCTCTTCAAGTCAGGCTTTGAGCGCTTCTGGAAGCTCTCAACCGGTACCGTCGTCGCCATTTTGAATCCGAGCATTATGCCGCCACCGCCCGGCCGCCACGATACGGGCAAGTGGAGCCTTGTCATCAACTCGGACGATGACACCATTTTAGAGATTGGCAACGCCCGCGACCTAGGGTACTGTAAGTCTATCAAGCGTGACGGTCACCAGTGCAGCACCTGGGTCAACGCCAAGCGCACCGAGTTTTGCGAGTTCCATACCAACGAGGCGGCGAAGAAAATGCGCGCTTCACGTAACGACCTCAACGGTGCCGCTGGGTTTGGCACCAGTGACAAGAGCGCGCGGGGTGGGCGTGGTGGCGGCCGCGGCAGGGGTGGAGGGGACTACTCTTCCGGCCGGGGCGGCAAGAGCAACACGGGCTACGACTACATGACGCAGAGCCAGTGGTTTGCCGCTGGCAGCAGCGCCAGCTCGCTCATTGACAACGAGGCCCTGAACGGCGGGTACTCGGACCAGGTAGAGCGCAAGGAGGGTCTCAAGCGGCGCCTGGCCGCCAAAGAGCGTGAGTCGGACATTGCCCGCAAGCTGAGCGAGATTGGCACGGGCGCCGGCAAAGACTACATGAAACTTGCGGGGCGCGGCCCAACGACCACAAAGAAGGGGTCGTCGTCCTCCACCACATCGTCATTTTCCACAACCCGTTCTTCCCAGCAGTCGCAGCTGTCGTCGTCCTCATCCATGACAACAGTCGGGTCCGCCGCTGAGCAGGCCGCTGCGTCACGGGCAAGTCTTCTCGCGTCGGTTGTCGGAAGACGCAGTGGTACCAGCGCGACTGGTATTGGTAACAGTGGCCTGCACGTCCGCGACAATACGCCCAAACTGGGCCACGAACCGCCGTCGACAACCGTCCATCTCGGCCCAGCAAAGCGCAAGAGACCACAATCGGCTCTTTCGAGTAGCGTGGGCGGTGGCAGCAATACGAATACCGGAAGCGCAGCGTCGCAAAGCCAAAGCGGTGAAGGTTTTGGCTGGGGCACGAACCTAAAAGCCAAGTTGGGCCGGATGAAGGATGGCGAGCGACTCAACAACAACCAAACAATCCAGAACGGATTCAAGCGACAGGCAGGAACGGCCACAGCTGGGTCAACTCTGACCAGCTCGGCGTCCACGCCCATCTTGCCTGCACCCGAGCGGTCGCCTGTCCGTAAGAAAACACGCTTTCTTCTGGGTGGCAAGGGCATTCGTGAAGCCGGGCGCGAGAGCCTTGGGACAACTGCTCCTAGCAACGCCAACTTTGATGACGATGAGGACGAGTTGGTGATTATTTGAGTTTCCATAGGAACTTGCGACAAAAAGGATGATCAAAAAGAGCTTGAAATTAATGAGCAAATGATATGCATTGAGCGTTACCTTTAAAAATTATACTAGCTTTTGGTTTCTGCGGTTTGGGTCTCTTGCCACTTTCTTTTGTTTTGCATCATGAAGTCTAGCAGCATTTACTTTGTTAATGAGCCTCGGCGTATTCAAACGATTCAAAATACCGCGTCACATAATTCGGTTGTTGAATATATTTATGTTTTTTTTTCCGGAGAATAACATGAAACTTACGGATGATTTTCATATTCCTCTTCGTATTATTTCTCTTTTCGATTTTAATTTTTCATTTTTAATAGTTGAAGGTATCATATAGTGAATGCCGAGCCAGCGACTTTGTGGTACAGAATAACTCTGTATATTTATGTCCATTTACCATCGTAATACTTTTTGCTTTTCGTACACTTGCACAATACAGCGAGCCGACAAGTAATGATATTGTCTTGTAATTTGGTCGTCAAAATCACGTGATATAACATGTGCTTTATCCTACTTGAAATCACGGACCTGGCCACTGGAATCGAGCTAGGTATAGCCCAACAGTTTTGAAACATATGAAACAGCGCAAAGCATTGGCGTTCCGGTGATGCACGGGAGATCAGTAGGCATGTCAAAAAGAACAGACTGTTCAGTGATCCCAAACAGCTGGTCGTCGTCGTCACCGTCGCTCTTTGCAGAGTACGTCAGATAAAAGTGAGATACGAATACGACACAATCGGGCACTCAACATACGGTATGCGCCATCCAGGTAGTGACAGATCCGTTTATGCACCTGGAAAATGTCACGGTAAAACGGACTTTGCGGTTGGAATCCTCTTTATATGACGAGTTCCTCAGCAAACAGCCTACGAAGTAATTGTTCTGGAAGGCTCCTGCCCGATTAAGAGCTGCCTAGAACGAGGGTGCGATACTAGAGCACCAAAGAGTAAAGAATAACAGAAAGGCCCCACGTAAGCTGTTTTTAGGCGGCCATATAACGTGAGGTGGCATTTCGCTTTTGTTTGCCCTCCAGCTGGTGTTCTGGGGCATCATTCCAGAATGTCAGAGCAGGCCACGGCACTAGCCACAGGGCATTTCATCAGTGACAAGCCCCTGTAAAAGCGCAAGAGGGGCGCAAGCTCCAGCCAACAGGCCAACTAGCGCATGTGCCTGAAGGTAACGGGCAACGGCGACCAGCCTCTGGGGACCACGCAACGAAAGGAGGCTGGTGCCCTCTGCCATTTCTCACCCAAAAAGCGGACACCCTGGTCACCAGCCCCATTTGTCTCTCGTTCTTGCCCCAATTCCCCAAAGTAATATTGAACCTGTTGCTACGTACTACTTCCGTAATCCGTCGATGCCACCGAAACGCCGAACAAACCAAAGCAATGCAACCTTCAAAAGCAACACGCACTCTCCTGTGAACACGAATACCAAAGAAGATCAGGACATCGCGGAATAGGAAACCATACCTTTGTAAACCGTCGGACGAACATTGAATCAACAGCACGTCTCTTTCGATAAACAAAGCCCACGAACGAACCCCTGCCAATACGCGGACCTAAAAAGGGATTTCTCCTTCTCCCGATTCGGTTTTGAACCCCTTCATCACTCAAAGGACAGAGCAAATCCGCCCTTTCTTTCTTCTTGAAGAGAGGACAAGTTTGCAATCTTGTCGACATACCTTCCACGGATTTCCGTTCCTATTGATAGCAAAACTACCTGCGCACGCGCACGCTTCTTCACAACCAACCGCCTAAGATGACACTCCGGGAAGAGTTCGCGACGAGAAACTTCAGTATGTTGTGAGAGACGAGAGAGGGAATAAGAGGGCATGGAAAGGAGGACTCTATTTGGAAACCGTCGCGATGGTGCCATGTATAATCGCGACCTTTTCAATTGACATAAGGCTAACCATGCGGTCTTGCGACAGGCATCTACGGACAATGGTATGTCTCCTTGTATCTTGATCTTCATCGATGTCGCTCTGTGCTTGTCGACTGCCCATCGTCCGATACTGCCCAACGAAGCCGATCACTACGCTTGAATGCCAGAAACCCGAACGGCCGACCACAGCATGTTACCTACGCAATGCGCGTACGTTGGCTATATGGTATCCGGCGACTTACCTCTCGTTGCGCAAAGCCATGGCACAGCTGAGCAGGTGACAACAGGGCGGAGGCGGTAGTAGCGGCTTGTTGCAATGCGACTGCCAAAGTAGCGACGGCCAACATAGCGACGACGGCGACGACAAGTGTTTGAGAAACCAAGGCTTAGACACCATCGGAATGTACTAACATTGTCCTTTCCAGGCTCGGTATCCTGTCCATGATCTTGTGCTTTGCCCTCGGCATTGCCAACGTCTTCACAATCCACGTCGGCGTCATCGTCTTTAGTGCAGTCTGCCTGTAGGTCACCCCTCACGCCTCAGGGAACGCCGTTACTTCCCCCTTGTCCCATGCATCGTCTAACGAAACAGTGCCTTCTCGTTTATTATCCTCTTCATTGAGGTCCCTTTGCTGCTGCGCATCTGCCCGACGTCGTCCACTTTCGACGCGGCCATCCGCCGCGTCTCCACAAACTGGATGCGCGCCGCCGCCTACGGTGGCATGGCCCTGGTCCAGTGGTTGAGCATCCTCGCCTCGCGTACAAGTCTGATTGCCGCTGCCGTCTTCTTGTCGCTGACGGGCATCTGCTACCTGTTGGCTGCGATCCGTGGCCAGGACTTTGTCGGTAGTAAGACGCTCGGCGGTGCCGGCGTGGCGCAGATGATTGTATAAGAGGTGGCGGTGAATACATCACTGCCCCTTTATGTTGACGCACATCGGAACGGCTCCTCGATACAAATCTAAGCTCCCGTCAACAGTCGATGCCGAGGAGGGAGTGAGTGACTTCGCTGGAACAAGGAGAGCTTCTACGGACGACTCATCGGAGTCTGGTCGCAAGTATGAGCAGGAGTAAGGTGGAAGTGGAGTGGTAGACTGTTGTGACGACCTCATTGGGAGGCGTATGTCTTTCTGGATGTGCGAGAAGGCACAACTTTGGGTGGCGGTAATCATGTCGTTTTGTACCGCATGCGTTGAGTTGAAAAAGGGCCTGGGCAAGTAGAGACGGCTAGTAGAGACGATCAGTGCGCATCTCTCTACTGAATTGCCAACGACGTGTTTTGCTTTTTTCCCCTTCAATTTTCCTACTTTCGGTTCTTGCTTCTGCTTCTGTTCTGTTGAGGGTTTTTTCCCTGCTCTTTTTTTTGTTCTTATCACCCATCTTGTGGATCACATCACATCTTACATATTTCATTCGGGATTGGCTTTGGCGTCGAAAGGAATTACTTACTACTATTTGGACTCATCCTCGCTTGCCCCTCGAGCCCTGGTCTATCTCTTGTCAAACATTTTGATCTTCCATGATGCCTGTGTTCCTGAAGAGAGGAAGCCTCGCGATGTCGACGTATGTCTAGGTAATGGCCCCACGTTGTCTCCACGTGTGACCAATATACAATAGTCTGTACATCTGTACTCATTACTCTGTGCCAAGAATTTTGAGTCCATGATCTTCCAGCCCTTCTAGGCACAAAATTCTTTATAAGAGAGGGTCCTGGGGGTGTATTGTTGATTCCGTTATCCGGTTGCTGGGTTTCTGGAGCTTTCTGGGGCAAATGATGTCATGAAGCAAGGTTTGGCGTCTTTATCGGCTGGTCGATGGACATCTGTGGAGCATCACACGTCAGGTTGCACACGCGCGGGAAACGGACAAGTCAGAAGTAACAACCGTGGATTGCCTATGTCGCCTCGACGATGACTCAAGTCTTAGATGAAACGACGAAAGACGAGAGGGACCTCCAGACTCGTCCAGGCTCTGCAAACGGCTGCCTCTGTAGGGGTCAGCTTGCATCCTTTTTAGGCTACCTCTTTCTGTTCGTTTTGTAGCAGGTGAAAGTTTTCTTCGGTAGTATCCATTGGGAGCTCTCACGACCTTGTGAGCTCTGAAGAGCTTGGGCAGGGAGGAGGTTTCCGTTGCGCGGGGTTGCTTCCGTTACCGTCGTAATTCTATATCCTTGATATTCCATATGAACACCTATCTTACAGCCTCGTTTGCACGTGTCGTAATTTGGCGTGACTGGAAACAACGCAGACGAGAAAATGAACAGGGCCGTTTCTTTCTCTACTGCCACCTTAGTTGTTTTAATCCTGTTTGTTTTCTTTTCTTATCGTCGTCGCGGGCATGTGCTGCTGCAGGCTGCCGTATATTGCACTCCTGATATTCTATGAGGCATTTGGTGATCGTGTAAAATAGACACCGCATCTCCTATTTGGCCGATTTGTTTTGACTTTTGGGTGAGCGATTTGGTGATTTATCCCTCTTACATCTGAAATGGTTCACCATCTCTCATAAGCTATGCTGTCATCATGGCCAAAGTCAGTCTTTGCAAAGGAGGAGCAGTAAAAGTCGAACAAGGCCTATCAGTGAGAAAAAAGAAGCAACCGATGTGAGGATCTACCAAAACGGTTAACGACGGCAGATGACGAAAATTATGGATCGTGGCATAATTTTAAGATAGCTTCAGGCAAAACTTCCCTGCCCATTGGCTAACAAAGTCTAGGTGAGGCAACCCCAGGTGGTGCATCAAAGTATGGCGTACGGCACACCCGAGAGAAGAATAAAAAGACCCCAGTTGCACAGTGCACAGTGTTCAACCTCCCAGGCCCGTTTTGCTCCAGGTCCGGCTCACGTCCAAAGCTAATTGGCAGTGCCCCCTTTGTCTAGAGAGGGGTGTGCAAAATTTGGCGCTCGTGATGTTCAAATTTTCAGGCGGCCCCTCCCTGTATTCCTAGGCGAGCCTAGACCGTCCCACGTACGCGTCCTTCACTGGAGCCCTCTGCTTCCTGGCATGGTCGACAACCGAAAACAACAGGTCACGTATTCCTTCAGCCTTCTAGAACGAATTCGACACCCCCTTCTCTTCACTGTATCTTTCTTTTGAAGAAGACTATCTTGAAGCCACCACCTGCTTGTTCTGGATGTCAGCATTTTCTGACAGGGGTTGAGACCTCTCAGGGGAAAGGCGATTGGCATTTGTTTTCGTTTTGGATATGATTTACAGCATGATTGGCGTCTACCATATCATCCTCTCACACCATCTCCTGAACAGCCTCAGACCGCCCGTTCCTACAGAAGAATCGCCCTTACCCGACGGCCCTAACCCTGTCGATCGAGATGACTGTATTCGTTGTTTGCGTTGGACGCTGTCTGTCGCCATTTTGGATGTTTGGGGAGGGCAAAAAAACGATCACGCTGCCATCGTGCATGAACTGTTCATATTTCGTATTCTCCTCGTGGCCGCTTTCAGCATTATTTTGTCTTTTACTTGGATTACCCGCATTGGCGTTTTGTCGTCGATCTCTGTTTCCGCATGTTTAACGGCATCGTCTTCTTTTTCGTTTCACGTCTGCTCTACCGTCTTGTTCTTGACGCTCGTTCCTGGCTCTCTGGTGCAAGTCCATGTCGTCATTCTCGGGTATCCCACCTCACTTTTGTGGCATGTTGAACTTATTTTGCCCACGGTGGCTAATTTACAGTGGCATTGCCCACTGGAATTTGCCATAATAATGAAGTAATATGACCTAGTGTTGCGATTTTCAATGTGGACTTTTTAACGCCTCGTCGGTCCTGATTCCAGCTCCCTTTGCCACTTATGCTGTTGACGTTTTACGTTCTGTACTCTTCGCCTCCAAGTACCAGTTTTTGTCTATTTTTGTCTGTGGAGACAAGACAATTAGTCTCACTCGACTTCACAACTCTTTGTATTTTTGGTCTTCTGGCCTTTTTTTTGCTTTCCACTGTCTACTGAGGATAACCCAAATTTGATGCTTCGCGAACAGGAAGTGACGACGTCGTACGTGGTCCTGTAAAGAGCACACTGCTCGGGACGTGCTACGCATTGGCATCGTGTCGTATTGTCTTTTGGTGCTTTTACAAGTCTCTACAACAGAGTTGACCGCCTGGAGAGTCAAGATTGTGGAGACGAAGTCTTTGTCAATCCGGCCCCGCTCATTCGTTCCTTCGCCCACTTGTGACGAGCACGGCATGTCAAAACGGGCAGGAGGAGCTGGTTTGCACGCCCAAAAGGGATGCTCTAAGGCAGGCTGCTGATCGGGAAAGACGCGATAGTCAGCTAATATATGAGGCAAGAGCATGAGCACGACAGAATTGCTCTCGCCGGTATCTCTGTCACGACAATCAAAATCGACATTCAACGGTGCACTTTCCGTCTCCCTGGCGTGTATACAGAGACACAGTGTCCGCAGAATCGAAGTCAACGCGGATGTGCTTCTCCTTTACCGTGGCATTTCATGCATAAAGACTGTCGCGTGAACAAAGGCCAGAACCAATTTAGCTTTAGCTGCAATTTGGTAGACACGTCTTTCTGAACCTAACCACCTCAGCCCTCCTTTTTTTCGAGCCGTTTCCCTCACAAGAACAAACGGTGAATAATTAGTTGCTCGCTGTCGTTTGCAGGGACAGTGGAGGAAAAGATGGGTGACAGGACAAACATATCAGAACAGTTGAAGGGACGTGATCCGAGCTCGCAAAGACGGCAGAATAAATTGCTTTTTGCCGACCTGTATGTTGTACAGAGTACCTCGTACACACGTGCAAACTTCTCGTCAGCCAAGCAGACAATCAGGAAGCCAAGTTGCTCTGTCATTGGGTGTTCGTCCCGCATATCTGGGAGCACTTGCAACTGACTTGCAGCTCCAAGACGAGCCGTCCTGCCGTCGTAAAAACTCTGCGCTGCGATTGTGAGGATCGTTGGCATGGTCACGCGGTGGAGACACACGAACGCCCACGCCGCCTTTTTGTGGAGGCGGTGGGCAAGGCATGCGGGCACGGGCATGGGACATGGGTTGAGGGGAAAAGGGGAGAAAACCTGGCCGTGCGACTGGAGACGATGATGCTATTGATTTTCTGTTTTCCCTCGACATCAAGCTCTCCTGCTCTGGTGATTCGCATTCTGTCTGGCATTCTTTCGAAGTCTTTGAGAAGCGGTGCAAGCAAAAGATGTCCAGGTTGTCGTGTGCCCCTCCAACCCTTATTTCACGCCCAGCATGCTTCGGGCCAAGTACTAGATGGGGGCGCCCGTCGGCAATGGACAAGGTGGCAGAAAAGAATGGCAGTTCACCAGCAACATCAAAAGACGGTCTGAACGAGTCATCGAGCTGCACAGTGCGTTAATTCGCCCTCCACATTCGCACGCGGCCCTGCGGCTTTGGGGAAAGAACGACCCACTTGGGCCTATGTCTAGAGCGCTCCGTAGAAATACGGGTAGGTACACACAGTCGGTAGTAAACATCGACAAATTATTGGTACCGCCCGGTACACCTACCGCGCCCGCCTGGAAACTGCAGCTAATAGCGAGCAAGATATTTGTCCACTCCCTGTGTGTGAGCATTTCGTCGGCCATTTTAGTGGTCTGGCGCCGCTTCCTGTTCCACATCACACGCCCATGCACGCCCTGTATCCTGTACGACGCACGCCCATCCCCCTCATGCCGTTTAAGTCAGGTCCTTGGCCTTTGCGGTGCATGTAAATACCTTGCCATGGTGCTTCCTTCCCGACTTGCAAACTAGCATCGGCAATTCTTGCTTTCTCGTTCGTCTTTCTCCTTTTCTTCTTCCCTGTTCTACCGTTGCATGTTGCTGCATCTACATCCTGTTGTCTCCCTTTCGAACCGTCAAACGAGTACTGAATCCCGCCCTCAGCACGCTTACACGCAGCAGCATCTCCCGTCCAGCATCTCCCGTCCAGCTGCTCACGCCTTAAGGTACGTCACGGAAAGCAACGGCACTTGCTTTGCGACGTCGTCGTTTTTGCAATTTTCTCCAATTGGCCTCACATTCGTGTTTCTTGTCTTCCGGTTGTGTACCTCTGCTCTTGTCCACACTTCTACAGCCTTTGACGATTCTACCGGGCCCAATCCGTCTTTCAATTCCTCTCCCATCGTCTCCAGCTGCCCGAGGTCACAGCTGCATCTGCCACTCGCCATTCTTTCACGGCCGTCTCCCCCAGTCTGCGTTTAGGCCGCCATCGTGGAACCACAAGATCATGTCTCCTGCTACCCATTGGGAACTACGATGCCAGAAAAACGCAGAAAGCCTCAAAACGAGACGGCGCAAAGGACGGGCTGGAGCGGTACGCAGCTTGCAATGGCAACAGATGCAGCAAAACGAGCTCCAATGACAACGAGACAGACGTCCTAAGAATGGCGAGAGTTCCTGGCCTTTGGCGTCTGTTCGGAAAGCAGACGCGCTGGCACATTAGCCTCGCCCCTTATTCGTTTTCCTCGGCCCCTTGATTTTGTCCTGTCATGGCTTTCCATCGGAATGTGCTTCCTATCTTCATCTCAATCCCCTCTGCCGTGTCCTTCCCCTTATCCTTTCAGGTCGCGATAAGGTTTTGGGTCCTTATCAGTACCTACCTCCGCTCTGACTCCCGTTATCTTCCATTTGGACTCTTGTCCGTTGCGGTCGTCACCTTGCTGCGGCTTGATACATGAGTTTCACATTTTTACATGTTGCAGCCCCAACAGGTCCCATCCATTGCATGCGTGCGTCGTTCTTTCTTCCCCTGCCTCTTATCCTCCTCGTTTGTTTTTCCCCTTCTGGCCGCTACTTTGACCCACATCCTGCACCGAGCAAACTTATCTGCCTGCATTCGGTTGTATCTTCGTGCGTTGCAATGCCTTAAGAGATTCTAGATCTGTTCCTTCCCCTTTCGCTGCCATTGTCTGTCGTCTATCGATTTATTCGCCTTTTGCTTCACCGTAACTTTATTTGCGGTGTTCGTTGGGCCTTATCGCTGCATGGCGTTCTCTCCCTTTTCATTGTTGCGTCACACTACATTCCACGCTTCCCTTTTCGCCAAGCCTTCCTTGCACATTTATCCCTGGTATCATCTGTGACTCCTGCCCACAATCCATTGCTGCTGGTATCTGCCGGTCTATCATTAACTTGCCAAGGCTTTGCACCTCAATCGCTTCAATAACTAACGAGACTTTCGCTTCAGTCTGTCCTTTTTTCCATTAAAAATCGTACCTAATCCTCAACAAACCACATACACATAGCCACAATGTCTGCCGCAACACAACAACCGGTCGTCCCCCCGCGCCCGATCAAGGCCCAAGACACACCAAAGATCCCGCCACGCCCCGCCCGCCGTGCTGTCGACCGCTCTCTCTCACCTAGCCGTGACCGGTTTGCTCCGTCGCCATTAGACAGCCTTCTTTCCAAGAGCCCCAGCCGGGCTACTTTCAACCTTGGCTCATCAAACCTGGCCTCCGATCCCATCGACCGGGCCGGCTCCGTCGACCTCCCAACTGTCGGTCAGGAGGGCATAGAATACGATGCTGTCGCAGAAGAGCTCAGCGCATCCAAGTCACAAGCTGGCAGCAGCCGCGCCGCCTCCCCGGAACACACTCGTACCGTGGGCGACGACGTGAAGCTGCACGCCCCCAAGCCGTCGCTGCCTGCCATTAGCGCTAAGCAGCGCGTGGCCACTGTCACCCGCACTGATAGCGAAAAAGCTGCCTCGTTCGGCATTGGCCAGGCCAGCAGCGGTGGCGACACCAAGAAGAAGGCCAGCACCGCCAGCCAAGACCTGTCGTCCAACGAAGACGGCCTCGAGGATGACGAACACGGCATCCCGGAGATCGGCCGTCAGGTCCCCATGTACCCAAACGCCGGCGATGTCCAGGCTCCTTCTCCGGGACCCGACGCCGTGGCTGATGGCGGTAAGCGGAACCACAGCCGCAAGAAGAGCGCGCGTGGTTTCGGTGACCTGCCCCCAGGCAGCTATGGCCTCCACGGCCACGGTGTTATCGCCTCCGACAAACTGGAGAAGGCTTACTATGGCAAGCATCCTGAGCTCATTGAGAAGGAGCACACCCCCCACGACTCCGATCGCACTCAGGATTACTCCATGACGAGCGCCGACCTGAACAAGATTGTGCGCGAGACGGCCAGCCGTGGCTCTGGAATTGGTACGTTGAACAGCACACAAATTGATAAGAGTTGCGACGTCGCATAGCCCGCACCCACATTTGCAGCTTGTCGCAGCTGGTATTGGCGCTAACATTTTACTGCAGCAACGCATGGCAGCGCCGGCACTCCCAGCGAACAAGTTGGTTGGCAGGCTATTGACGAGTCGGTTTCCCGCCCCGCCTCTGTTGCACTCAAGGGCAAGGCAAACAGTTTCGGCAGCCAATCCTCCGCTGCAGACAAGGGCGAAACCCCTGGAATCTCCTTTTCTGCCCCCAATGATGACAATAATGTCATCCACGTCGATGACCCCAACAACCATCGTAAGAGTGTAATGTTCAACGAAGACGAGGGGCCCGATTTCGATTACGAGGGCGAAGCACCTATTCTCGCGCCCGACGAGGTCGCTAAAGACCCATCCGGCTACGAGCACGAACCCGCCGTGGTTCCTGCATTTGAGCGCCGCCTCAGCTCGTTTGACGGTGAGGACGGCTCCAGCCGCCATTCTAGTCGCCCTGCCAGCATCTATCGCGTTTCGTCGATCCCCCAGGAGTCCGCCATTGCCGAAGAGAAGGCCGAAGACGAATACGAGCCACTGTTCCAGGACGGCGACAGCAAGACCGCCCGTGCCGCCTCTGTCTCCGCCAAATCGATTACCGAGGAAGGTGCTCCCCGTTTCCCCAGCCGCGACATTTGGGAAGACGCCCCGAGCAGTGCCCACCACACCGCCGAAGTGTCCACACCCGACATGCCAATTGAGCAGCACGAGGAGGGCTATGTTGCCCAACGCCCCTCGACCGACTCTCCACGGGAGGGTGAGACCCCTGCCCAGGCTTTCGCTCGGCAACAGGAGGAGCTCGCCGAGAAGGAGCTGCAGGGAGCCGACGCATTTGCCGAGAACCGCAAGCCCCGCGGGCCCGCGTCGTCCCCGTTGGCCAAAAAGGAGATTCTTGCCCCTGCGGGCAACACCCACGCGCCTTCCAGCAGCCCCGCCAGCGCCAGCAGCCTCCGTCGCCCACAACTCGGCCAGCGGTTCCCCAGCCGTGATGTTTGGGAGGATGTGCCCGAAAGTCTGCGGCTTCAGACTGTCGTCTCGAACCCCCAGGGCGAGGAGGCATCTTCTCCTCTCGAGGCATCAAAGCCCACCGTGCCCCAGAGACCGGCACGGAAGCTGACGGACTCGTCAGACAAAGCAGCACCAGTCGTACCGAGCCGGCCTAAGCCCAAGACTGCTTCGTCTGAAGAGGATGCTAGCAAGCCCGCGGTGTCCGACAAGCCCAAACCTGTTGTTCCCACCCGCCCGGTCCGCCACCAGCAGCCCAGTGCCGACCAGGAGCCCGAGTCTGTTCCCCGGTCTAAGCCGGCCGTCCCGGCTCGCCCTTTTGGTGGCAAGATTTCTCAACTGCAGGCCAACTTCATGTCAGACCTGAACAAGAAGCTTAAGATTGGCCCCCAGGCTCCTAAGAAAGATGACCCGGAGCCGACTGAGAATGCCCCTGAGGCTGAGAAAGCGCCGCTTGTGGATGCCCGCAAAGGTCGTGCCCGTGGGCCCCAGAGAAGCGCCCCGCGCGCCGCTGCTTCGACCACAGCCCCTGTCACTTCCTCCGCACCGACCCTGGCCTTTTCCACAACCACAACCCTCTACAGTATCGACCCCGAGGATGGTGGTCTGATCGTCACGTCTGGCAAGATTTCGTCATCAATTCCAGAGGCCGAGAAGGACGAACCTGCTGCAGTTGAGCCTGATGCGGTTGAGAAGAAAAAGGGGGAGGAGCCTGCCGCGAATGAGGAGGCAAAGGTTGAGACTGCCGAGCCAGCCGAGGCAGCTGAACCAGCTGAGCCAGCCGAGAAGACCCAGACGATTGCCTCTAACACGGCTGGCGAGCCCCTCGTCGAGGCCAAGGTTGAGGCATCGGGCGACTCAGTAGAACCCGCTGCTGCTGAGGAGCCAGTTGCTGCTGAGGAATAAGTTGGGGGCGGTGTCTGATTTATCGTGGCTCATTTTGTTTTCGATTCTCTACATGTTACGCACGTTTATATTTTCTTTTGGTCCCGTGGAGGCTTAACTAGAAAAAAAACACACATTAATTCATAAGACGGGGGATTTGCATAGCAGCGGAGCTGTTCCTGTGGCGAGTTGGGATTTTATTTCCTGCGGATTTTCAGGTATCATTTGTTCTTCACTTTTTTTTTGAAGGTTTCTTTTTCCTTTTTATATTTATAATTTTACACGCTGCATTGTTGGGCAGTCTGTTATTTTGTTTCCTATATTGAAACTGTCGTTTTTACCTTCTCAGTTCACTCCTTGTGATTGAGCAAATCTTGACTGTACGACCGCAGACACAACACATTTGCTAGACACTGGTAAACACTGCCACAGTCTTTATCTTAACCCACCCTTAAGAGTAGCATCAGTCATGGCTTGCGATCTGCTGGTATTGTACACACATATAAAAGCGCCAGTCTTTTCATGACAGGGTACAATTGAACATTGACAATTATATTTACTTAGTGTAGCAAGTTCAATTTGTAAAACAATCTTGTATTGGAATAAAATAACGTACTAATAACGGGGACAGAAAACGTCGTAAGCATCAAAATAAACAGAAAAAGAGAAACATAGAATCTGTTGAACAGGCCCGGCCAGCAGGGATTCCAATAGCCTCTTCTGTAATATCAGTCTGTAATGTCATAAATGTCATGAATGTCAAGAATTAATCAATCTGGTCTCCATCTTCGTCTCTCCGTATTTTGCATCCGCCCTGACAGCCGGTATTCACCGGAAGCGCCCGGCATCCGCCGAGGTCTTCTGTCGCTGCCACCTACCTTATCCGCCCACCACCGTCGGATGCTGCCGATGAGGGACGGCTTCAAAAATTCTGGTTCGCGGTGCTGGGGGTTCTGCCGCTGCCGCTGGACCGCCGAGCAGAGGCCCGGTTCACACGCCGACCATTGTTCTGCATAGCCGCAAACTGGCCCACTTCAAGCTCGGCCCGAGCTACTTGGGCCTTGGTGACAACAAAGCCGCACTGTGCGACGTTGCCGTTGGACATGAAGAGGGGCCAGACGTACGCAGCGACGTCGTTGATGCTGGCCAGGGGTGGAACAGGCAATGGCGCATTTCCATCGCCTTTGTCCGGAGTGTCCGGCAGCACACGCCACTCGTCAACCTCGAGTTCGTCGTCATCCAGGTCAATGAGTGCCTGAAAGACGTCACGCAGAGGTTGAATGTCGGTGCGCCACGTCTCAGCAGTCTCGGCACACCAGCGGCCGAGGGCGACGAAGAAGGTGTCGCTTGCCTCTTGCGAAAGAATACCACCGACAGCACCCCGGACACTGAGTGTCCGGCCGACGGCCTTGGCGCGGGCCGCCGCGTGGGTTTCTGCGTGGAATAGATTGTTCTGGGCCCCGTCCATGGTCGCGGGCTTGGCCTCAGCACGGAGAAGCACACGGCGCACAAAGTCGAGGTGCTCGTCATCATCGATGCGTTCGTGGAGCCAGTCGCTCAACTCACTGCCGTGCTCCAGAGTGTAAAAAGGCTGGAACAGTTCGGCAACGGCACTTTTGGCCAAGAAGCGCAGGACGGCAGCTGTGCGCATACGCTTGGCGTCAAGAGTGTTGGACGGCGGCAGCGGTATCTTGGTGTCTCCAAGAGCGCGCGTGAACGCCTTCCAGTCATCGCTGTCGCGGGCAAAGACGTGGGCAGGTAGGTCTGTGGCGAAACAATTGCTGACGAGGCGATGAGCTCCCTGGAAGATAGAATCCAATTTTGCCGAACTAATTCAAATAATTGTACGTTAGAGCGCTCGAGGGCGAAGAGTTGTGAGAGGTCAAGGGCATCGAGAGGATAGACTTACATGTCTTGCAGAGGCAGGTTGTGGACCGGGCGGGCATATCTGTTGAGCGTATCCAGCTGCCTCTTGAGCTCGCCCACTTTGGCATTGTGCTGCGTTTTCAGCGTTTCGACTTGGGCAGTCAGTTTGGCGAGTTGGGCTGATTGCTGGGACAACTTTCCTTCGAGAGATTTCTTGTCCCGCGTGAGTGTATCATTGGCCACAAGGAGGGCTTCGATCTTTTTCTTCTCTTCCGTAGCCTCGGACTTCAAGGTGGCATTCGATTCCGTGATGTTTTTGAGGTCACGGTCTTTGATGGCCGCTTTCTTTTGCAGCTCTTCCACACGGGATTGGAGCCTCCGAATGGTCGTCCCTTGGGACGCAATCTGAGACTGCATGCTGTCGTTTTCAGCTTTGACCTGGTGAACATGGTCCATGCTGGCACGCAGAGCCCCTTGGCAGTCCTTGTTGTCAGAGAGCACGGCCTAGACGTCCTTGAAGACATTGCGATTCTGCCAGAGAGTCTCCATGCTCTGCTGGAGTGTACTCAGTCTCTCACTGAGCTCGATGGTCTGCAGCGGCGGCGAAGGCGGCGATGTGCCGTTTGACGGTACATTGAGAAAGGCAAGAGTGCCGTTGAGGCCGTTTGGAGAGGCCATGCTGATACTTGTGTAAATGTTTGAAGTGAAAGAACAAGGAATGTGAATAGCGGTGGTTGGGTAAGGTATGACGGGCAAGCCAGGGTGTAGGTACTTGCAAGGTTGGGCTTGACGATGGATCTCATCAAACTGATGCTCGAGGATCATGCCGGGTTATATATCCTGGGTTCGCCATGCTTGCTCAAGTAATCGATGAGCGGGAATGCAATTACTCTGATGCCATGCGAGCTTCTGCGGCCCATACATCCGGCTGTCATGTCTCGTAGGCCTCGCCTCGTCCCTCATCATCTTGTAGATTTCTCCTCTTCCTGTTCCCGATCCTGATTCTGATCCTGTTCTGGTTTGCTAGCCTTTCATCCAGTGCTTCCTGCCGTCATCCTCCCCGATGTATCCGTTTGTATATTTTTCAGCCGCTGACAGCCTCGGGATTTGGTACGAGGCTGGCCTCAATTCATCTTGTGCACATCTTTCCGTTTCCATGATGATTGTTGTGACGCGGCTTCGGCCTTGCCCAGTGAAATCATAGATCACATCACCCCCTTTTGCTGCGGGGATTCCTCGATGCAGAAGATTGTGTTTGCCGTTGTCCGCCTTTTTGAGCCTCTTTGCTTCCTTTCACCTTATCAATTGTGTGCTCATAGGCAAAGCGAAGAGAGGGAAAATGGTCTGGCCCCCAACTTTCCAAGCTGCAACCTACAGCGTTGACGTGGCACCGTTCAGTGCTTGCTGTGGGCTGTCGGCCGACCCTTCTCCGCGCACCTGCGACAGGCCGTAAGTGCTTCAGACTCGGCTGGGCCAACCACAGGATGAGGCGACCCCGATCGCCAGAGAAAATAGGAAACACAAAATTCAAGGCGACGAGGCGACTAGGCAACAATCCTGCAAAGCGAACACGATCCTCGGACGCGACTACAGCACAAAACCGCGACGAGGTAGCAAAGAGCGGACATGGGCAGTTCGTGCAACAGTGAGGCTTATGCGGGGGAGCCTCTTGCGTACACGAGACGCTGTGAGCATCGAATAGGAGGCATTCGTTGGGCGCGAACGGACGAATGGCATGACTTGTACAGAAATGCGTCAGTGATCATGGATAACAACAACAAAAAACAACAATAAGCCGAAGCTACGGATTGACTCAACTGCATCGCAGGCAGCCATTACCACACGAAAGGTGCGGCAGAGAGGGACTGAGAGGTTAGAAGGCGAGAAGTGAGAGCCGGTAGTATTCCGGCTCGACGAGGTGGTCGACGACGATAAGAGGACGGACAAATAAGGATACTATTTTCGAGAGAAATCAAAGCCCCTTAATTGAGAAACCATGACGCATCACGTGTATTGCACGGTCTTATTGTTCTTTGTTTGGCTTGCCGACTATGGAAGGCGCGACTGGTACGAATGACCTGTCCCTTACATCTTGGAACCACACGGGGCACAATTTACAATTTTATGTGCTGTCTGAATGACAAGAATAAATGAAGTGAAAAATCAATTTCACCTCCGTCAACATCAGCATCGCATATGCATTCTTTCGCACAGCCCATCATCTCACCGACAGACGACTGCACGCGTGATGCCACCCAAATCTCGTTTAGCCGTATGCTGTACTTGAGTAGACTCTTAATCATGTTTATTTACGTCTCCTTTGTCTTCTCGTTTTGTTTTCGTTTTACAAAACTAACAAAACAATCCTCAGCAGATGGCCACTCATAGCACCAGCGTTGCCTTTGTCGGCTAAGACGCTTATCCGTTAGTTTATACGAGTTGGCCGCCTAGAGACATAGAGACTTACGGTACGGTTGATTAATAAGTATTAGATCGGGAATGAGGATGGCGAGTTGGAAGGCTACAGACCTGGATTTTACCTTATGTAATATACGCATGGTGGTGAGAGCAAGCTCGGTGAACGTCGACGCCACGAATGATAGACTGCGTAGGAGTGTGGGTTTTCAGTCTAGAGGGGTTTTCCCTACACTTAGAACCTACGATAGACTGGTATACCTTACGGTGATAGCCATATAGTAGTAGTAATATAATAATAATATTTCCTTATATTATTATACACGATATAAATGATCATTACTCTTCCCTCACCTCGAATTATTCTAGTCACTATTCAACGAACAAAAGACGAGGCCGATACAATAAAAATATAAATCACCATCCAACTCAGCTCCCAGCTCTTAAACCATCAAAACAACACAACTGAAGCTGTGAGCGCTACCAGCGCCATTCCTGCAAACGTGGCACGGTTGTTTGAGTTTGACGTTGTGCCGGACATGTGGATGAGCACTCCGTTGGATTGGGAAAGGTTGCGCTTGCTGGTAATCATACAAGCGTTGAAATCCGATGAGACATCATCCTCGTTCGTGCCGTTGAGCTGGCACCATTCCCAGCAAGTATTTACAACGTGCACGGGACTAGGGTGGCAGCAATCGACCATCCACGGGTCGGACGCGTTGGTGCCAGGGATGACGGCGTAGGTAAGGTTGTGCGGGATGGGTAGGTCGACGGGAACGAGGTTCGTCGGGCAGCTCGAAGTACTGGAGTTGGACATGGTCGTGGTGCTGTGTACTGCGTACAGAACAAGGCAAATTTGACTGGTCTTTTCAAACTATGGAGGTATTTAAAATAAAATAAAATAAAAAAGACGTGTAACATGCAGGATCTACCGCGGAACAGCGAAACAGCGAGCTGCGGTATAAAAACGTCCATAAAGTCCAAAAAGTCTAAAAATAAAAGAGGAAGGGACAAGGGGCGTTGGATACAGTGCCAACTATTTATCGGTACTATCCTGAGTTTGTTTGGTCAAGTGCAATCAGCCTCTGCTTGACTGGGGCACAGTTGTTTCTTGAATAATAGGAAATGTGACGGTCAGGGCCTGGACCACGGTGACCACAGTATTTATTATGCGCCCAGTATTATTTGTGCGACTTTTAATTAGACTTTTAATTAGGCTGATAGTATCAGGCCCCCTTTCTATGCTGTACCGAACATGGTGGACGCCTAACTGGAGAGTGCTTGCCGGTCGTATATCCGGGCCAGTAGACCAGACCGTCAAGTTGGCTGTCCACTCTGGTTGACTATGTCCAAAATCCATAGACGGCAAAATTTGACGATTTTCTGAAATGGGGGCCAAACCAGTGTATTTGTCGGGCATCTAGACATCGGATGTGTGATGATACACAACAAATCGAAAAGAAACCTGTTTGCATGGATATTGATAAGACTCTGCGGCGCATTCTGGGTAGGATAAAGATTTTTTATTTTTTTTTTTTTTTTTTTTTTTTTTTTTTTTTTTTTTTTTGTAAAAAGACTGCCAAACCAAGTGGAAGGCATATATACGCACGTCGTCAGAGATAAGCCGGATATTTTGGGCTCTACGTTGAGTTCCTACTTTTTGCGGCTTGTACACATCAAATTTTACAAATTATCATGGTAGTAGGTGCTCAAAGTCATGTGTGGCCCCCCGTTAACTGTGTATAATGTTCCTTGCGAGAAACTGCGCCCAACAAAACTAGATACCCTTGGATGCAACGAGCCATTCGATCTGTCAAACTATAATCTATAAAAGAGATGCCACCGGTCTTTACGGTTTTTGAATATCTGGTGTCGACAACCTCACAAACAATCCAACTTAGCTCGGCAGTGAGACCTCTTCACAAAAAGAAATTGCATTTTTATCCGTATCTGTCTCCATTCATTCTAAGATGCACTCCAAGACTCCATTCCAAGCCGTTCTGGCTCTTGTAGCTTCGGCTACTTGTGCACAAGTCAAATTCATCTGGCATCACGTTAAATTCCATGACCAGACGTCGCTGAGCGTATCAACTGGTACCCACCTCGTCGCCCACCTGTTTGAGCCTCACCACGGGCACGCCGCAGAGCCAAAGACTCGACTTCTCCGACCTTGGCCCACTCCAACCCGGAGTACTCTGGTGAACCCACTTGTAGTAAAACGTACAACAACGACGTTGCTGTTGTTGAGTGCACTGGCGTCAACTGGACGCCTCCGGCGGATGTTGATAAGGTAATCGAGAAAAGCTGCTATAGGACAAAATTGTTGTGGGATCTATCCACCTCTACCACTCGTGTGCCAGCTAATGCATCTATCGGGGCAGGCTGGTCGTTCGGCTGCAATGTCCTACACCATTAATACTAGCCAATAGACACTGCCCAAAACTTCCAAATGCACCAATGCGATTATGAGAATACATGGTGCCCCGATGATAGTCCGTTTGTCGTGTACTGTCCCAATAAGGTCAATCGCAACGGTAGCTACTACTGCGTTGCCGGCACTTGCCGGGCCAAGGGTGATGCCCTATTGGGACAAGAGCGGCTGTGCTGGCGGTCATACCGACGGGCGTACCATTATATCATATATCATGGGATCAATAACACGTGACCAACCGGGCCGTACATTTCGCATCCCCGGTATTGATCGGTGGTATACACCGGCGGTATCATGATAAGCGGTAGTAGGCAAAATACTCCAGGTGTATACGGGTTGGTAGCGCCGGCAAACAGTAAACAAGAACTCTTACCTGCGTCATACCAAGCAATAAATAATAACTGTGCACTGATACACGAATCTCTTTTCTCATTTTGCGAATGAGTTTTCTTCCATTACTGCATCGTCTAGACAAACTCTCAACACTCTCTGCCCTTCTAGATAATAAACATGTCATGAGACTCACGCAATAAAATACTTATTGAAAAACTAGTTTTTAATTGGTAGACCATTTATTGTGTTGATTTCTCATTACTCTTTAAAAGTCACAAGTGGCTTATAAGGGTGCTTAGGTTACTGGCAGTGGCCTTCAGTATACAGTGTAATTAATACATCGTATTACTTGCTATTTACAGTGTATGTCCCTCTCCCCTTACACATTTAATGTGTGGTTCACGACATTGCCCGGCATGCACGACAAGAACTTAAAAGGTAAAGACACCCGCCCGCCGCTGGCGGCGACGGTGTTGATGGCGTCGGCAGTAGTAATGACTTGCCCTGCGTCATAGGTCCACTGGTTGTTAAACGTCACGCACTGCTGCTATAAGGGCCGAGCCACGGGGTCCAGCTGTCGACGAGGCGGTACCGTTGAGTAATGTGACGGGGAAAACGGATGGGACAGGGAGTTCTTTATATGTAACAGGGATAGGAAGGTCTTTTCATGAGGTGTTGGGGTTGGCGAAGGACATGCGGAAGCGAGGACGGGCGTGTCATATAGCACTAGTTGGAGAGCTATGGATACGCCGGCCGAGAACGTAATGATGGTAAGGTCAGCCTTCATAGAACGCTACCGCCCGATGACGACGACGACGGCAGCAGTCGTTTTCCCAGTCCAGCCGCAGCTCACTGGGAAGACTTGATATAATAATCCCAAGATCTGACTATTCCAGACCACAATGCTGCAGCAAAGATGGAGAAAAGAATTTCCACGCCAAGAACGCGCCGACGCCGAAGAGGAAGCGCCTTTTGACATAGCGGTCTTTCAAAGCCAACTTGACGAGGGCTCTTTCGAAGGGCATGGCCAAGAACGGGACGCCGGCAGCAATGATCATCACCATCATAGGAAAGGAAAGGGCGTTGAAGATTGCGAACATGAGTTTCACGAGGAGCGGGGACAAAAGGCCATGATCCCGGACGTAGCCGCAGCAGCAGCTTTCCGAGGAACAACTCAAGCGACCACCATACGAGAGTCCGTACTTTCTGAGGCCCAGGAATATATTAAGGGTTCGCGGAGCGCGCGTATGGGCAAACTCTTCCGAAGTTGGAAAACACGCGGCCTAAAATGGCTACCACTTCGCGTCAACTGCGGCTGCCATTCCGCAAGCAGGAGCTACTGCCACTGGATGGCATTTTTATCGGACCGCGCGCTGAACCAGTTGCGGGTAATGGTTAGGACAGGAGGCTGCGAAAGCTATACATTAGATAGGTGTCAGTATTCGACTCTGAAATTGGAGCATGAACACAGGAGGTTGTTGAATTACGTCATCCTACTTTCTTTTCGTCAGACAAGTCGACAACTGAAAACAACCTAAATTAACACTCGGGAGAATTCTCGTGTAGAGGAGATGGCCGTTTTCTCGTTTTACTCAACAATATAGTCGGCTGAGTCTACGAACACAATAAAATGGAACGACTGAACATTAGAGGACGGCTTGTTTTCAAAACTGTAATAGTCAATGAAGTGCCACATAATCTAAACGGCTATTCGCATTGTAAACAGTTCGTCCCTTCTTCCAATGTGGTGGGACGACTCAATCAAGTCACAATATAGAAAATGCTGTATGTTAGTTCCGTATTCATAGGCAACCGTTCACGTGGCCGGTAGAGTGCCTTTGGAAGTTAGGCCGCCTAGACCGACAGCCGTGGTCCTTACTCCCCCCGCGGAGAGGGTGATGAGACTTTTGGTCGTATGATGCCCTGGTAACGTTGGTTTGCCAAAGAAAGGAGCGTGGACATGGTGGATGGATATTTACGGGTCGTTCAGTTGGATAAAAGCTGATAAGAGCCGAAGCAAGGGCCTCCATGCCGAGCTGGTGAGCTTCTGGATTCTCGGACAAGCCTGCCGTATGCCATCCAGTGAAATATGAGAAACAAATGAGGTGTGGCCAGATGGCATTTGTCGAGGATGGTTACTATTGACTATAAACGGCAATGAGGGAGAAAGTTTCCAGGGAGTGGGCACTAAACGGCAAAGGTAAGCCAGCGCAAGTGTTGCTTTGACCTACCAGTGTTGTCAATATTCGTAAATAAATTGTTGAATCACGAACTGCATACTTGAACTGCGAAAACCTACATGAATGTTCGGCTCGCCGGACAACTTCCTAAACTTTTATAAAGATGCATCCTTTATTCCATATTGTCTTCTATTATCCTCTGTTGTGGAGTTAGAATGGCCCCAAAAAAGCCGAATATATGAGCATAGCAAACAAATTCGACGAAAAGGAAGAAAAGGAAGAAAGGAAGAAAGGGAGGCGTTCGGCTCCCCGCGTTTCGGAGACTGGTCTTCTCCGATCAGGTTTATCCAAAGTACGGAAGAGCTGCACAGTAGTTCTGAGAGTGAGCGGCCGCCCCGTGCTAATCTGGAGCAAATATAACCCCATAGAGTAATATCTCAATGATGTGGGCAATACTTTGGCACCCATGGAAGAATACTGTGATCTTATATGAGGTGGATCCTACCCTATTTTAGCCGGGAAACGTACACATGAGCGGGGGGCGACAGAAGAGGAAATACTGAGGATGAAAGACGGCCAAGAATGGACAAACGAGAAGATCAAGGCGATCATGCGGAGGAGGGCAGGACAATACGGGGAAACTATATAAACTGCCGAATGGCACCGCTTGGCGCCTTGTCTTGTCCTGCCTTCTTGTCGTATCGTTTTCGTGGTCCATCAACACCTTGCAATTCGTTCAAAAATAACCAAACACCTAACCAACATGGTCGCCCTCACATACTTGGCACTTGCTGCCACGGCCGTCTCGGCCGCCTTGGCTGCCCCCACGGCTGAGGCCGACGCGCCTGACTTTGTCATCGGCCCCTCTGAGGCGGCTCTGGAGGCCCGTCAGGACTACAACCAGAACTACAAGACGGGAGGCAACGTCAACTTCCAGCCCAGCAACAACGGCTACTCGGTGTCCTTTTCTGGTGCCGGTGATTTCGTCGTCGGCAAGGGCTGGAAGACGGGAACCACCCGGTTAGTTGTTCTTTGTTTTTCTCTTTTCCTGGACTGTCCTCGCGTCCCTTGTACTAACACCTCTTTAGGAACATCACGTTTGACGGCTCCACCTCCCACTCCGGTGGCACTGTCCTCGTCTCCGTCTACGGCTGGTCCCGCAACCCGCTCGTCGAGTACTACATTACCGAGTACGCGTCCGACGGCAAGGGCTCCGCCCAGGGCAGCAAGGTCGGCACCGTCGAGAGCGACGGGTCGACATACGATGTTTGGAAGCACACACAGGTCAACCAGCCGTCGATTGCGGGCACGACGACCTTCACGCAGTACATTTCCCAGCGGCGCACCTCGCGGCCCGGCAGCGGTACGATTACGACCAAGAACCACTTTGATGCGTGGGCGTCGCTGGGTCTCAAGCTGGGCTCCATGGACTACCAGGTGCTGGCGACGGAGGGTTGGGGCAACGCTGGTGGCAACAGCAAGTACACGCTGAGCACGTAAAACCTCCCAATCTCAACGAGCGAAGCGAAGGGTGACGAGAAAAAAAAAAAACGAAAAAAAAAAAATCCGTGTGGCAGAGTTGGCTTGGTGATGTGCACATATTGTATATCTTCGTTTCACGCTCTCGTAGTGTCAGAAATATTCAACTATTTCTTTTGGTCTAGATCCATATATATTATCAAAGCACTCCCCATCCTAGTTTTTCGACCTGGCATACTTGACCAGACCGTCGAGCCAGCGTTGGTGGCCATTGAGCATGGGGTTCGGCTGGGCCTCGGCCAGCTGGGCGGCCGGCTTGCCAATCTGCGTCTCCTGCGTCAGAATCCGCGTCAACGGCTTGTCCTTGGTCGACCACGGCGCATCCTCCACGATCCACGCGTGGTACACCTCGATCGCCGAGTCCGCATCGCCGTCGTTCCGGGCGTGCCAAGCCAGGCGGCCGGGCGTGGTGGCCGTCGGTGGCACGCACTCAGCGAGCTCCATGTCGAGCGGAGGAAAGCCAAACGTGGCAAAGCTGAAGTGGCTGCCGACAGCCGCAGGCGTGAACAGAGAGCCGCATGCGGGCGGGGTGATTTGGCCGATGTTGTCGTAGTACGCCTCCCAATGGGCGCTGTCGGCCAAATAAGGCCATACCTGAGTTGCCGTCAGACCAACGGCGAACACCTCGTTGGAGACGTAGTTGTCCGTGGCGCCGGGGAGGAACTTGGTGGGCCAAAGGACGGCGGAGGCGGTGGGGGTGGCCATAGTAGGGTTGCGTCCACTTGTGAGCGGAACGAAGGAGTGGTGATGGATGGGAGAATAGAGAGTAGATAGTAAATGAGATGCGAGTAGACAATATATAATATCAGGGACGTAATGCGAAGACGTGGAAGCCGAATTGGGACGCAGCACAACCCGTTGTCGTCCGCGGTATAAATGCAGCACCCCTTTTTGTATAAAGGGACATGTCGGAAAATCCATTGCCCCAATGGCCCTAAGAGCGGTGACGACAAATCGTGTTGCTGACAAATTGGGGTATAAAGGTACGAGAGCTTAAACGGTTGGTCGATTGTATTTGCTCGGGAATATGTCGGGCCTCCTTGAACTGTTTTACGTCTGTTCACTTTACGTACTTTTTAATCGCGAAGTCCACAATTAATTTTCATTTCATGCTCATCCTAAGTTTGATAAATCCTGACGTGTCTGTGTCCCAGAAAGCGTCCCGTTGAGCACGTCGCCAGCCTCGGCTTTCAATACGACGCAAGCTTGGGAATGGCATGCTTAAAAACGTTCTTTGGATCGTACTTATTCTTCAACGCCACCAGCCGGTCGTGCTGCGACCCATAGATCTTCTTGTTGTCCGAGTCGTCGTCACCGCCCAGCGACACATACGTGCTCTCCAGGACGTTGTCTGGACCGGCTGCGCGCAGGTCCCGGACGAAGGCCTTGGCCCACTCGGCCGCCTTCTGTTCGTCGGCCGCGTCCTTGGCCACCGCAATGACCTCGAGCATTGCGTGGTCCTCGCGGGCGCCAAAAACGGAGGCCTCGTTGGCGGGCGGTGTGCGCAGCGCATGAATGGAAATGGCGCTGTCGGACGTCGGCAGGCTGGCGTTGTACTTGGCGAACACGGCGGCCATCGCGGGCGTGTACTTTTTAAAGTTCAGTGGGAACACGCGGCCATAGACGCCGTACGTCAGGTTCTTCTCGTTGTTCTCGATGAACTGATAAACCGATGTCGGCGCCGCCTGCTTGACAATGGGGGGCTTGCCAAGCGAGCCCGCGACCTTGTCGACCCACTGGTTCGCGGCGTCATGGTCTTCGCCAATCCATGTCACGCCGAGCGCAAAGACGTGGCCGACGCCCGGGAAGGACACGCCAAAGGGCTGCAGGTACAGCTCGGCAGGCAGCTCGCCCGACTCGCGCCAGCCCTGGTAGGCAGCCGAGAATGCTGTCCAGGCACCCGGCAGGTCGCTCGGGTCGGACACCACCATGCCGGCCACAATCTCCTTGAGGGGGAATGCCTTGGCCGTCGTCTCGACAATCACACCAAAGATGCCGCCGCCACCACGCAGGCCCGTAAGCAGTTCGTCGTCGCCCTGCAGCTCGACCAGCTCGCCGGCGGGATTGACCAGCCGGACACTCAGGATCTGGTCGACGCCGGGGCCGTGCTTGGGCGCGAAGGGACCGTAGCCGCCCAGCGTGGCCCAGCCCGCGTAGCCGACACTTCCAACGGTGCCAACAGGCGTGGCGAGTCCAAACTTCCCCAGCTCTCTGGACACATCACGTAGGAGGGCGCCGCCACCAACCTTGACTGTCTTCGACGCCTCGTCGACCACGACCGAGTTGAGGTCACGCAAATCAATTGTCAGCACGCCATGGACCTGGGTCCGCCCTGCCGTGTCGTGGCCGCCGACCCGCACGACAAAGTCGACATCGTTGTCGACACAGAAGCGGATGAGTGCCTGGACGTCCGCGGCGGACTGGGGCCGCGCAATGGCAAAGGGCTGGGTGGCCGGCTTCGAGATGAAGGAGGCCTTGGTAGCAGCAAAGTCGGGCGAGTCAGGCATGTAGTATTTAATGGCAGGGTATTGCGCAAGGTAGTCGCCGAGAGTGGCCGCGGTGGAGGCATTGCCGGGAGCCATTTTTGTATGGGGAGTATTAGTAATCTTGGGGAGTGCTATCGGGAGGATCTTAGGAAGGTGCGATCGTGATATTTGTTGACCAAGGTTCAAAGTAATTATTTACAAAGTCCAAACGGCAAGAGGCGGCGACGAGAAGATATAGAGACTCGCACCTGCCTAATGAGCGCGACAGCAATACGCGGAATGACGCCAAGTCCTAACACTCTCATTTCCAAATACTGAATTGCATGCATCGGCCACCAATGTCTGGCTCATTGACGTGGAATCAGGAATCACGCGAATACTACTTCGAGGAGGGAAGAACTTTGCGTAATACGGGACAATTACATGTCAAATGGAGTGAGCAATGGCTTGGGTCAGCACTAACAGTCAGCCTTGTCATCTTCTCCACTCGAAACAACGACTGCAAGACAAGAGTGCATGATTCCAAAGCCACAAACCATCCTCACGTTCGTCGCATTAACTACCAAAAGTCTTTCTTGAAGTTTTGGTAGAAATGGCGTCGTGGGCGTTGTCCGAGTTTAAAACTCAGTTCCGGGCCGGCCGTCAAGATAACGGGAGTATGTCTCGGTCCACCAGGTTTGCTTGCTAGTGGGTTGGCAGAACGACAGTCATTGCCGGCTAACAAGACTAAAAAAAGCCGGTGTAGCTTTTGCCAGGGCCGCCGACACTTCGGGGCCGCCAGTCGCTGTGATCATTTCATTGTTGCGATACATCTCCAGGGGGAGGGTTGCTTTTCTTACAATAACAGTCATCTCTGACACAGTCTGACGCAAGAACCGCGGAACCTTTCTTATAGGAGGGAGCGTAGCACGGCCGGAGACGATGGCCAATGTCAACGGCGCCAGGTAAAGATGCCCCGTCCCCAGTGAGTGTGATGTTGTCGAACCTTGAAACAGCGGCTTGTATTTTTGCTAATCGACGCGAATTGCAGCCGGCTTCATGGATGATGTTGTGGCTCAGCAAATTGCCAGCCAGGTCAGGCAGGCTATCCTTTTCATTTACATGCGTGGTCAGCAAGACAACAGTACGGTGAGCCTCAACAACGTCCATAGAAGTAACCATGCACCCACTGGTGGCTTCGACCCTTCTTCTGTCGAGAGAGTTACGTGAGACTCTTGCGTACTCGGCTCACTGGAGGCACATATATGCCTCTCATCGTCTGCACGTGTGCAAATGTGAGATAAGATGGTGTGCACTTGTCATCGTTCCATTCAGAGACAATATGGACCATGAAAGAATGTCAGACGACAAAAGGCAACAGCTGTTTAGTTTCAATATGTATGTATAGATGGTCAATTTCTTAAACTAATCTTCATTTTGTTTCGTATAAGTTGTCTATTCAAAAGAATAATTGTCAATACAAATCATGATTTCATTATCAAAAATGTATCCTTTCACAAGAAATGGCATAGGAGTGACATTAAACAGGGTAAAAATGCCATGGCGACTCCACAAAGACTCGCGATTGCCAGTCTTTAACGGGCCGCGGTCGTCATGTTTCTGAGACAGCATTCGGAGAAGCGAACTGAGTGGTGTGGATCACCGTGCATATCGTCGTACAGCAAACCCGTCCTGCACCTTTGCTGACTGACACGTCTGTGGCACTACAGTTCTATTGCGGGGGAAGAAAGACAGACAGCAGTCACCGTCTGCATCGGAGCTGTTGTGCGACCGGTTCCTTCTCTGGCCATGTTAAAGGACAAGGGAACACAAGAGACAGAAGTTGTCCCAGGGTGTAGATGAGGGACGGAAAGGACAGCGAAAATGCATCCTCGGCACGGAAACGTCGTCCCTCGGGACCCCGCAGGAGCACAAACACATACACAAAAAGCACAGATGCCGCAGAGATGCCCATTCCAGGTTGACACGTGTAGCTGGGATTGGAGTTGGCAGGTTGGTGGCACACGTTTCTCCAGGTGGCACAACATAGCAACATGTGGTATAGGAAGGGGACACGAGAAACGACATATGGAGCAAGAAGCACGAAGCAGGAGGCAGCAAGCGTCAAGTGCAAAAATGGAACTGCAAAGTGCAGAGACCAACCCGGAAAACAACGTCTTGGAGCGCTATCTAAAAATTAATGCCCGCCAGCACAAAAATGTGTTATTGCATGCGCGTCAAGAAGAAGAGGCAGGGCCTGTGAGGAGAAAGAAAAGATCAAGCAACGTATAAAAACGAAAAACAAGGCAGAAACCCATACAGATGAACACGTAAAAATCAAGAAACATACAAATGCGGCAAAAGATAACAACAGATTGCCAACCCAAAAGCCAAATATGTCCAGCGACGCCCGGAATTTCCCCTCTTGTTGAAGATCAAAGGTCGTTCAGGCACCCGAGGGGCAAGATAAAGTCGTGTGCAGCGTTTGTGGGGGAGCAAAACGTCTCTGCAGCCGGCGTTTGTCGCCCTCGGTCGTATGGTATGCAGACTGGCCGTATTAATGTGGCGGGGCTGTACTGTTTATAATTTGAGGCATGCAATAGCGGAATAGATGGTGCTCGTAACGTGCCGGAAGAAAAAAAAGAATTTTCTTTTATGAAGTCTATTGTTTGTTGAACGCCTGGTACCCGAGTGTCGTGTCGTCTAAGTTACCCGGTAGTGCGGTCGAGGCGTTGATTTTCAAGTGTTTTTTTTTGTATCGCCTTTCATATTTCTCAAAATAAATGCGAAAAAGGACAAAATGATTTGAGCGAAAGAGGGAATGTCGAGGCAAGTCGCAAAAAAATCGTGGATAAGTAAGAGAGCACTTCGGTGGCTACTCCGCCTCCTCGAGCAGAGTGATCACAGGTACATCGCCGAGCTTCTCGCGGCCCTTGAGGAAGGAGATCTCCAGAATGAACATGTAGCCGACGAGCTCACCGCCGAGTTTCCGGACAAGTTCACCGGCAGCGGCAGCCGATCCGCCTAGAAAGAGGCGCGTTAGCGGAGAACAGGCACCCAAAAAAGCATGTGATCGAGGGGTTGGGATCAGAAATGCGCCCAGAGGCGCAAAACAGCGCAACAACGAGCGCAACCGCGAGCGCACAGTGATCAATTGCGCAAAACAGTAGCAACTTACCCGTCGCAATGATGTCGTCAACAACAAGGACCTTCTGGCCGGGCTTGATGGCATCCTCCTGGATCTGGAAGTAATCGGTGCCGTACTCCTTCTCGTAGCTGGCCGTCACGCATGAGCCCGGCAGCTTGCCCTGTTTGCGCACCGGCGCAAAGCCGGCGCCAAGACGCAGGGCCAGGCCAGGGCCGAACAGGAAGCCACGGGCATCAAGACCGACGACGACGTCAACCCAGGGGGTGTTGGGGGCGGCGGTAACAGCGGGTGAAAAGTGCAGGGCTTGGAGTTCAAGCGCGCGGAGGAGACTGGCATGGACAGCAGGGTCGAGGAAGATGGGCATGATATCGATGAAGACGATGCCCTTGATCGGGAAATCGACGAAGCGCCGGAGGGCATCATAGAGGCCTATCTTTGTACTGGCGAGTTCGGTGGTGGCGGCGGCGGCGGCGGCGGACTGTCCTCCCGAGGCATTTTGGGCAACGGAGACGGTGGTGGCAGCGGGTCTGGAGGCGTCTGGACTTGTTTCCTGACTCTGGGCAGTCTGAGGGACCTGGGAGGTCATGATGGGGAAGAGAAAGGGGAAAAAAAAAGAAGAGACGAGAGAGAAAGAGGCGGGGAGGGGAAGCGGAAAGAAAAAGGGAGAGGACGCGATCGAAAGGGCGGTATCAGCGAGGAGGAGGGGTGAAGTCGAGAGAGGAAGGGGGACGAAGAGTGTGTGAGAGGTTGAACACGAAAGATGCAGTGCACGGAGGGGTGCAGGATGGGAAATCAAACGCTGTACTGCGCAGGACGTAAGGTGGTGCACAGGTGCTGGTCGACGAGGGTGCAATCTATGCGAGGAAGCGGATGGGGAGGAACGAAAGAAAAAAAGAAAGAAAAAATCGTTGGCTGCAGCACAGCTAGGCTGTAATGGAGGGGCGTGCCGTAAGTGGGAGCCGTCGAGGCCGTGTAAAGGAAAATAGTGAACGCTAAGGAGAAAAAAAAAAAAAAAAAACGCAGCTCGGCACTAAGAATAAAAAAGATAAAGAGATAAAAGATAAAAACAGGACATAAATTAATGAGAAGCATTAGGGCCGAAATAAAACAGTTGGTAAACGGAACCTCGAAGAAAACGGCCTATGAAATTCAACGCAAGGGCAGCAATGTAGCGAGAGACATGGCCTTGTATTGGCCCTTTACCTCGTTAACCATGAGCGGTAATCAGACTTGCTGCCTTGCATCAAGGAAGCAGGAAACGACGTGCTGGAGCCACTGAGACAGCATATGGATAAGAAGGCGACGCCGACGCGGAAGAAGGATGGCGGTGCAGCCTTCCGACGACCTTCGAGTCGCCGCGATGCAGAGAAGTGGCCAGTTGCAGTGGCAGTCGACGCAGTGGAATAACAACAAGAGGATAAACAAGGAAGCATGGTCGGTGCAGGTGTGGAGAGGGTGGTGTGGGATGAAACCGCAAAAACGGCGCTGGAGATATCACGAAGTGGGATGGAGGAGGAAACGTGGGATGGGATGACTACAATGCCGCTTTTTGGCCTGGCACACCCCACGGCAAGACCACGAAAGAAGCGTCCTCCATCTTCTCCTATCAGGCTACAAACTCGAAAGGTGCGCCGTTTGCGCTTTCTGTTCTGATTCCCCGGTCTTGCCATCACAGCCGTGTTTGCACGTTTGCCCCTTCCTGTTTTCGATCCAGACTCGTCAAAAATCCACCCACTCCATCCCCTGAAGCATGACAATAGTCCGTCCTCCCGACCATTCCTCTCGTCTCTCGTCTCGAATGTGGTCGTGACCCACCAGGAAACACAGAGTGAAGCGGTTTTTCTTTCGCTGTCTCTTTCGTGGACAGGCGGTTGCAGATGTCGAGCGAAACGACTGCTCGGCGCGGTGGTGCCTGGGCGTGCAACTGTCGCTCATTGGTGGTGCTGCAAATGGCTTTTCTGCGGGCAACCCACCATCACTCCTTCCCCGACGAGTCAATTTACAAGCCCCCAATGCGGCAACGACGCCCGCAATACACCAAACAGGAAAGTGAGATGGAGATGGAGCGGTGAGGCTGCCTCTGTTAAGTTTTCTTTCTTCTACCCCTATCTTTGCATCTTTTGCTGTCGAAACTTGGCTCACCAATTCCCTCAGTTTTGGCGGCTTCGGCATTCGTTTTGCGTTCCTTTTCACGTTCCTTGTTGCGTCCGTCCCAATCGCCCAGAAGACGCCGGTTTCAACGCCTCTAAACATGCCCTGCCAAACGCCGTCTTTTGCGGCCCGCACTCCGCCTACACCAAATCCGTTTCTTCCATAATCTGCAATGAAGTGACCTTTTTCACGCACAGCGGTTGACTCACGTCTTTTACGCAGCTCGTGTCGCCCCTGTCGTAAGTGCCACGCTCATACCGCCTCGAGATTCACTCATGTTGAGCGCCGACATTCGAATACTCACGCCTTCAGCCCACACGACGCGTGTTGCTGACATGCCTAAATTGTACCCATTGCCAGTCCTACAAAGGACGCATTCCGGATGGTGTCAAGTAGGCTAACAGCCTCGGACACAGCGACACGCCCTGGGCACTGAAACCGGCAACCAGGAACATACAGCAATGGACAGTCAACACTGTCCGGTTTTGCATTGCAGGGGATAAAAGGCAGGTCCGAAACACAACTGTGAACAAAAGTAACGGAAGAAAGACGACAACACAGAATAGGAAAACCGTCTTACCACATGTGGCCGTCTTAACAACCCACCTCCGCTGCAATGCAGCCACATCGTCCTATTTCACCCCGTTAAAAGTTTTCTGTTCGCAAACGCGCGGCGCACGGGTATGCCTTTTTTGCGTGTCTGTGACTCCAAGCCGAACAGATCCTTCGCTTGCATACGAACAACGGCTCTAGATTTCAGTTGGTAAGATACTAGCACCGACAAAGGGTTGAGGCAGTTCCTCGTTGCCTCGCTGCCTGGCTTCCCGTGCCGTCCCTGCTTGCCCTGGCCTGTACCTGAATGGTAGCGGTTAACTGCCCCACGTATGCAGCTAAGGATACTGGCTCAAGGAACATGTGGTTCAATGGACAAAGCTGGGCCAGGCCGAGCCAGAAAATACAACGCGGCGCTGATCACATCATTATCACCTCGATCGCTGCTTTCACCGTCTCTTTGTACAGAAGTACGTCCTTCCAGGCTCCACCAAGCCAGACCTCCAAGTACCACCCGCCCCACCTACGACCGAATAGATATGCACAATGTACAACATACTTGGGCAGCTGCTCTGTACGCCGCCCGTTGAGAGCATAGATAACATTGACCTCCGGAACTAAACTTTCCCTGGCCTGTCACTACTTTGTATTCAGCTGTGCCACGGTCTGGTTTCTCCCCTACTGCCGTCATCCACCAGTGTGCGTGGGAGGGAACCACAAGCACATTGCTATAAACAACACAATCGAATATGAGTTCCACATTATGAACACCATATCACATTGTACAAGTATACGTCACTCACGTACAGCGGGCCGTCACTGGCTCACATCATTTCGAACCTGGTCCGGCCAGAACATAGAAGCGACTACCATCGTTTCTGGTGTGCTCCCCGCCCTCGATGCCAAAGGCCATGGCATGCACTCTTCCCGGGATTACTTGGCTTTTGTCTGACGTGAAACAAGGCAAAAGATTTTGAGCCTCGCCTTTTTTCTTGAACCGAGAGATAACTGCATTTTTCACTGCCACCGCTTGTCTTTCTCTCGCCACTGGCCAGGTGATGAACAAAATCACATATCGCTTTGTGATGGCCTTTTATGGTGTTTACGAGGTACTTTGCGTTCATTTTTCAAGTCCTTGTGTGGCACACTCCTGCAGTTCTTTTGCCTCACTTCTTCTCCTCGTTTCACGGCATAATCTGGTTGTTTTGACAACTGTCTTACTGATGTGCATTGATACTGAATACTTCTGTCCTTGCCGTGAGGAATGAAAAGTCTGAACTTCCCTCTGGTATCGAAAACTAACTGAGGGAGCAAAGTCGGGAGCCGTCTGAGGAGCTCACACTTCAGAACTCCCGACACAGTATTGTTCTAGACCTCAATTGTCGGCTGATGACAAGCATACGATATTTATGTATATTTTATTTGGCGTACATCACAAATACTTCAGACTTGGACAATTCTCGTTCATACATGCACCTCCTCTCATCCGTCGCACTCTTGGACAGTGCGACAAACGCACCTGTACCTTCGCACGGAAAGCTAATGCACGTCTCATACGTTACCTGCGGGCCATAAAGAGGTTTTTGATTTACATTCAGACTGTTTCATACTCGAAATACTTCGCTGCCTGTCCGGCCCACAGCCTTCTGGCTTATATGCACTGCAACATACGGTGGCTGTTCTCTGGCCGCCGGCAACGAGCCCCGCCGACCTGCATCGGCTGCTTGTTTATTCTCTTCTCGGATTAAAAACCCGAAACTGTTTCCACTCATGCCCAACGCAAGTCCAGACGCGGCCCATGGCAGGACCAGGTCAGGATGCCTGATTCACTCATCCATTTGGAAGAAACTTCCGGTGCCCTGTCAAAATTGACGGCATCTGAGATGCATCTTGTTGGTGTGTGCCTTGCTCTTATGGCACATCTTCTTGCATCAGCAGGAATGCTTCTCGATGAACAAGTAAGACAACGAGGCATATCCTTTTTTGTTAATCTCCGGCAGGTTAGTATTCGGCCAAGAAGCCTCGACCGTCATTCATCCTATCGAATACCGGAATGTGCCTCGGCAACAGGCTCGCGATACGGCTGATGCACCCCTTCTTGTCCTCTTGCAGTTCCTGCCGCAGCAGTCTTGTTTGCTTTTCAATCTGTTTTAACGCGTCATCGGAAAACGTTCACGACGACATCTAGAACCTCGCCGTCGGACAGCACATATTTCCACATCTATCCCATCACCCTTTCCATGTTGTCATGAGCAGATGACGGCTGCTGGGCGAAGCGGGAGCAAGCGGAGCCCAATGCATATGGTGCAGAAGAGTGCAGCAATCATGCATCCGTGCTGCAGGGCGTTGGTGTGCTTCCTTTCCACGCATATTCCACCGTTCGCCCAGCCTCGAAATCATAAACAGCAGGGATACGTACAGCGTCCGCCTTTCTCTTACATGCTCTCCTCTTCGTTATCCTGTAGTACGCCGACTTCTTGTGCCCGGCGAGGATTTAGAGTGCAAGTTTTCGGCGTTCTTCTTTGTTTTCTATCAGCGCACAGCTGTGGACGTGTTCAGAGCGTATTATTACTTGCGATTCTGCTGTCATCCATCGCACAACGGATGCAGAAATTCTTACACTGGATGGACGTCCGAAAAGACAGCTCATCGACGTGTGCGCCAATAACAAGTATCAAAATTCCCACCTGCTTCATTGCGGCTTCTGATCAGGGAAAAGCAATTTATTGGCTGGTGAGACTGTCATTCACGTCTCAACTTACACAATTTCGGGTCCGTCAGTAGTGGAATAATGGCACTGTGCATCTGACGTTTGCCGCCAGGACACTTCCGAAACTCTGTTTGGGCATCAAAACACGACGTATGACAACGTCAGAGCAGACGTTCATCCTCGCAAGTAAGAGAACTGATGACAACAAGCAACACAATTCAATGATACGTATGCAGTGGGTATCCATATTAAGGCATTTATATGTACATTGGGTGTGCAAAATGACAGGACCATGATGAAACAGGGAAATGATATCATTAAGGGTATCGAGGAAAGAACGAAACAAACCGGCGAGAACCGAAAGGCAGCAATGACGGGTGCGATATGCAAAACGATGCAGAAAACCAAATCATTGCATAAAACGGGACAAGTATCAAGGTACCGGGGCCATGTTGAGATGGCCGCCGTTGTCGGGGGAAAAACGCGAAAAGAAACACGCACAAACGCTTCAGACAACATGGGTGCACGGAGTGCACGAGGGGAGTGCATATTACCAAAACTGGATACGGACAATGGAAAACAACATGTTCTGCAGAACGTGCACAGATACGGCCACGCTCGTCGGCAGCAGCTCCGGCCACACGGCCAGGTCCATCTTGCCCTCCCCGACGACGCTGAGGTCGTAAAAATAGCGAATCAAGCCTGACACGATGAAGGCGGCAACCAGCTCGCAAGCCCACGTAATGCTCGAGGCATACAGCGTAAAGGAAAATGTGTAGCCCGGCCCACCGTCGAGGCCGTCGTCAAAGGCAAAGTAGGGGTAGACGTCGCGATTGGGGCCAAAGTGGAGGACAAAGAGGCTGCCCAAAAAAGCGAGCATACTGGCATTCTCGGCGACAAAGCGCACAAAGATGTTGCGCACACAGACCTTTTGAAAGGCGTTGTAGGTCTGAGCGTTGAGGCCGAGGGCGACGAGCAGCCGGTGGGTCCAAGAGGACATGAGCAAGGGGCTGATGACAATCAGGGTGGTGGACGACAGGACTTGCAGCAGGACAAACTGCGAGGGCGAGCGCAGGCGCACGTACAAGGCACGCACGTAGGTCTGGTAGGTGAGCATAAAGTAGAGCTTAAAGACCCAGCCGAGCGGGTAGCTGCCGACGCGCTCACCCTGGCGGCCGCCCAGAATCCACCCGGTCACGCCGTCGAGCAAGAAGACGATCACAATCCAGCCGTAGACGTAGGCAACAGTATAGACGGTGGCGTGTTGCAATGTGGGAAGGGCGGCTAGGAAGAGTGACGCCGATGCCTCGCCGAGCTCGTATACGAGAAGCGACATGAATAGGGCGCTCATAAGCCATAGGAAACGCACAAAGCTGGTCGGCAACCAATGGCCTCCTCGGCGAGACGAGGCTGCGGCTCCCCCGACTACAGCTGAGGATGAACCAGGGCCAAAGGGAGGCTCAAGTTGGCTGGTAAACGGTGGCATTGTGGGCAAGGTAGACGATGATGGTCCAAGAATGTCCCTGCCAGGTGTATTTTTTGAAAGACGCGACGGCTTCACGGGCGATGTTTTCGCACTCGCAGTTCCTCCGCGGCTGCCACCCAAAAGTGCCGACGTCTCAAGATCGTGTTGGCCAAGAGCGACCGCGGCATGTTCGTGGTGCATGGCCGGCGTCGGCGGCGCGCTCTCAGCCCGGCTACGGCGCCCAAAGAGACCCACGCGAAACCGCCCGTTGGGTGTTGAAGAGGCGGCCTCCGCCGCCGCCGTCATGTGGCGCTGGTAGTGCAGTTTCTGCTGTTGCTCTTCACGCCACCGCCGGGGCAGCGTGTCCGCTTCGCCGGCCCACCGCGCCGAAGTAAATATGCGCTGTGTATCCGACAAGGCGTGCCGGATCATGCGATGCCGCTCGTGCAGCAACAGCAGCACAAGAGCCGCAGCCACGGGCATGGCCATTACGGCGAATGTCCACGTCACCCATGCGGTATTGTGGCTGGCCAAGAACTCGGCCGCGGGTACGCTCGTAAATAGCACGGCGGGCACGGCCAGCGAGAACGCAGCCAGCAACGACACACTCAACGGGAAGCCGAGCGATGACGGCCACCAGTTGAGACTGTAAAGGTTGAAGACTTTGGTGATCCAGACGAGTGCCGTGATGTTGTAAGGGCCATAATAAGCAAGCAGGAAAAACCAAAAGTGGATGCGCACACGAGCCTCGCCGTGGCCTGGTGTGCGGTGCTCGCCGCGCTTGCTGTCGTCTGCATCCAGGTTGTCACTTAGTGGGTACTGCGGAAAGGGCAGCGCGCACCAGGCGACGGCAAGGACAGCGGGCACGACGACCAGCAAGGTCCAGCGGCTCCACCAGCGGTCGACGGCACGGCGCACGGTCGCATTCTTGGGTGTCAACCAAAGGTTACGTAGGTGCCTCCCCGCGCGATAGACCGAGCGACGCACCCAGCGGACAGCACGGCGGCCACAGTAGCGGGAGATGCGGTAGGTGCGGCGGAGTTTGCGGCGGATGCGGCGGTGTTGGAGCTGCCGTTGACGCTGGCGGTACTGCTGGCGGCGGATGCGTTGGTTCAGGCGGTACCTTTGGGCAGCGGAGGGCCCAAGAGCACTGCTGCGGCGCCGACGGTTGTCATTGTTGCCCTCGGAGGTGCCTCCCGATGCCGCGGCCGAGCCTCGTCGCTGGTTGCCCCAGGGCAGCCAAGCCCAACGAGGCCAGCGTGCCCGCCGCACTGTGTGGTCAACGACGCCTCGACCTGGCACGCTCTTTCCACCCTCGTCTTGGTTGCCAGCCACACCAACAAGATCTCTCGGACCAGAGGCCGGTCCACCCATATCGTCGTCGACGTAGGCGGGTTCGTCCTCATAGTCGTTTTCAAGGTCGTCATAATCATGGCCGCTGATATCGTTGTCGTCGTCTTCGTCTTCGTCGTCCTCGTCATACCCATCGTCATATTGTTCTACCTCGTCATCTTCCTCGTCATCCTCCTCGTCTTCCTCCTCGTCGTCTCCAATACCATCGTAGTACCCAGCCGCCGCAATGGCACCATACCCAGTATTGTTATAGAAGCCGTGGCCAGTGGCAACGCCTGGCGTCCGCTGGCCACGGCCTTTGCCACGACTGCGTCCGCCAAGCCGGCCGTACCCGGTATAGCTGCTGTAACCACTCAAACCGCCATCACTCGACGACTCGTATCCGGTCGTGTTCCGCCGGCCAAGCCGTCCACCGCCCGCGGCCGAAAAGGGCGACGGCGACCGCGAGGGCAGCCGCGAGACAGGTGCGTTCCAGTACGAGCGGCTGGCGAGGTACGGTGGACGCTGCGTGGGAAGGCCTGGGCCGGCGGGCAGCCGTGGTGGCGGCGTGGCCGCAGCCTCAGATGCAGGCACAACGGCCCGAAACCGGCCGACCAGCAGCGGTGTCGTTTCGGCCCCGCGCAGACGCGGATTGTTCTCGGCACCGGGCGTGAAGGAGAAGAATTCGGGCATTTTGAGAGATGCCGTGGCCCGTGTTTCCCTTTCTTAAAAAGATGCTACCGTCCAAAGTCCCTTAATCCTCCGCAGTTGGATTACCGTAGGCCAAACATGGTGTGTTGAAGACGGTGAGATTTGGCTCTTGTCTTCCGTGCGTCGTCTGCCGTCTGTTGTTTGTTGTCTCGTTTTCGGTTGTCGCAATAAATCTGACCGTGATCGGACCGGTCGGCTGGTTGGCTGCACGTGTGCAGTGTGAGAGGTAAAACGGTGTGGTTGGTGTGGTGTGGGAAGAAGATAGACAAATGCTTGAAAACTGAGAGGCGGGACAAGCACCAGCTGAGCAGGTCGTTCGTTCCTGCCCCTTGCGTGGAAACAGCCGCCGTAACCAGACCCTTAATACGACAGTGATGGCAGTCCAGGTGCACCTTCCCCCACTATCTACGCACTAGTCTGGCCCGTGAAAGTGGGTCTTGCAAGGCTGGCGCTGTTCAAAGGAAGGAACATGCATCTTATGCAGTTTGAGCCTCGAAATGGGTTTACTTTCATTCCTCGTCGTCGCTATCCGCCTGTTGAATCGACCAAACTAATTTCCATTTCTCAAACTCTACGTATTTCAACGTAGCACAAAGTAAAAATGAACAAAGTGTGAATAGCCGCAAGGGAAAAAACAGGCCCAAATGCACGACCGTAACGCCCTACCACGTGACGTAGTTCGCTACTGTTAGCGCTCCCCAGAGAGTCAAACAAAGTATTAAGTAATACTCGATAGTGGGGCGGTGAACATTGGCAACTACGAAGCTTCACCTCAATCCCTCTGTTTTGACATCAAATTCGACTCAAGAACTCGACACCAGGAGCGATAAACAGACCGTTAACCCTCAACGACCCGATCGCAAGCTGCACTGTCTGTCTAAGCACCGTTTTCACATTTCAACTAAGCCGCCGCGCGTTCGCAATGGCCGTGTTACAGGCATAGATCCAGCGCAATCAAGACACAACTTCAGCCATTTGCTGGGATGACCATCCGCGGCATATTTTATGCCCGGTTCCTGCCGCAGGAGGGTAGGCTCAACGGCTGAACAGGCCGTTTACTAGCATTGTGTAATCGGATTCTAACGTCTTTCCAGGGACCAAGATTGTCGCGCAAAGTCCTCCCGGCTGCATCGTACCCGTGGCCGTGGCCGACGAGAGCGACGATGACTTTGATGACCGCCACCGTGAGACTGGGGCCGCCTCTGCAACCGCAGCCGCAGCCACAGCCACAGCAGCGGCGGGAGATCGGAAGGAGAGTGGCGATTCCCTATTCTCTCCCACAAGTACCCGCGCTCTGGTCAGCGACGACAGAGACAAGAGCGAAACCGACAGCGACGATGACGAAGAGGACGATGCCACAATTACCGCAGCGGCAGCGGCAGCAGCTGCGTCGGCCCTGCTCGGGAGCAGCAGCGGCCACACACGCAATACACAAAACACTCAACCCGGCACCAGTGGCCTACCCAAACGCGGCCGCGGCAAGCCACTCGTCGACTTCGAGGTCATGCAAGAATACGTCATCCCGCGCCCGGCCTTCTTCAACCACTATCTAGCCGCCCAGGATCCCAGCGGACGCTACACCGTCCTGGGCCTGCCCGTTGCCATCCGCGACGCCAAGTACGACCGCAACGAATTCATCTTCAACTTCGGCATCGTCGTGGACGCCGGTGACGACCAGGGGCCGTACGAACGAGTCGTGCGTCGCCTTGCGTCAACATTTGCCGAGATGGAGAAGCAGAACGAATTTCTGAGCCGCGAAGAGCTGCGCGAGCAGCAACGTTTGCGGAGCATGCTGGGACCACGGACCGTGGCGGGAACAGGAAATAGAACTGGCGGCATTAGCGAGTCCTGGCTTTCTCGGGGCACCAGACCCGGCAGCGGTCTGCCCACCAACACCTATCCAGCAAGCCCCGCGGCTGGCATTGGCAGCCATGCATCGGGAACAGGGTCCGACGCTGGTTCCGGCACGCCCGGGTTCCACTCCATGGCCGGCGCGCTAGGAAATACCAAGGCTATCAGCAACATCGACGAGTTTCTCGACCGGCGACGCATTGCTGCACAGTCCCCTCAGACGCGCCCCAATCAACACGGCGGGGCGGGCAGCGGCAGCATCTGGACGGCCAGCACTAGCAAAGTTTCTGGTGCCAGGGCCGGAACAAGCACAAACAACATTGCCGCCAGTGCGACGGCTGCGTCCAATACCGTCATGGCCATGAACGAGCACAATGGCCACAGCCCGTACCACCGACGGTCCATCCAGAGCCTGCTCGAGATTATCAAAGAAGACCTGAATCTGTATGGCGAGTGCATGATTCCCGTCGACGACGCCAACACCATCAATATGAAGCTGTTCCCGCTGCACCCCAACCCGCCCGCCGTCGAGGGCTGGCACGTCCCCGTCCCCAAGATGCGCCTCGCCGACACCGTCGACCCATCGTGGGATCTGACCCTTCAGCGGGTCATTGCCCACATGGACGGCGTCTCCGACGTGCGCCGCATCGCCTTTGAGGCCGACATCTCCATGGAGCTATGCCGCTCTGCTCTGCGCCACCTACTCTACTACGACACCATTTTACTGCTCGACATGTTTTTCTTCGGCTCGTGTTACGCGCCACGACCAGGCATCCACGATTTCGTCGCCAATGTCGGCGGAATCGTGGACGAATGTGCTCGATATGTGTGTCTGGACAGGCAGAATCACCAGAACTACTACCAGCACGACGAAGACGTTGACGACGATGATGACAACGATGACAACGATGACGACGACGACCTTACCATTGGAGGTCACGGCGGCGGCTCGCGAATCAACATCCATAGACAACGGCCATACAGCGGTCTCTCGTCAGATCTTGGCCATGGCCTCGATCACAGCCGTCGTCGCTGGCACGGTTTTGACTCTGGCGACAACTCCGACTCCGACGACCGGCACGGCAACGACCACCGCCCGCTGCGTGTCAGCAACTATGACCTCGTCCGCCTCATGACAAGCTTCTGTGTAGGCCGCACCGTCACCGAGTGGCTCAAGAGCCATGCCGATGCCGGCTTTGACGTGCTGCGTTATGTCGACGTGCGTCGCCTCGTCCAATTTGGCGTTATCAAAGGCTGCCTGTACCGTGTGCACAAGTATGTCGTCTCGAAGCAGTACCTAGCTTCGCTCGTCACGGGACGGTCCGCCCCTGACCCCATTCCGCGCCACGGCTACCGACCCAACTACAGCCGCGGCCACGACGAGCAGCACCCACCGCCGCATCACGGCACCGCCAAAGACCCGCTGCAAAAGTACACCGATGGACACCACCATTTTGACCAGATCATCACAGAGCAGAACCTGACCGAGGTCGAGCTGATTGAGCGGTTGAAACGGCTACCTCTGCCTGCCGGCGATCTGAAGATCCTGTATCGGTAGAAGTGGGCTGCATTCTGAGAACGGTGAGAGAGTATGTAAAGTATATACCAGGTTGGCGTTAGTAGCATTGTATATAGCGTGTACAGTTTTATTTTGTTTTATTTTCATTTACAGAACGCCGACAGTGCCGTTTATAGTTGGTGTGTTGTACATATCTAATAGATGAAACAAGAAAATGGCATGCGCTCCATGTTCATAAAGAGTGGTGTCATACAAAGCCGATCCGCCATCCGTCTCGCCGCCGTCATTAAAAGCTGGCCGTATCGTTGCCGCCGTTACCGCCGTTGCCGCCGTTGCGCCGCGCCTTTTCGGATTGCCGAGCGCGCTCGCGCTTGATGTCTGCCTCCAGGCTGCGCACCTGCGCCGGCTTCTCGTCGGGGAACACCAAACGGCCGTCGTCGGCACCGTCGGCACCGTCGGCACCGTCGGCACCGTCAGCCTCGAATGCCGCCATGAACGCCTGCTTCTCAGTGCCTGTGAGTCGGCGGTCCTTGTTCTTGCCGCCGTGGCCCGCCTTTGACGCCGTCTTCTGCTCGTCCTCGGCCAAGTCCTCACGTAGCGACTTGAGCTGTTCCCGCAGCTGCCGCACTTTACCCGTATATGGCTGGCCCGGGTACGTGCGGCCCGACTCGGCCCACTCCTCGTCGCTGACAATCTCAATCACGCGCAGGTTGTGCTGCCCGCGGCGCAACACCATGTACTTGTCGTCGATGATAAAGTTCTTGGTGTCCTCGGGGTACCACAGGTGCACGGGCGTAAAGTCGAGCTGCGTCAGCGGCATGCCCTTGTTCACGTGCGCCGCTTGGCCCGGTGACGCGCCGACGTACGCGCCCTTTTGGATCGCCACGCGGTTGCCCTCGGACACACTGCCGACCAGGCCGGCTGCATACAGGATCCGCGCGACCTTGCCGGCCTCGAAGAGCGACCGCGGCAGCTGGATGTCGGCCTTGGGCGCGGTGTTCAGTGTCACGGGGTGTATGCCGTCAGGTGCTCCGCCTTGTCCAGCGGCCGCTGCCTCCAGACTGGCACCGTCCTGCTTCTTGCCATAGGTAGCGAGGTGCCGGTCGCGCGTCTCGTTGGCCTCGGCCGTGCCATGCACGAGCGCCACAACTTCGTACGCCAAGGCATGCTGTGCGACGCGCTTGCTCGGGTCGGCCGTATGCTCGGCCATGATGCCCGTAATGTGCTCCAAGGGCATGAACGTAAACAGGCGCAGCAGGTGCTCGACGTCGGCATCGGGGCGGCGCACAAAGTAGCCGTACAGGTCAAAGCTGGCCGTCTGGAATTTGTCGAGCCAGATGGCGTTGCCAGCGCTCTTCCCAAACTTGGCGCCCGCGCTGTCGGTCAAGAGCGGCACGGTGAAACCGACGGGGTCGTGCATGAGCCCCGACGGCAGCTGCTGGGCCGGGTTGGGCTCGGAGGCGCGGATGATCTTGAAGGCGTCGGCGCCCGTGACAATGTTGCCGTACTGGTCGGAGCCGCCGATCTGCATCTGCACGCCCTGCTGGACATACATGTGCCACCAGTCCCATGCCTGCATCAGCGGGTATGTGAACTCGGCAAAGGACATGCCGTCGCCCTGCGTCAGCTTGCGCTTGACCGAGTCGCGCGACAGCATGGGCCCGATGCGCAGGCCCGCGCCCAGCCGCTGCAGCACCTCGAGCAGCGGCAGCTTGTTCCACCAGTGCCCGTTCTGCAGCACGCCGCGACGCCACGCCCAGGTCTTGACATAGCCGTACCTGCGCGCCTGCTCTTCGACGTTGGCCCACAGCTTCTTGAGCTGGAAGTGGATCTTGACCATGTTCATGGCCACAACGGCATTCTTCACCTCGTCGCGGCTCTTCAGGCGGTCCGTCGGGTCGCCAATCTTGGCCGTGGCGCCGCCAATCAGCGTGACGGCGCGGTAGCCGTTCATGTACATCCAAAAGAGCGGCATGAGCGGCAGCAGGTGGCCGACGTGCAGCGACGGGGCTGTGGGGTCGATGCCGACGTAGGCGCCGATGCGCTTTTCTGTGAGGAGTTTGCGGATATCTTCGCGGGTTCTGTGCGCACTTTGTCAGAAACGTCCTAGCCACGCGCAATGGTCGTCCCTTCCACAGCCACTTACCCTACCACATCCTTGACGTATCCGCGCTCTTCAAAGACATCCCACATGGCCTTGGCCTCGCCGGCCTTAATCTTCAGTGCCCTCTCTTTCCATTCGTCGTCGGCCTCCTTGATCTTCGCCGTGTACTTGGGTCCGTATTTGGCAAATGCCTTGCCGGTCATTTGCCGTCTCTGCTGTGCTTGTACTGGTTGCCTTCGCCACTGCTGTGTCAGAATAAGCTGTCGGGCGCATCGCCGGCAGATCTCGGCGCCGGGCGACGGCCACCCCCGAACAACGGCCGGGAGCGACATTGTCCGTGTCAGCAGCCGGCTGGAGGCAAAGTGTGTTGTCGTATATGGTGTGTCCCTCTGTCAGCCCATGCACTGCACGATTTCGCCCGCTTCCCCTGGTCTGTTGGCGAATTGGCGCGTGTCGCGTGTTCTGCGTCGCTTTTGGTCTTTCGTCAGTTGTGTATTCCGTCACAGCTCCGAACCAAAAGCTTCAACTTTTTAAAGCGGGTCCTTGTAGCTTCTCACCACGTCATTGGCTGGCGCGTGGTTTTGGCATGTGCTTCGGAGAAACCATATCGCGTCCCCGCCGTCGCTCCTTCCCCCATTCTCCCTTCCCAGATGTTCTCCGAGCCTTTCCCCACCTTCCGAACCCACACGGGCCAATCAAGCATGTGCGAATTGCGATTCTCATCAGTCATCCTCGGGCCAAGTGCAAGTGCAGGTGCAGGTGTGCCTGTTTTCCTATGAATCTCGGCTTCCGGCTTCTTCCCTTTTTCGCCTACTCAAATCCCAATCGCCATTGCGTTTTCTCCAACGCATCCAACACAACGCAAACACGACACGGGCTTTTCTTGATTACGACCGCGACGACCCGTCCATTAACATCTCCGCTCCGTCCAATTCACAATCCTCTTTTCCTTGTCACCCTTCCCGCCATTCCGCCTACTCCCCTCCTCTTCCTATCAACATCGTCACATCTTCGCCATGGCCTCCATCGCGCGCACTTCTCTGCTCCGACAGGCCGCCACCGCGTCCCGGATGGCCTCTGTCCGTCCCGCCTTCCAGCAGCAACCCCTCTTCCAGACCACCGCCCGGATAGCCGCGTTCCACGCCTCGAGCAGACGGAACTTGCTGCCGCCACCGAAGCGTATGTGCCTGTCCTGAATCCGGCGCATGTGATTGACCGGAGCAAACCTGTGCCACGTTTATTGTTACATTGCATTCATATACAGACCACATACAAGTTGCATGTTATACATGTTCTCGCTAACACATTCCCCTTGCAGAGGTCATCATCGGCGGTGTCAACGATGCCGCCCCCATCCCGGCGCCCAACCCCAGCCACGGCTCCTACCACTGGACCTTTGAACGTCTCGTCGCTGCCGGCATCGTGCCCCTGACCGTCGCGCCCTTTGCCGCCGGCTCGCTCAACCCCACCACCGACGCCGTCCTGTGCGCCCTGCTGCTCGTCCACTCGCACCTCGGCCTCCAGGTCCTCGTCACCGATTACATCCCCGAGAAGCGCTTCCCAACGGCGCGCAAGGCCACCTCGTGGGGGCTCAACGCCATCACGGCCCTCGTCGGCCTGGGCCTGTACGAGTTCGAGACGAACGATGTCGGCGTCACGGAGCTTGTCAGCAAGCTGTGGCACGCATAAGGGTGTATCGGTAGAAATGTGGTACGGTGGATCCCAGCAGTTTAATATACGAGAAGGATTACAAAAACAATATAAAAACTTGAAAAGCTAGAAAAACTCGACAAAACGAAAGGCGCTCGAGACCGGAAGGCATCATTACTGGCATTTCTTATATGGAAAAACCCAGCCGAGATGTTTGCTGTTCTGGGACTTCTTTTTGTGTAAACATAATCGAACGAACTTTTTTTTTTGTGGCAAATAGGCAGACGGTCATTTTATTTGTTCAGAATAATTCATAACAAATCTTTCAAAAAATACGACACGTGAGATGGACGATGCAGATCGCAAAGATGCCTTCTGAATATTAGCCCCCTTCATCAACTGTCAAGGTCGTGTCTCTGATGGCAACTTCGGCTTGACAAGCTCCAGAGGCGACGTTGATATTGTCAAACGGAAGAAGCCGCAGTGTCTGGTCTGTTCCTCTTAGGTGGATGGTGAGCGGTTTGAGATCGAAAAGTTCCGGCGTTTGGTAAAAAACGAGACTGTTCAACCATCTTGTTGATGACATTGGCGGTTCACAGTCTAAGGCCATTGTTCAAAGGCAAAAATGAGTGTGCAGTGCCTTGTTGGAATATACTTCGTGTTTCGGTGCGGAACTAGTAAGAATTATGAAATGGCGATACATATCGAGGCAAATGCCGGATCACGTCCATGCTCCTACTATGTCGTGTTGCATCCGACCTTGCTGGGAGCCGATACAACCTGTATGTTTGTAATGCTTACGATGGCCTGTCGTTATTGTTCGAGATATCGATATGTCACCTTGAGAAGATCCTTGTCATTGGACTACCGAGGCTGTACTCTGCATGAAATCTCGCAAATACGGTGTTTTGGCCGGGATGTGGCCTATTATCTTAGACAGTTGAAGGGAACGGCCGGGCCATGTATCAGTTTCGTGCTGTAGCAATGGCAATTGTTGTTCCTTTACATTCCCTGCTGCCTTCTTATGTTCTTTGCGCAATCAGTTTCGTCATCCCGTCTCCAATCTCCAACTTCGAATGGAGCAAAATCTCCGGTAAGCGTACTCGACCTTAACCTTAATAGAAAAATACTAGACAAACAGAGACAACGTCGGCGCAACGGAGGGCTCGCGGTAGCCGGTCCCTTGAAGTGAAAGCATACGGTGCCAGAATCCTGCAGCACAGTCTCACACCCGATTATTGGACACGGCAGATCCGCACCTTCCCGTCATTCCCGATGTTCCCGCTCGGCACTGAGGTTGGCTGGAACTGTACTTTCCATTACAAAGGTCTTTGTGCCAGGAGTATCTACGACACACTGCACTCACAATGACTATTTTTGGAGGCTGCAAGACTCAATGAATACCATATTACAATAGATGAAAGAATATAGATTATACTATCTCAATGTTCTGTATGCCGTACGCGGACGAAGAAAATAAACGCTCGAAACATATGAAAAAGAAAAAGAAATCATGGGTAGTTGCGAAAGGACAATACACCAACACAAGAAGCCTAAACGGACGGCAAAAGGTAGAATGTCCCGGGACCCTGGTACGTTATGTGACATTAGAAGCGGACGAACGTAACCTGGTCCGTGTCTTGGCGACTTTTGGTTAGGACAGCTTTCCTGAGATTGCTGAATTGGGGGTTTTGCACCGAAGCAAATCGTTAAAAACAGAGCGTCGTAAAATGCAAGATAAGAGAAACAATACAGGGGCAGGAAACAACCCTGGCCAGCTCCCGGCAGCTTGACCCAAGAGTGGACGACGGTCTTTGTGGAAAGTGTACGCGTCAGAGAATACGACCGAGTCTCCCCTGGCTTTCCGCAACACCTGCTTCGTCAAAATTTTCGATCAAATGCTTTCTATGGCGTTGTGTTGGAGGTGCAGACCGTCACACTCGATCCTGTCCTCTCCCTGCAGCACCTGCCGGAAACGATCCCCGGCGTAGTATTTTGTCAAACAAGGGGCGCTCGACCGGTGAGCGACAAGTGCGTCTGCGAAGTGCGTCCGCGAGGTGCGTCCTGCGAGTTAGGCAGTTGCAGGAGAACAGGACAGAATGCCAATATCCCCCCCACGAGGGCTCGTTTTGGGTGATTTGCAAAACATGGAGCGAGAGATGCTTTTGTTTCTCCTCGTTCTCACCGCAACATCCACTTGGGCGCGATGCAACCCTCACTGGCTTTACCGGCCCCCTCGCCTTGACGAATTAATTCTTTTTGTAAATATAGAGAAATGGTTCATTAACAGGGAATAAAACAGTACTTGCCGAATAAATCGTAGAGCTTACAATACCCTCGTGGTTTGTTCGTGGAACCACGCAGGTCAGAGAAGAAAGCGCTCTACACAACACAGCTCCAAATTTAAGGCAACCCTCCTTGGGAAACTGCCCCGAATTATCACTGCCACTACCGTGCCGTGTGCATGAACTGGGATGCAGAGGTGGGGCAATAATACAAAGGAGAGAGACAGAAACAATAACCAGGGATGTGAAGCGGACGGACCACGAGCCGTGTGGATTGGCATGTCGTCTACAAAGAGAATGCCACGACACGGAATATTCCGTCATCTACGGAGTAATATACCTCTCCAACATGAACAGGGTGACATCGTGATTACATGACAATTCACAGCCTGGCCAGCTGCCTTGGATGAGTCGTGGACAGCGATTGCAATGATTGAAATCAAGAGGCGATATTCGAGTTTTTGTGGGTGTACCGCGGAGTACCGTACGTAGACAGTCCAAAGGGCAACAGAAAAAAAAACCAATCGGGCGTAGGACAAAGAGCTCCCCAGACTGAGCGACCCAGTAGGGCGACCCAGCAGAGACATTCTCTCCGGCCTCTGAGACGATGCGAGCGGAACGAACAAACGAGCCAACCGGGGCAGCGGGTCCTACGCCACCAACAGCTCCCTACTACGGCCTATTCGTCTCGCTTAACATGGTGCACTCAACAGACCCCAAGTATTGTCGTTAGCGTGCGTGACAAGGTGCCGGGGACGAGCTTGCTGGGACGAGCTTGAGTTTGCTGGTTGGGAAGATGGGAGAGCAGGCCAAAGACAGGAGCGGGACGTTCGGCGCGTCGATGAAAACGGAGAGGAAGGCAGGAATGACGGCCGTTGAAGCTCGAAGAGCAGTTAGGAGCTAGGCTTTCAGAAAAAGAGGTTGATCTCCAGCGAATTACAGCAAAACGGGCAGTATCCCGGAACGGTAAGGTGAAAGCATGGGAGAAGTGGAAAAAGGATGGTAGACAGAGACGAACGCGCGGAATATGCCTGATGCAAAGCAAGTGATGCATCGAGGGGGCGTCAGACGGAAATGAAGAGAAGTACAATGCATGGAGCAGGGAACGAAACGAAAGAAGGAGACACGAAGAAATTATGAGAAAGAAACCGAAGAAAGAGGGACCAGGGGGCCCGACAACAGGGACCGGGGCGCCGATCGCTGGGCCAGGCGTGGCCACACCTGGCGATGGAGAGCATCTGTCGGGTAAGCGAACAGAGCAGAAAAGGAAATAGATGGGCGGTCAGAGACAAAACGAAACAGCGAAACAGCGAAACGACACAACGACACAACGACACAGCGTCAAACGCGAGTGCGCACAGACACGAGCCAATATCGCCGGTCGTAGACAAAGAAACACCAGGCAACACAGAAGACAAAGACACAAAGACAAGACAGCCACCGCCAGATGTCAAACTGTGCGACGTGGCGTTCCTGTGACACGCCAGCGCCGTTGATCCCTCAGTGGCTTGAGATGTCCTGTCCTCGGCACTCGTGCTCTATCCAATGTCTGCCCACAAAAGGGGCCCTGTTTGTTTCCACTCTCACGCCTGTGTCCCCCAGAAAGCCCACGCCTTGGACAGTTCTGGTCCCGGGAGGTTGTCTTGGGCTGATGAGACTGACTGGGATGTACGGTGCTGCGGAGTATCTTGTATCTTCTTTGTTCATTCGTTCCCTCCGTCGTAGCTTTCTGTATTGTCCTGTGAGGATGTAATTACGGGGTACGACATAGTGATCCATTCTATCGGGCCCTTTCGTTCTGGACGGATTCGTTTCAACGCTTGTTGGCGCCTTTTTGACGCCTTTTTTTTTATGGGGCCCGCCCCTAACCACCCGCACCCAAACACTCGGTAACCAGCCCATTTGGCCCCCTCTTTCTCCCTGGGGCCTCTCCCACCAGGCCGGTAACCAACTGCGATATGTCGACCTTCTCGCCACCAACATCACATCGTGTCTGCTGGTGTCCTGCTACCGGGTTCCCTGTTGCACAACCACCTTTTGCGTCTTCTACTCTCTTCATATAGTGCCATTCTGTTTAAACCGTGTACGGACGCTATTGATTTTCTGTCGATTCGCAAAGGGGAGGAGCTCACCTTCTACACCATATTACTGATTTGCGTGTTAAGCAGACGCCTCTATTATTCGTCCAGGAGCTCCTCTTTTTGTTTTCTCTTTTCTCTCGTCTTCACTCGTCTCTCTTGTCTCTTGTCTCTTTTCTCTTTTCTTTCTTCTCCTCACTTCTCTTCCTCTTCTCTTCTTTGCCTACTCTCTGCTACTTTCTCTCATCACTTATTTCTCTTGTCTACTATATTTCTCTTCTCTTGCCCTCCTTTCTTCTTTCTTCATTCGTAGTTTTCTTTTGTTCCTCCTCTCTTTTCACTTTTCCCTTTACACTTCTTGTCCCTCTTCCCTTCCTTTGTTTCTCTGGCCCCCGACCATCGTCACACCTCACCCACAGGATGGCTTCGGTGTCCTCAGGCCAGGCGTCGACACCCATCGAGTTGGCCGACGAGCCGGCCGAGAGTGACGAGTTTGACCCCGTCGCCGACTGGGATGAGCTCAACTTGCCGCCGCGAGATGCCGCCACCGGTGTCTGGCAGCATGTCTACGAGAATGGCCGCCGCTACCACCTCTACAAGTACGGCCGCTACCCCATTCCCAACGACGACGCCGAGCAGAAGCGCGAGGACATGAAACATGCCATGATGCTCGAGCTGACGAACGGCAAACTGTACTTTGCGCCCATTGGCGACAACCCGCAAAAGATTCTCGACATCGGCACGGGCACGGGCATCTGGGCCGTCGAGATGGGAGACAAGTTCCCCAACGCCGAGACGATCTTGGGCACCGATTTGTCGCCCATCCAGCCCGAGTGGCTGCCGGAAAACGTGCGCTTCATGATCGACGACTGCGAAGCCGACTGGGCCAACGGCTCCGACTGGGACTTTGTGCACCTGCGCCAGCTCGTCGGCTTGGTCACAAAGCCGGACGATGTCGTCCGCAACATTTTCACCCACCTCAGGCCGGGCGGCTGGATCGAGATCCAGGAACTGCACGCCTACCCCTTTTGCGACGACGGCTCCATGGAGGAGCCCGCCGAAGACGGCAGCGGCGGCGACCCCGTGGCCGCCTTCTATGACTTGCTCCGCGACGCCTTTGACCTGCGCGGCATGAACCACGACAAGGCACGCGCCATGCGAGGGCCGCTCCAGCGTGCCGGCTTCACCAACATCCATCTCAAGAAGCTCAAGGTGCCCTTGGGGCCCTGGGCAAAGGACAAGACGCTGCGCCTCATTGGCAACTACTGCAAGACGGCCGTGCTCGATGTGCTGCCGACCGTGCTGGCCCGGCCCATGGACGAGCTCGACCTGACGCCCGTGGCCAAGCAGGTCTGGGCGGCCAAGGTGCGCCAGAGTCTGGAGGACACAAGCATCCACCGCCATTTCCACTTTTACTTTTGGTATGCACAGAAGCCGGGTGGTGATGGCAACGAGGCAGGAGACGGAACGGGAAAGACAGAACAAGGCAGCGAAACGGAGCCACAGAAAGGACAACCGAAAAAGGAACATCGATAACAGGAAGAGAAAAGGGGAAAATCCCCACATCCAGTACATATACCCCAAAGATACCCTCTACAAAGAAATAGACAATCCCAACAACCCCATCGATCTGTAACAGCATGTCTGGAGGCACATGGAGTCACTGTAGTTGACAGCTGCTAGGCTAGCAAATTTGTAGAGCATACGAGCAGACGAGCAACATTCTACATTCTGAACTGGAACCAAACCAGTTTGTCTCATATTCAGAATAAATTAATAAAATAAACATAATTAATCGGTGAGGCACTGTGCTGTGGTACAATGCTCAGCGAAACATGAGCACTTGTGCCGCTGTGAGGCAAGCCCGTCGGCATTGAAGATTACGTAATACTCGCCACCTCCCAATAGGACGGGCCACCGCCTGTTTGCGGGACGCGAAAGCCCCAAGAACAAAGCTCTCCAGCTGTTGTGGAGCTGTACATGGAGAATTCACCTGCGCTCCAAAAGTCCAGAATCGCAACCTCACGACAATTGCAACGAACCAACGCCCAAACATTGCGACACTCCTCCCGTTACCATACGAACCGCACTTCACGAGGCCATCACTAACTTTGCATACACCATGGCTGCTGCTGTCCAGCGGCCAGGCGCAAGTGCCGCGCCGAACGAGTCGCCCTTAAACGCCGCCACCAACTCGTCCGGCCGCCTCGCTGCCGGCATGCTTGTCCGCGGCGCCGGCAGTGCTCCGTCCCACTACGCCTTTGCTTTCACGCCCTTCCTCCAGACCACATACAAACACGGCCTGCCCGCCGACCGCCCCGTCTGCCGTGCCTACAGCACTGCCGGATCTTGTCCGCTGGGCTCGCGCTGCCCGGACCGCCACCTTGCACCCGCGGCGGCCGCTGCGGCGATTGCTGCCGGCGCCACCTACACGCCCATCGGCGGGTCCGGCAGCAGCCAGCACCACAGCGGCGGCCGCGACCAGGGCGGCTTCAACTCCCTCGTCTGCAAGCACTGGCTGCGCGGCCTCTGCAAGAAGGGCGAGGGCTGCGAGTTCTTGCACGAGTACAACCTGCGCAAGATGCCCGAGTGCAACTTCTTTTTGCGCAACGGCTACTGCAGCAACGGCGACGAGTGCCTCTACCTCCACATCGACCCCCGCAGCAAACTGCCGCCCTGCCCAGACTACGACAACCGCGGCTTCTGCGCGCTGGGCCCCACGTGCCCCAAGAAGCACGTCCGCCGCAAGGCCATTTGCCCCTACTTTTTGGCCGGCTTCTGCCCCGACGGCATGCGCGTCTGCAAAGAGGGCGCGCACCCCAAGTGGACGTCCGTGGCGATTGTCGCGCCGCAGGTGGCCGCCGAAAAGGCAGCAGCCGAGGCGGCGGCAGCAGAGGCGGCCCTGCGCGGCGAGACGCTCGACGAGAGCGGCCAGCCCGGGTCGCCGTATGCCGGAGGCGACGATTACAGCATGGGCGGCACCAACGACCACCTCCAACACGATACGGACGGCCACAATCAATACCAGAACCAGTACCAACACCAACACCAACACCAACATTATGGCGGTACCGACGATGCCAGCAGTATTGCAGGCAGCGACCGGACATCACGGGGCGACCACCGTGGCGGGTTCCGGGACCGAGGCCGCGGCGGCCGTTGGCGGGGCCGCGGAGCTGGTGGGCGTGGTTTCCGTGGACGGGGACGAGGGGATCATTAATGCGTTGCGAGGAAAAGGGTTGCGAAAGCCATCTATTTTGTACGCGTTTGTGGGCTAGTTTTCCGTTATTTTGTGAGCCATCATTTTTATAAAAAGACGATTGACGTTGTCTCCATTGCATATGTATGTACGGTTTAGTAGCAAGCGTATCATTTTACAACAGAAATAATGGAAAAGGCGAGGAGAGTCATTATGTGGGATGCCACACACGAACTGTAGAAAGAGAAAGAGGTTCCATTAAAGGGGAGAGTATATGAAAAAAGGCACGCCCTATAAAATAATTTCCAGAACATACCTCCCAAAATAAAAATGAATGTCTAACAGAGATCGTTTAATGGTCGAACCGATATGGTTGGACTTGGTATGATGCCTACCCTGTGTCGTATTCGTATTTAGATGTTGCGTCGTAGCGTCGTTATCGAACAGCTTGTGCATGTCCGTAATATTTGTGTTTGTCAACCGTATATCACCGTAGATGAAATCAGTCCCCCATTTACTGCCAGATGTGTGAGTCGCCCACCTCCGAGCCCACAGCAATCACACCATTGGCCCCCCCTCGCTTGCTGCGGCGGCCGGGCGACGGGCTGTCGCTGTTGTTGGACACCACCGACGACGTTGCAGTCGGCGGAATCGGCGCCTGGTACCAGGCGCTCAGGTCCTCCACCTTGCGCACGCCCATCATCCACGCCACCAGGCCCCGCGGCACAAAGCTGCCTACGAAGCCGTACAAGTCCGCTCCGAGGCCAACCCGCACAATCGCGTTCGTGTTGGACCCGTCCAGTACGTCAAACACGGCATGATGCAGGTCGTGCATCGACGTACCGCGCACACCACGGATCGCGCGGCCACTGCCGAGCGCCGACGTGCTCTGTGCCGTAAAGTTACGGCCATAGACGTGCCGTGCCGGTTCCGACCAAGACAGCGTCTCGGCAGCGGGCAGCGGCATGCGACCGGATATCGAACGGTGTGCTGTAACGCTCCGTGCAGGTGCAAACCCGGTGAAATCAAAGGTGCCGAGCTGGATGTGTGTCACGGGGATGGCCAGCGGCCGCAGCTCGGCGGCAAGTACTTCCGTGAAGGCCGTCAGGGCCGAACAGACAGTGGACTCGGGCGCGTGGAACGGCGGGTTGACAGAGGAAATGATGGAAGGTGTAAAGACAAGCACCTTGGGCGGCGTCGGCGTCTTCTCCTTCTTTTCCTGAGACGCACTCGCGCTGGCCTTTTGGCGTATCTTGGCTAATGAGAGGCCAGAAGCGGCGGCCAGGATCGACGGCGGCTTGTCGCCGGGCTGCAAGGCCGTGCGTGCCGTTAGGAGAGGCAGGAATGCTTGAATTGAGAGAATCGGGTGAAGGAGGTGCGTGTTGAAGAGGTCGGCGAAGTTGGCGGGCGGGATTGTGGCGATGGGCGAGGTCTGGTAGTTGAGCGAGGGAATGAGGATAATGCCGGTGAGCTGAAGGTGGCTGCGCTTCGCACCGGGGACCGCGGCATGGGGTGCATGGAGGTAGAGCGCGAAGCGCTCGAGGGCAGCGCTGGCGGCTGCAGTCTATATGAACGGTTAGAAAGCGATGTACACAAAAGCGGGAGACAGCATCCGGAACGCGACTTGAGACATACGTCGGTAATATCAATCGACAGCGGCTTGATGTCGGGCCGCGACATATGGCGGACGGCCTGTTCGTCTTCGGCAGAGCCGCACACAATGTACACCATATAGCCCCGACGCTCCATATCGAGGGCAAGCGACTGCGTCACAGGCAACGCAGGTGATGCAGCAATGACCACCACCTCACACCGAGCACCGTTCTTGGCCCGCTTCGCCCGCCGGTATTTCCTTGCCGATATTGATCGCCGCACAGCTCGGTAAGACAATGTGCCGGCGAACAGCACGGCGACGGTCGCCAGGATCTTGTGGCGCACCAGCCAGTCCTGGACACGCTCGTAGAAGCTCATGTCGGCTTTCGAGGCAAGCTCCATGGTGGTGGAGCTCCGCGGCTTCGGCAGGTAGATCTTGACCTGTTCAGGAATCCACGGGGCGGACGCCAGCTGCTCACGCAGCATGTCGGCAGCTCTGTCGAAGTTGCTGTCGACATACTGTGCAATCTCACCCGAGTATCGCCGGACTTCGCTCGAGACATTTGTGAGCTAGATGTATCGATGTATTAGCACAGGCCCGAGGATATGACGATCGAAAGGTATAATTTCGTGATTTTTGCATAGTACGCACCACGTCCATGTAAGGTTTGCTATCGTCGCTCGACATGTTGGCAGGTTTATCGTCGAATTACGGGGAGATGAGAGAAGAGAGAGGGCGGTTAGGGGGCAGCGTGGGCGGGGGTCAGGGAGAAATCATCGGCCAGCTGAATGGTGGACGAGCCGGTTGTGTCGTTGGTGTCGCTAATCGTCGCCGTCGTCTTCATGAACATCCAAAGACGTCTCGCTTCGAGGAGAAGAGGAGGTTCGTCGAGGAAAAGAGGACGGAAAGGCGGTGGACGTAAAAAACGGGCTCTACGAAGGGAGTGTTCCGGGGTTGGGCAGAAAAAAAAAATGGAAATAAAAAAACAGTGTAAAGAGGACGCAGCACAATAGCGAAAGAGGGAAGGGGCGATCCACAATCCACATGCCTGCAGCGCGCCAGGCAAGGTTTGCGTTATCGATAGAGGAAGGAACCGCCGTCTGCAATTTAAAGCGAGCAAACGTGAGGAAGGCACGAACCAACAGGCGGCAGCTTCTGTGGCAATTTGGTGCAATCCCAGTCAGTCACAGGCACTGCAGCATAAAGCCGAAAACGTCATTTGTTGCTAAGGAGCCATGCGTTGTCCACTCCACTTTATTCTCCAGCTAGTGCAGCGCTGAAAGGTTTATGCTCCAGGGTCTGAACCGTCCCTGCCAAATAGCGTTCCTCCATATAATTACTGCTTTCATTGATCTCCTGGGTTTTTTGCCTCACTTCATGCACACCTCCACTGTCCTTACAGTTTCCGCGCCTGGACGCGCAGACGCACGTACTGCATGGCATACGATCCCTTTGGCGTCCGTGTCGTGTACTCCAGCACCTCGACAATCTCGCGTGTGCACGCCTCGCGCTCCGCCTCAGGCACCGCGTCCAGGAACGGCCGCGCCATCAGCCGGATCCAGCCATCAATACCGCCGGCATCCGCGGGCGTCTCGCGCCACTCGCGCTCAATCTTCTCGACCTTCCAGCCGCCGACGCGGTTCTCCAGAATATCGCGCGCCCACGCTTCGTCGGGGAAGAACCACGGGTTTGCTTTCTTGGCCGCCTCCAAGCCGATGCGACGGCTGACGCTCGACACGACGCCCGTGACGAGCTCCGTAACGTTGCCGAGGCCGCCCATCTCAAAAACGAAGACGCCGCCGGGCTGCAGTGCGTTCTGGACGCCGTGGAAGAACTGCTCGTGCTTGGCGGTGTTGCTGAGGATCCAATGCATGGCCGCATTGGAAAAGGCCTTGTTAAACTGTCCCTTTTGCAGCTCCGGCTTGTCTACAATATCGTTTGCATCGTAGACTAGACGGCGGGGCGGTGTGTTAGCAGTGTGAGAGACATGTGACTGCTTGGATGCCATGAGACAGTTTCACCCAGTGACTCCACATACCTTCAAATGTGCTGTTTGTGTAGCCGGCAGCCTTGGCGGCTTTTTGTGAGGTCTCGATCAGAGACGGCGAACTGTCCACGCCGTGCAGGCGGCCGGTGCCCTTGGATAGGATGTCGGCAAACTGTAGGTCAAGGATGCCGTCTAGGGATTGTCAATATGGATCACAGTCGTTGGGCAAATGACGAATTACACACCACCACAGCCGAGATCCAGAATCACGTCGTCCTTTTGCACGTCGAGCCAGCCGATGACCTTGCCCACCAGCTTGGGGACAAACGACGCGGCATTTTGGTATTTCTATAAGTGTGTCAGCAGTTATTTACAAAACCAACAACAAACGACAGCACGACATGATAACCGGGAAGAAGCCTGCCTCGGTGGACCAAATGTCCTTCTTTTCGGATGCCATTTTGATGGAGTGGTTTAAATGGGTGTATGGCAAAGACGTAGTATGGGGTCAACATAAATCTGAGATAGGACAAGACTGGGATAGGTGTCAAGAATGAGCAGTAAAGGGGATTGTTTACAGACAGCTTTATATATCTGTAATTGCTTAGCATCAGAAAGTGAAAGCCCCGCTTTTGGTGATGGCCTGGTTACAAACTCCGGCCCTGATGATGAATTGCTAGGTCCGATTTCGGAGATCCGTGTTAGCCGACTGACTGTTGACATTTAAAAGTAGTGCGGTAGGCCATAGGATGTGTCTGGATTACGACCAAAAGGGGACCCTTGCAATCACGCTGCAGGTTATACAACATGTTTTGGCCGCTACATACGTTAACGGAGATGGAGCATGGAAGAGTATTGATATGCGAGCGAATACGATGTAAGAATGCATCGTTGTTTTCGTTAAACTCGCAAAATAAAACAAAAGCTAACTGCAATATCATACTTTCTACAAGCATCGCAATGCTCAGTCCAGGTTCAAGAGCTCGTACTTGGCATCTCCAAGGGCATCTTCGACCCGCTTCATAGCAGCTAGTACCTTCTCCTCCTCCAGTCGGCGACCTACCACTTGCACACCCACCGGCAGGCCATGCATGGCGACGGAGTCATAATGCTTCATGGCGCCCTGTGCGACTCCATTCAGCTTGCGAAGTGAAAAGTCTGAAGGAAGGGCGTCTTCTTTGGCATCTACCCGAGTAACGGGCAAGACTCCAGCCGTGTAGTCGAGCTGTACATATGGTGTTAGTGAGGGAGCGATATCGGCCGTCAAATGGATCGGCAACGTGTAAGACAACGACACCTCGGGGCTGCTGAACTGGAGATGACGACTCGTAATAAAATAAATAAAAAGCAGAAGGTTTTAAAAAGAACCAGAAAGAGGAGGTGCATACCAAGTTAAAAAGGAACGTGTAACCACAGCTGCTGACCGCATCATGCATGGCATCGTGTGGTAGCGCCGGGGTCGCATTTGGAGGCGTCAACAAAACATCAAACTTGGTCGAGTCCCACCACTTAAACCAGCGTGCACGGTATGCCTCGCGCTGGGCGACGAGTTTCCAGTTTTCAAACGCACTCTTCGGGCCCCAGTCACGCACCAGGCCGGCCCAGATAGGATCCTGCCGCACGTACCGCACCCAGACGTAGTACATATAGCGGAATAGCGAGGGCAGCTTAGCCAGGAATAATAGCTGCTTAGCACCAGCGTCGAGCCACTCACCGGGCCGACGCGCAACCTCAAACATCTGGCAGCCGTCTGCGTTGAGGAGCAGGGACGCGAGGCGTAGTCCTTCGTAAGCATCAGGTGGCGGGTTCGGCTCGTTCTGGCCGACCATGGTGACGCTGTGGCCAGCCACCTGCAGTGCATCGACCACCGTCTCGACAGCCCGGCGGCAGGCAGGACTCGGGTCAACCACGCCATCACTCATCATGACACCAACGCGCAGCTTGCGTGTCGGCGATGAGATGTCGTCCTCGGTCTTCTGGTCCCACGTAATGCGATGGACCGAGTAGTCGTACCGCCATGGCTCCATCTGAATCATGGTCCGTGTAAAGTACGTCAAGTCAGCGAGGGTCCGTGCCATGGGGCTGTAAACACTCGGCACACCCTCCTGGCCGGGCATACTGGTGCGAAAAGCCATCTTGGGCCAGCGGCCCGTCGAGCAGCGCACACTGTAGCAGCCCGCCCAGTGTGCCGGCAGCCGGACGCTACCCGCCACATCGCTGCCAATGCCAATACGGCTGCCGCCGGCTGCCAGTAACGCCGACTCACCGCCCGTAGAACCGCCGGGCGAGTACTTGGCGTTGTGCGGGTTCGTACAGCGACCCCACACATCGTTGGTCGACTCAAAGCTGAGGAGGGTGATAGGCATGTTGGTCTTGACAAACGGCACGGCGCCTGCCTCCTTGAGCATCACCACGACCGCGCCGTCCTCTTCCTGTTCCTGGTGCGTGAAGCTACTGTATCCTACTGTAGCATCGTAGCCACCGACCACCACCGTGTCCTTGAGACTGACCGGAATGCCCGCCAACGGGCCCTTGAGGTTGATGGTGTCCTTGCTCAGCCACTCCTCGGCCGACCCAATCATGACCTCAGTCAGGCAGTTGGTCCTTTCGTGGACCTGTATCGCCGCCTTCCCGTACGAGCGCAGCACATCGACTGCCTTGACGGAGCCATTTTGGACCTCCTTGGCCAGCTCTTCGACCGGCCTATCGAGCGTTGCGCGGTCCTTTGCTGAGAGCGGCGTGTGGTAGTCGGCAGGCAGGCTGCGAATGCGCTCGGCGCGCTGGTCCTGCTTGAATTTGCTGTCAAACAATGTGTTAATCCAACCATAGAATAAGAACAATAACAATAAACTATAATCAAGCATTGTGGTGGATCATGTTACCAGTCCCGCTTGTGTTGTAGTCCAAGGAAGGATGACATCGCGATAACACGACGGCTTCTCGGATAAGAGGCAATTCAACGTTCGGGTTCGTTTTGTTGTGTGAAGTTTCCTTAGCAAAGTTGATCTCCTACTCCTCAATTAATTGGGTTTGTATTGGTGAAAGAGGAGGGAATCAGATTGGGGAAGGAAACGGCGAACAAAGGTCACTTGAGGTCTTGGGCCGGGGTAGCCCCGCACCTGCCTTGTTGATAGTGACACAGAGGACAAGAGGCGACAACAGGCACACGGGCGACTTGGGGAGCCGCAAAGCCGCTAGAAGCCGATGCGGCCTTCCCCTGAGGCACCCGCTCGCCGTTGAGCTCTTTTCCGTATGCGGAAGGTTTTACCTTTGACCTGCCTCATAACGGTGGTCACTGCTGTCCAAGCCTCCACTCTTACAAAGCTAACAAGTTTGGAAAGTCCGCGTCGACTCGCCCTTGCCTGTTTTAGTACAATATCGTGTAAGATGCCCACGCCAAGAAAAACCGGACGATAGTTCTTGCCGTCGAGTTCGATACAGGTAACATTTGAGGAAAGAGCACTCCTGCTTGCAACACATCGTTTGTAGAATGGTGCTTTCCAGGGTGTTTACAATCTCCTCCCCCTTTCCACCTCCTTTTTGTCATGATTGCGTTTTGACTGCATGATCATGAGTCGTTGCTAGTGATTGACTCCCCTTTGCAAGCAGAAGCGCCAAGACAACCACCAAATCCTCTTCTGCTAGAAAGTCCTTCGAAAAATGAACATGTCTCATAACGAGTCACAGAACTATGCAGAAATGCACCCTTTCGTGCACACGGCGGGAAAAGATTACACAGAGATACTGACATACAGTATGCATTTTGTTTTTTTGTACTTCACTGCTATATGCGAAAGCGACGACGCGGCGAGCACAGAGAGGGCGCAATAGCTCATCCACACGGATGCATCCCTTCTTTGGCTGACCTGCCGAACGGGCCTTGTTCGTTGCTGCACACTGCGATTGCAGAATTGCCGCCGATAAGCTACAAGGCCTAACTATCTCGCCGAACCAACAAACACGAGACAAAAGCAATAATGTTGTTCTGGAAAGCACGTGGGACACGGACGCCGTAACGGCCACAGACGCCACCAACGTCAAAAGACAATCCAGCTGTTTTACGTTGGATTTGGTGAATCACCCAAAGTCAACCAGCAGTGCTCCTATGTGGTGCCTGTTCTGCGGGGATGCCAACCAGTTGATTTTCCATGCAATCACCAAAATCATGCATTTACTAACTTTCAACTTGTATCAGCGTCGGGTAAGGTATCGACTTCGGACTCTCATACTAGATGAATATGATGTATCCTTGGCAATTGTACTGATATCACTGCGTTCGGAGTGCTGATGATTTCTCTCCGAGATTGTGCCCGCTTTAGATACCACAAGGCTTAAAATACAACGGCGGATACAAGCAATATGAAACGCGGTAGCACTCAGTCCTCCAACTTCGTGACGGTTTCTCACTACGACTAATAATACGGCCAGTCCGAGTCTGTGTTAGTGATCGATACGGTGACTTCACAGGGGAATCCCTGCTCTGCGCCTGCAATGCTGCACCTCTACTTTTCTCCGCAGAGACAATCTCTGACGGGCGTATTGACAATTTGAGACCGGTTTGTTAAATGCAGTCACCCGGACTTCGCATGCTTGAACTTATGATTCGTTTGAATTAACTATCCTTTCTTTCCATTACATGCAGTTTTCCTCTTCAAAACCATGGCTGATGCGTAGCTTAGTTTGACACGGAACTTACCTGGCTTTACAGAGACAATCCTCGCATATCATTTCCCGGCCTGTCGGTAAGAAATATCGCCGGCGTACTCCTTTACGCTACTAGCAAGAATGCAAACAACGACTTCTGGCCGGTCTTGTTACTTTGCTCTGTGAGGGTAATTTTCGATATTGACTTTGAGCTTTCCCGCTTCAGTCCACGGCGTACGATTTTACACGGCATATGATTGTCTCTGACAAATGGCCCGCCTGCGGTCAAGCCTCGATCGGAGACGACGGAATACGTGGTGTGACCTTCTGCAAAGCTTCCCACCCTGCCTAAATGCAACGCTCCGTTGTATAAGAATATTCATTTTAATATGTTGTCTTGGTCCTGTTACCAGCAAGTCCTTCCGAGGCTCAGGCCCTCAGTGCCTTCTGTGTTGTTCTTCCGTTGGCAAGAGGCAAGGAAAGCCCTGGTGGGTTCTGTTTACGCATCTCACCCTATTCCCCGTGCAAATTACACATGCCACGCTCGCGAGGTAGTTTGTGTCAAGGCGGGCGTGAAAGACAGTCCTCGAAATTTCGTTTCCAGCCTGTCGGGTTCTGGACATAGGTCGGCGCTTAACGGTCTCCGTTTGTTGGTTCAACACTGAGCCTAACTCGGCATAATATTCTGTCCGCTACGGTTTGGGCATTCACGGCATCCACATCCACATCCACCAACAAGTAACCCTCGCATGTTGGGTGCCACCAACTTAACGAGAGTTGCTATGTTTCTTTCTTTCTTTTTTTTTTTTTGCTTTACTTTTATTTTTCTCTCACAAACACGGAACGTATAGGCCATCATCACCTGGCCATACCCCCGCGTGACTGGGAGTAAGCCATGAGCCAACCTTTGCTCACAACACACGAGTGCGTAACGAATTGCTTCACATTCGCATGCGGCATGATCCATGCAGATTTTACTGTTTACTCTGTTGGTCAAAGGTACGGGGTTCATTGCTGAGCACTCACGAGGCTGAACAAAGGCGTCTTATGCTCCACTTATCCTGGGCCCTGGTGGGCTCAACGGACTCGAACAGCCAGAGAGGCAAATTAAAATACGAAAACCTGCAAACTTTCTTCCGCATGTACATGTTGCTAATTATTCGCCCACGGGCCGAACCACGGATAATCACTTCACACTTTCACTCCAGAAAACCACTTGCAAAGATATTGCTAATATATTTTGCCACAGACTGAACAAGTTTACCAACCTAGGCCAACACATGTTTCCGTCTGCTCAGCTTGAGCTGTTGGCCCGTTTTGAGATGGTTCACGATATAGCCATCTCCCTCCAGCTTGGACATGTTGGCAATCCGTGTCTAGCCTAAACGAGCCAGGGCCTCGGCGATGCTATGTTGCATCCAGGGTGGTCTGCAAGTTGGAGGCCCATTCTGATATGCCCTGATTTGTTGTGCTCGGAGGCCCAAGCGAGACATAGTGAGAGAATTCCACCTTACTCTAGAGCTCGCATTTAGAGAAGACCATCCCGTTTTCCATCAAGAAAAGCATTCGTCATGCTACCTTATCGTGGTTTGTTCGCCCATGATGTTTAGCACTTACTCCGCAACGCAAGTCAGGTATGGCATCCGCTGCTCGCGGGGCTTACCTACGACTTCTCGGTTGTGGTCATAATATCTTCTTGTTTCACCGTCGACCTTCGTCAAGCATGCGTAAAGAATTTTTTGTGCACTGCACAATGTCTTTGCAGACTGTTTCCCTTTTCTTCGTCACTGGATAGCTGACCAGAAATGGACTGCAGACATAGGTGGGTGGCAATGATGGCTTCGGATGCGAGCAATAACAGCTGTCCAGAGCTTTGCAAGACCGTTTAAGCCAACAGATACGCATGGATTACTGAAGTGTTTGTCAAGGATGCAATCCGTGTCCTGTTGGTTGCAAGCCACCCTCTTCAATTTCGCCATCTGCCCCGTGTCACAACTACCCCTGTATTTTCGTTTTGTTCACCGTTGAAATCTCAATGGCAAAGCAAACATTTCGTATCCTCCGTGCCTCCTATTCGACAGGTGTGTTTTTAGCCCGGAGCTGTTGCTGTTCCAGGGCCTGCTCTTGAATTTTCTCCTTACGTCCTCCGTGTCCCCAAAAACTTTCTTTTTATTTATCTTGTTGAAGATTTGCTTGCTTCTTTTATTCTTTTTTCGTTCCATATTGATACACTTCTGTATTGCTGGTATGTAGAGACTGTTTATGCAATGCACAGACTCGAGATATGAGCTAACATATGCCGTTTTGCGCCTTTAGCTGTCTCTGTTTTGCGACCTGTTTATCACAGCAACAGCTCTCTTTATTTTGTCCGCCTTTTCCCCATTCACACCGCGAACTGAGCATGCTTACACGCAGTACCTGTCTACGTTTCGAGTCTCAGTGCTAATTGTTCACGACGTTGTACCACCTTCCACCCACCTCGCACAGCTAAGGCCCTTTCTGCGTCTGCTTTGCCTCCTTGTTGCTACTCGTTGCCTCACATCTATTTATCAGACGTATGTCCAAAGTCAGTTAATATCAAAGCAGCGCCGAATCAACGACTGGAAAAGACGTCGGCTACGCCGGCACAAGCGACTGCCCAACTGACAACCAGCAGGGCAAACGTAACCGATACGAAACAACGCAACGAGCATTATACCAGCCTCGGATCTGATAATCTTTACTGTCTCATCAAAGACATGCTGTGTCTTCGTTCTTTTGATGTCTCCACTAGGAAATGACGCTGCATTAGTCTATGGTATATAATGACCTCTTGCCATTTGTCTTTCCACTCCCATCCCGACCTTCTGCCCTGTTGCAAGTCGACCTTCAATTACTTCATATATATTCACCGCTGTGATTTACAGCGTGCAACCTCTTCCCTTTGTCTCTTTTCATCGGCTATTCTAAGGATCTGTTACCATAACTCCGCCGATGCGATCACTTACACACCGACACAAAAACAACTTCCAGTCTATGTCCCAGTACTACCGCCGTCAGCCCCATGGTAAGTCCTCGCCCCTGCTCTGTTAACGAACACACCATCGGAAAACCCTACTTTCCCCATTTGAATAAAGCATGCCAACTAACACGCATGTTTACCATGGGCCAGTCTGACCCGTCGCCTGTTGTGCCCCATACACAGCACTGGCTTCTTCGGCTGCCACCTTACTTCTGGTCGCAGATGTATCTTTACCTCGACTACGTCGACATCTTGAATCTCTCCTCGCTGAACTCTGACTTCTTCGCCGAGGATGTCGTAAAATACCTACCTGAATCTGTTCGCTACACAGCGGTTGCAAAGGTTCATGCCAATTCCGACCCAAAAACACACAGTGCTTGCTACCTCTGTTTCCGCATAAAACCCATTGAAGAATTCCAACAACCGTACACGATGGCCTCATATGCGCGAGTCCTGCAGCGCAACGAATATACCGGTCAGCGTATCTTCGAGGTGATTTCAGAGCCTTCTCCAGGTTACACAAGCAACATTTTGCAGCCTCCATCCCTCCCGGTGTCACCCGTCACGGTGAGCATGGGTACGGGCATGGGCCCTTTTATCTTGAGCACTGCGGTCAGTCCTTCAGAGCCTGCAGGTTACAGCATGGATATCGGCTTTCGCGGTGGCATCGGCGGTATCGGTAGCCAGGCTGCTCCCGGTTCATCCAGGGCGGGCCGCTTGCACCGCCGATGGCAACCACAGGCGCCGGGCGCCGAGGTGGGCCAGATTGAGAGCCTCCGCACATACTGCATCCAATGCGCACTGGAGACGCACCTCGCGATTGCCGGTGATGTGGTGGAGCCACGTATCGGGCCGAGGTTGTGGGTGTGCGCTTGTCAAGTGGCGCGCAGGCAGGACAACGGCCAACGGTGCTTGACTTGCGGCATGAGCCCTGTCTATCGAGATGCGGTGAACCAATAACTGCAGTGACGGACCACGTGGCTAGACTCTTCTTGGTTTGTTCGTGGATGACAGTCGCTTTGATTACAACCTGTCCTATCTTTCTTTCGTCGATGCCCTCTTTACACTGTATTCTCTTACTATACTCGCTCCTGTTCGTGTTGCATAGCTAGAAGTGGTTGTTGTTTTCTAGATCGGTTGTTGGTTTCCTTATTGTCTCTTTTTCATCGTTAAAGATTTGTTGCTTCTTTTTGTAAGCGAAGAGCGATTGCAAACTCTTGTTACTGAGCGTTCACCCGGAGAGGTGAGCTGGATGGGCATGAGAAGATGAGGAACTGTACACATGAAAACTACGAAAACAGTGACACAATATCCAGCTACTAGCCAAAGTGCACGTTGTGCAAACATTGCACTCTTTTCATTTTTTCCGATTTCCCTGGCCAAAGCTCAAAATCCTTCAACTTTCTTTGTTTTGGCCGATGGTCGCCCTTATTTTCTTATTTGATTGCATGTTTTGGTTTCCTTGCGCACCATTCGTTTTATACTTTTAGACTTTTCATTTTTCTGTGCAAATCCAAAAGCTTTGAAAGCTGCGATTTTGGCTCTGTGTTCTTTTTGTCCCTATGCCTCCAATACGTATACTATCAAGTTACTATAAAGTGGTGTCGCGGCAGCGGTCCGTAACGTGGTAGACAGAGGGGAAATGGACGGGGTGGACAAGTGAATCAACGATAACTGCAAAGTATAGAAGAAAAGACAAGAAATCAACTGTGTGTAAACTGACCATAGGATAACAGAAGCACCGCATGACAGCGCTCAAGCCGCGACGGCAGCCGACAATCTCCCATTCTCGGCCCCCATCACAGATCTGACACACAACAACAAGCCACCTCATATATCAAGCGGGTCTTGCGGAGTGTTTTGTCCTCCTTCGCAATAAGGCAGCTAGGAGACTTGGGGGCCACACCAGATACAGAGCCGTTGGCTCCCAAGAATCTCAAAAATGAACAAACCACGCACACATCACTTATGTGGGGCCAAGCAGTCACCCGCTTGGGTGACATGATAGAATACGGTTCGGTCCGGTGGCTGAAAGGGCGACGCGGGCCCGACGGGCGGACGAGAGGCCGGGAAGCCGGGACAGGTCCTTGTTTCATGCCCGAAGAGCCCCCGATCCGCTCAAGGCTGTCCCGTCCCGGTTTCTTGTCCTCCTGTCATCTTCAGCGATATAACTATGGGTCACACAGATAACAAACAATGGCCAATGCTGGTTCGCGAGGATCGCGCCGTCGCCCTTTGTTGATGAATTCGATGTAACCGCTTCTCCGTTTATCGAGTTGGCCGGTGCTCCGTGTGCCCTGTGCGTAGTAAATGACAGGGATGCGCCCACGGTGCTCCGTCGTACGCCATTGACTTAGCAGAACAAGATCACTCCCAGCAAAGCACAGAACCAGTAATTATTACTTACTATTTGCATTGCAAGCTGCATGATTTTGTATATGTTGTCCTGTGCAAGCGGTTATCTTCGTGGGTCTTTCCTATTTCCCCTACTCACTCTTTCATTACCACGGGGCAAGCGAGGAATGAAACTCAGCCACTAAGAGCAAAGCCATAAACAGAGTAGATCGGCAACGCGCCAATCGCCGCGGCTCTTCTTCCCGTTTCTTTTTCCGTGGTGGCCCAGCTTGTACATGTACTCTCGTACCGCCAGATCTGTGGCGCGGCTCTTGGCAGACACCGTATTTCGCATTCCGACCCTCCATCCCGCCAGCCCTACGAAGCAATGCCCCGTACGATTTACACGTTCTCCTTATGCCATTCGTGCATTTGATGCTTTAATGAGAAAGCCTTGGAGAGCGCCTTGTCCGCGATACGACAGTACGACATACAGTCAGCCTTCCGGGCGACAGACACTGAATAGTGCCGGCGACTAGCTAACACCTCTTATCTGAAAGGGCGCAATACCATTTTCTTATTCAATTTTACTGTCTCTGTAGTTGTTTAACTTCGAATTGACTGCGGTGTACAAATTATCTTGAAGGTCGAAATGCTGATGCCTGGGCCTTGTGAGAGTGGGACTAAAGTAACCCCCTAAGCCACACTAAATCTACGTATTTCGCATATTTCTCGGGCGATAAAGCCCAAACGGGCTTAACCAGGCAAGACGGTATCATGTTTGGGCGAAACACGGTCCGCCGTCTAAGTGAGAAATGAACCCAAAGAAAGAACAAAACGGGCGACGAGGTCGAGATTGAGTTTGATAGTTTTCCTGCGTCGACTTCTCTTCCCATATCGTTTGTCTTCCATCTCTCTTTCCTTGTCTGCTGTTCCTTCCACTTCAATGAATTAGTTGACCTTGGAGCGATCCCTTCTCTTATCGCTACTCTTCGCCCTGTAACCGCCCACTCACGCGTCACAATGGGTTCCGACGGGAGGACCGTCGGCACGGCAGAGGAGCTCCTGCTGCGCGGCGAGCGCTACCGCGACACGTTTGGCAGGAGCGAGATCGAGAGCGTTCCGTTTTTGAGCAACAACGACGACAACGACGACGAGGAAGGCACATCGCAAGCACCTTCCCAGCAGACGTGGCTGCAAAGATGGGGACTGCGCCGCCCTGCTTGGATGGCCTCCAGACAGCAGCCTCCACGGCACTACCAGCCGATTCGCATTGGCGACGACAGCGACGACGTCGACGACAATGCCAGCACTCCGTCCGACGCGACGACAGATGTTGAGGCCGATGCAGGCGCCGACTACAGCTACAGCGACGAGCCGGCGGCAAGGGCACAGAACAAGCAACGACGACAAGAACGACGCGACAGTGACGACGATGTTGATGAGGACGACGCTGATGCTGACGCCGAATCCAACCCCCGTCGACGCGTCGCTGGCGCGGCCTGGTACCAAGCCCAACGGCCCGGCAGCGTCATTGCCCTCGTGGCCGTCCTTCTCTTCTTCCTCGTCTTTGCCGCCACGCTGGCCCTCGTGCCCATGTTGCGCCTCGTCGAGGACGCCATCTGCCGCCGGCATTATGGCCTCAACTACGGCGACGATGGCGGCAGCAACGCCACCGTCAGTGTCAACACCCACAAGCAGTTTCTCGAAAACGACTTCACGCGCACCGCCACCAACGGCACCGACGAGCGCCTCTGCAAAGTCGACGCCGTCCAGGCCGAGCTCGCCTGGCTCGGCGGCGTCGTTTCCGTCACCGAGGCCATCTTCGGCCTTCTTGCCTCGTTTCCCTGGGCTCTCTTGTCCGATCGCATCGGCCGCAAGCCCGTCTTCCGCATCTCGTTCATCGGCGCCTCCCTGTCCTTCGGCTGGACAGCGCTCATCCTGCTGCGACGCGACGTTCTGTCCGTCTGGTGGGTCCTGACCTGCGAGGTCTTTTTGCTCGTCGGCGGTGGCGCCGGTGTCGCCGTCACCATCCTGCACTCCATCGTCACCGACGTCGTCGTGGGCGACCGCGCGTCTGGATTTATTTGGCTGGCCGTTGGCGCCGTCACCGGCTCAATCATCGGCCCTGGCTGTGCTGCGGTGCTGATGATGACCGGCGGCCCAGACGGCGAGGGCCATTCGGCGTGGCTGCCGATTTGCCTGACGCTGTTTGTTTTGACTCCCATCATTTTGGTCCTGACCGTGTTCTTGCCAGAGACTCTGCCAAAGAAGGTGGCAGCCTCGTCGTCGTCGTCATCGTCGCGGTCGACCGCCACTACGACGTTCTCCATGTCCACCGCCTCGTTTTGGATGGGCACCATCCCCGCCCACCTGCGCGAGACCTTTCAGCAGCTCCTTAAGACGCTGGCCGTCTTGCGCCGGAGCCGCCCTTCGCTGCTTCTGCTGCCGTCCTACTTGTTCCAGCCCGCCATCCAGAGTGTGCAGGGAGGCATCCTCGCCCAGAGCGTCAGCAAACGCTTTGGCTGGTCGCTCGCCCAGACCGGCTATCTCTTTTCCTTCCGCGGCGTCGTCACCGTTGTCGTGCTCATCCTCATTCCGATCATTACCAAGTACATTCTGGTCGGGTCAGTCACGGCCGCCGCGCTCCACACCAACAACAACAACAAGAAGACGCGAGGCGGCTGCACAGGTCTTGGTATGTCCGAGGTCCGCAAAGACTTGTTCCTTGCCCGCACCTCGCTTACGTGCCTCATCGTTGGCAACCTGTTGATGGCCACTGGTACATCCTTGTCAACCCTAGTTCTCGGCCTCGTACTCTCCACCTTCGCTGTCGGCTTCGGCTCCGTCTTACGGTCTCTCATTACCCACTTTTTCCTCGAGCAGCAAAAGTCGACTCCGACGAACATTGCGGCTGCTGGTTCGGTCGCGACCACCACTGCCGGCGGCCAAGACGGCCAAGACGACAAAGACAGCAAAGACGACCACACGTCCCGCCTCTACACCCTCACCGGCATGGTGGAGACAGCCGGCTCCGTCTTGGCCGGCCCGATGGTGGCCTGGACCTTCTCGTCGGGTCTTGCCCTTGGCGGCGCCTGGATCGGTCTTCCATTTTTCTATGTCACGGGCCTGTGTGTCGCCGCGCTCGTGTGTCTCGTCATCATTGGCGACGGCAGCCGCGACAGTGCTACCAGCAGTGGTAGTGGTGGCCGCATACGGCTGTCGACGACGTCGGATCCGCGCGATAACGACCATGAAGAGGTCGGCAGTGGGCAGATCGCGTTACCTTAGATAGAAATAGAAGAAATAGGACCGCCGTGTTATTTATGTACTTATTCTTTGGGACTGTTGGGGGGAGGCTTTGACATTAGATACCTTATTTTGGCATTTGAGAGTACACTGGGACATTTTAGATTTTCTTTTGTTTTATTTTCGGCGTATTAATTTTTTACATTCCATTCAAATATATGAGGCTTTTTTTTTTATGGCGTTCGACAAGACAATTAAGTATAAATGTACGTACATATAAAACGACGCAATTTAACTCTTTTGCGTATTTAAATATGCTGATAGCCATAGTTCATTGGCATCGCTGAAAACTCAAACTCCATTTTCAATTTCAGACAAACCTCGCAATCATCGAAAAGCTTTGATAGTGTAGGCACTCGCTTCATACTTTTGTCTCCTGATTGGGTTGATCTTGGGCGTCAGTATCGTTCGTTCTTGTCCAAATTCTGGTCTGTTCGGCCCCCGAGGATTCTCTTACATGCGACGCTGTGTGTTTGAAGTTGTTTTGATTGTCTCCGTTTCTATTTTTTGTGGGCAGCCGAAACCACAAATAATGCCTCTCACGTTATTGGCTTATACCTTCAATTTCCGAACAATATTGAATTTTAATGTTACAGATTTTGCCTGCTTTTTCGTTAGATGAATTACGTCCATGTCCACTAGTTAAACCTGCTATACCATGACGTTTTTATCCTCAGCCTCGTCCATGCCAAGTCGGAAGTTGGTAGCAAAGTTGATCCTTCCGTTGAAGTCCGAGCCAAGTCGTTTTAGAGACGGCGAATATTTTCATGGGGCGCACAGAATGGTATCCCAACGGGGCTTTGTGTGCCAAATTGTTTTTCATCTCCGTGTTTATATTTACATCTAAAAGCCGACAAAAATCGCATCTTAGTCAACGCGGCTTTAAAGAGACTGTGAAATATATCTGTAATGAAAGTACAAAACAATACATTTATTTTATTTTTCATTCAAAATATATATGGAAAGTCTGTGTTGCAAAAGGCAATTGTAGGGTTAGTTTGTGTAAAAAAATACATGAGAGAAAAATATCCAAAAAAACCCTCGACGTTAAAACGAAAAAATAAAAAGAGGTGGCAATGGTTGAGACATTGTGAGAAAAGAACATAATAAAAAAGCAGAAGTTGCCGCCTTTTACAAGTTAACTTGTTGTCTGTAGGTGTCTCGGTAGGGATAGGGTTGGCAAAATTGGCTTTCTGTTTTGCCGTATTTGGCCCCTTTCTGATTTGTTAGGCTTTGATTTGTGCTTCCTCCTCTAGAAGTGTTCCTTCCAGAAACGGAAGTTGACTTCCCGGACAGACGCTGCGGAGGTTGCCTTCTTGATATCGCGTGCTGGAGGCTGTTAGTAAAAGGTGATTTGTACGTTTCATAAAAGGAAGAGATAGAGGAGTTACACACCTGCTCCAGACGGACCGCAGAAGTACACACCGACGGTGGTCTTCATGCTGCCCTCAAGACCGTTCAGGTATGTCCGGTCCAGAATGCCGTCACGCATTGCGCTGAAGAACTTCAAGAAGTTGGGGCGACCAAAGTTGGTGCGCGACTTCAGCTCCGTCAACGGGTCGTAGGTGGCACCCACTGAGTTGAGCACAATGTTCTGCGTGGTGTCCATGTCGAGTTTCTGCGTGAGGTACGTGTGAATCTTGAGGAATTCAATGCCGTTGCTGCCCGGAATGCGTGCAGCGTCTGTCGACTGCTGTTCCAGCGACGACAGCAGGGTCTGGAACCACTCAAAGGATGTCGTGTCCTTGCACACCCAGATGAACTCGACACGGCGAAGACGGGTCGGCGGGTTCGGGCCATTGCGCAGATGCCAGATGTTCTTGAGAATGGCGGCCCAGGGCGTCACACCAATGCCGGTACCGATCAGCACGGCGATTTCGTTGTCGAACACATCCTCGGCAGGAGCACCATAGGGGCCATCGATGCGCAGAGCCGGCATCTGCTGGCCATTCTGAAGAGCGACTTCGTACATGCCGAGAGGGTCGACGCCTTCGTACAGCTTCGCCTGTGCGGAACCGGCACCAACAGCATCGCCCAGAGCGCGGGTAAAGTCACCAACCTGGCGGACATGGACCGAGGCGTAAGGGTCGTACGGGCAAGACGTGATCGTAAACGGGTGCCATTGGTACTTGGAGATGGACGGCACCTGCAGGAAGAGCCACTGGCCGGCCTTGTAGCGGAAGGACGGCTTGGAGAACTGAATCTCGACGGCATCTACAAAATGTTAGCGTTTGTGAGAAGGGAACGGACCCCTATACGTTCCCACTATCACTTACCATACGGATGGCGGACGACACGGGTAATGCGAGTCTCACGGCGGGCGCGGACCTCACGGTACAGACGCTCAATTAGGTAAAGACCACCGGCAAACAGCTCCCACCGCCAGCCCTCGTAACCGATGCAGTGGTTCCAGAAGTTGGCGCCAGCAAAGGGGGAGAAGGCGTTGGGGGTGTCGCGCACGAAGCAACCCACGGTATGGGTGTACAGACCCAGTAAAAAGGGAATGAACAGGTGGTGTGTGTACCAAAAGGTCTCGAACGATTGCTGCCGGATACGGTGGTGTGCGGTGGTGTACATCAGCAGCATGCAGAAGAGCATGACGTGACCCGTAATTCCACCAGGCTCGGTGTAGTGAATCTCAAGGGCGCTGACCGGACGAATCTGGGTCTTTTCAACGTTGTAGAAACTGCTCTTTGTTAGATCTCGGACACTTTAACTCAATCTGCGTAATCATATGAAGGAGAGAGTTCGACGTACTTTACGTAGTGACTAGCAGTGTGGATAATAGCGAATATAAGCATGGCGTAGGCGATCTGGCGATGGAACCAAAGATTTTCATCGAGGGGAAGGAAGCGAAGTTTTGGCCGAACAATGCGGACCAGTGTCCGGCAGACTGGGAGGAGAATGAGTGTGCCATCGACGGCCAGGACGAGACCAGCACCACGGGAAAGCCACACTGAGTACTGGAGTGTATTCAGACCGGCTAGTCGAGGGTCACTCTCTTGCTTGTACCTGTGACAGTGTCAGCTATCCGCTGTTGTGACCATTGTAAAAGACGTCCACGCCTCTCGTCGTCCATCACGCGTTATCCATTACTTACCAGCCAAAGGCGAACAGGCCCCAGTGCACGCCCCAGAACAGGAAGTGGAAGAAGAGTTTCTGCACCGTAAACTGCTTCTTGATCAACTGAATCGCACTCATGATGGCGGTTGGCAAGGTCGAGCGGGCTCAAGAGCAGCTGTTGTTATGTGCGAGAGAAAAAAAAGCGTAGCGAATATTAAGTATGACGACCTGCGTCAGTGTCGACGAGCGTCTAGTCCAGGGCTCTCTAGTCGTCGAAAGTGTTCGTCGGCTCAGGTCGTCGAGATGTCTCGTATCCCTAACCGTAGCCGGTTCGAGATGAAATGATTCGAAAGGATAGAGGTGTACAACTAACTCAATAGCCAGGACCGGTGAACCCAAACTCACTGCACCATGGACAAAATAAAAAAGAAAATATTGTTTCTGAGCCAGCAGGAAAAGAAGCGAACAATAAAAGAAAGAAGAATAAGAGGAAAGAAAATGTATGAACAGAGGGAAAGAAATGGCTCGCAAATTTGACGACGGCAAATCTTCTACCTGGCCGAGTGAAGAAGAGGAAAAGAAAGAAGAGCAGATCGAAGATGTGTGATGGCGGTGGGCAACCAGTTAGTCATAAAGGGACGGGGCTGCAGAACCGGAAAGAGGACACACGGAGACCTCGATCTCAAAAAGTGTGTGGAGACGGCCGCGGACTAAGAAAGGAGACAGGGGGGGTGGACAGGGAAATATCAACAAACCAGGAGGAAACCCGAAGCAAAGCAGAGAAAACTGAGCAAAAAACGCACGTTGAAGCCTTGCCTCGTCTTTGGGTCTGATGCAACCCTCCGTGTTGCTCGTCGGTCCCTGGTCCCACCTGGCAAAGAAAGGGGAAATGGGATTTTGAAATGCCGTGGCACGAAACTATGCCAAAATCGCAACACTGCGATATGATTCGAAGTGGATGTGCGTGAGCGCGACAGCAGTAGGCGAAAGAACAATAAAAGGCTGGTAAGCAGCTAGACTGAGAATCTTGAGACTGATGCTTCTTCGGATGCCAGGCGTTTTAAAACCGTTTAGCTGTTTCTAGTAATGCTTCTTAGGTCTCTTTTGTGGACCGGACGAGGGTGGACCAAGAGAGATACCACAGTATCTGCAGCACGGAGGCGCTGCGGCGAGGAAAGAGCTCCAGGACTTCGGACGTGTCTTGCAGCAGACGCGGACAATGTTGGGAGCAAGTACTGGATGTGAATTGCGAAGCGCTGTAGATAGACGTGGTATTGTGGCGCTCTGCTCTTTAGAGATGGGATATGTCGTTGAGAGGCTGGCAGTACCCCTTGGTCAAATGTGTGGGCGACGAGGTAGATCAGACGTGCGAGTGTGTTTCGCAGTTGGATGGGGCCTGTGTCAGGTTATGGCCTTGGCAAATGGGTGATTCTGGACAGAGGAGTAGATCGCAGAAGAGAATGCGTGGGGAGAGACAAACGGCCGAGCTTTGCAACGAAAAGGGCTGGAGGAGTTCGAGTTGAGACGATGAGTGTTAGAGACGCTTTGACGAGGGGCGGCTTGGACGTCGTGCAAAGTGGACTTTGCTGGTGTTTCGGCTTGGACAGGGGAAGGGTGGGAGTGCGAGTGAGCGCGAGGCAATTTCCAAGACGGCGTTGAATTAAAGTCCATGAAAAAGTAGGAATAAATTGGAAAATGAGTCTACAAAAAACATCACAAAATCAACAACACAATCTAGAGTTAGGAGCCCAAAAAGGAAACAAAGAGGATAGAATCCAGAGGAAAGAGAGGCCGACAGTCGTGATAATATGGGAAAGAGCACTGGGCGACCCAAAGCAATAGGAAGGCACGATGGAGATTGTTTTGCAACAGCACTAGTGGACCTCACAGCGGGGGCGCCCGCTAAGAATAGACGGGGTGTGAAGAATGCGCTGTGCTGTCATTGGCTGCAGAGGGGATGTGACGAGACAAAGCCAAGACAAACAGGGTGTAGCCATGTTCTCGGGCGCTTAAACAGTCAGTGCGCGACGACAGGTGGTGGGCAGGATTGAATTGGCCAGGAACGGGAAGGGTACTTTGGTGCGCATGGAAACTTAGTATACGGAGAAGTACTTTTGCATGTAAGTAAAATGCGCTAGTCCTTATTCGGACAGCATCGACAGTGGAAGGTTTGGTCTCAGGCCAATCAGCGGTCCTTCACTCGCCCCAAGCCGAAACGTTGTGCTCTGCGCTGCACTAGTTGGGAGAGTAACCGCAGGCAAAGGTAAGCCCTGGCCGCATGCTTTCTTCGCGTTTTTGAAGCTCCTTTCCCGTTCTTAGAGTTGTTGGATGCATGCCGTGTCATCCGATACCTACAAGCTTCTCGAATCACTTTTTGGCGGCCCGTGAAAAAGAACATACCTGCGAGAGTGAGAAAAGGAAATGAAAGGGTGGCATGGGAAACATTGTCCGTCCAAGCACCTGCCATACATATTGATCCTTTCGTAGAATCTCCTTGAAAAAGGCTCAGCGTGGTATCCTACGTTGGACGATTATCGACTATTGACATTCAAGATGTGTGTTTAGAGATCGCCCCGGGAGCTCAAGGTACCATGGGAGGCCATCGTTGAAAAGACACTTAAAATATGTGAACACAACTCTAGATGGGTAGAGCCTCTTTTTATTCTCTTTCTAATATACGGAGTACAAACATACAACATACTCGGCATTCGGCGCCAATGATGAGAGTGGGGCAGAGACGCACGGGAAGTTTCTCGCCTGCAGTCTTGGCTCACACTGACGGATGAAAGCTTAATCTTTCTAAAGACTTCTCTGTGTTATTGCTCCTGCCGTCTCATGGGTGTGTGTGAGATGCGAAAAGCTCGTCAACGTTGTGTTACAGGGCTTCCATGATCGTGCAGTGGTGTTGAGATATTCGAACTGGAAAACAGTACCAGAACGCTCCGCCGGACGACAGCCTTCTCCCGCGGCGAACGAAACCCCATGAGAATCAGACTCTGGCTCGTCTGGTGTAACAGAGGCCTAATCTTTGATGAGAATTTGACAGAATAGAAACGCTCCGTGGCAAGATGTTAACACTAAACGTCGGAAAGTGTCAGATTGAAGGGCAGGGAATGGGATAGGGCAAGATGCAGCATGGTAGTGTGTCAGCATAAGAACATGGAAAAGATGCAACGCGAGATGTTTTCATCGACAAGTTCCAAAATCGGAGTGTCAGAAAGGGTTAAATGCCATCTCTGACTCTCCCGGGCCTACTTTGGTAACACTGGCGATACAAGCCGTGTTTGTGAGCGGTGGCCCGTCTCAAAGTGTTGCATGTGTCCCATGCATTTTCAGACCGGAAAGTGCCAAAATCCCATCTCGTGTTGCAGAATGCCATCCCGGAGACAGGTGACAGCCGTGGTGTTTCTGGACTAGCATGCCAGTGGCCGAATAGGAAGGAGAACGCCTCCTGAGGATGCGTACCTCCGCAATGGCGATTTGACTTGGTGCGGAGCTCGATGTCTTGAGAAGCGGTCCACCCTGTCAAGCGTCTCAAGGAAGTGTGAAACAAAATAGTAACGCTTCGTACAAATCAAGGACAAGTATGTTCCAGGCAAAAGGATAGAAGAAGTAGAAGAAGGGAAACCACACGCCAATGAGATAATTTCTGAGGGACAAAGCATCTTCGAGGCCCAGTCCCTACGGCCCAGGCCAGCTACAGGCTCAACGGAAGCTCGACCATCCTGCATGATCTACAATCAACAGCCCGCCAGAGCTTGTCACAGGCCGTCCCAGGGTAAGATGTGCGAGGATATAATGAGTGCCTCGTCGTATTCTTGAAAGAATTTCGCCTTCTACGCAGCTCGTCTTGCTGGGAAATTTCCGATCTGAACGTCCGTTGCAGAACGACTTCCCTCCAATATGTGCCGTGGAGAGTGATGGGAAACTGAAAAGCAATGGGAGGCAGAGCCGGACCTCGGATGTCCGTAGTTAATACGCACGACTTTGCCTATGGCACAAGAAGAATATTCCTTCAAAGAGCGGCCCGCCGCAAACTCCTCTCGGTTTATGCACAACTTAATACGGTCAGAGTACTTGGAGCTGTGCCTGCTGAAGTATATAGAGCAGCGATTCCTCACCGAAAGGATGGCGCTCATAGAATGGAATTTTCGATTCGCTGGTCGACTGTGCTTGTTCGGCATGCAAACATCTGTTCACAGCGCATGTGGGATAATGTCATCGTGCAGGAGGTGAAGGAAAAGGAAAAAAGAAAAAAAAAAAGAAAACGACTGTAAAAGAGGAAATCCTGATGTCACCAGTCTGACTTTGGCGGGGGTACTTCGGATTGGCCGATTTTGCCACATAAATCCGGGCTTTGTCAAGTACCTCGCCTGAGACCGTCAAAATGTGGTTCTTCCCGCTGGCATTGGCGCTAAGAAGGTGGCTGGATTGCGCGGCGCCCCCCTTTTTTTGCACCGGATTCGCCCCTAAAGGCCTCACAGGTCCCCTGTACGACAAGAGTCAGGCAAAATACAGCTAGAGACCAGCAGAGGCAAGCAATATCTGTGTGGCTGTGCACCCCGCACCTCCTGTCGCCAACTGGAAAGCGCCGGGGGCTGGTACTGCCCGAAGCTTCCATAATCGGCCGCCAGTAGGCACGAGTCGCAGTTGCCTCTTGTGGGTGCGCGTATTCGTCAGAGCGCATTGTGGTGCAGCGACAAAAGTGTGTGCAAGGCAGCCGGAATAACCCTCCTTCCTCGCCAACACCGTTTCGTCACCAATTCCACACGGCAACCTCAGATAAACGCCGAAACGTCGATAATCTCGACTCACGACGTTCCTACAACCTACGACCTCTCACGTACATCGACACCGACGACAAATTGCTCGCATTGACGACAATCGGGTGTGCTTGTTGAATCGTCCTTCGCTCCTCGACTTCCCCTCCCAACGTCTCCCCTCTCAGCACCCCGCCGTCGCCCAACGCTCCGACGATCATCCCGAGCGCAACCATCTTTGTTTCCCTCCCCCCCTCTCCCCCCAGACGTCGGTCGACTTCGAGCCTGCTCCTTGACAGCGTGCCGCTTGTTTCCATTGTTATTTTATTTTTATTTTGTTTTGTTTATTCTATTCCTTTGCTGCTCCGCATCCGGTGCCAACCACACCCAAGATGGTAGGTTCCCCTGCCCATATGCCCCTCCGCACCTGGCATATCGAATGCCGACATGGCTTTGCCGGGTGGTCTCGTTTCGAGTCCTGTTTCGAAAACTGACATTCACCTCCGCAGGGCATAACACGACGCCCGAACAAACAGGACAAGGCCGACCGGGCCGGGGGTGGCGGTCGCAGCGGCGGCGCGGCGCGACCGAAAAAGGCCATCTTCGAGACGACAAAGAAGAAGGAGATTGGCGTGTCCGACTTGACGCTGCTGAGCAAAGTGTCCAACGAGGCCATCAACGAAAACCTGAAAAAGCGCTTTGAGGGCGCCGAGATTTACACATACATTGGCCATGTGTTGGTCTCCGTCAACCCCTTCCGGGATCTTGGAATCTACACCGACGAGGTACTGGACAGCTACCGGGGAAAGAACCGGCTCGAGATGCCGCCGCACGTCTTCGCCATCGCCGAGTCTGCGTACTACAACATGAAGGCCTACAAGGACAACCAGTGCGTCATCATTTCTGGCGAGTCCGGTGCGGGCAAGACCGAGGCCGCCAAGCGCATCATGCAGTACATTGCCAACGTCTCCGGCGGCACCGGCACCGACATTCAGCAGATCAAGGACATGGTGCTGGCCACGAACCCGCTGCTCGAGTCCTTTGGCAACGCCAAGACCCTGCGCAACAACAACTCCTCGCGCTTTGGCAAGTACCTGCAGATCCACTTCAACGACGCCGGCGAGCCTGTCGGTGCCGACATCACCAACTACCTCCTCGAGAAGACCCGCGTCGTCGGCCAGATCACCAACGAGCGCAACTTCCACATCTTCTACCAGTTCACCAAGGGCGCCTCCGACACCTACCGCCAGAACTTTGGCGTCCAGACCCCGGACACCTACATCTACACCAGCCGCTCCAAGTGCTTCAATGTCGACGGCATCGACGACTTGGCCGAGTATAGAGATACACTGAATGCCATGAAGATTATCGGTCTGAGCCAGGCCGAGCAGGACAGCATCTTCCGCATGTTGGCTGCCGTGCTGTGGACTGGCAACCTGGTCTTCCACGAGGACGACAGCGGCTACGCGGCCGTCTCCGACCAGTCCGTCGTCGATTTCCTGGCATACCTGCTCGAGGTCGAGCCCAAAAAGCTGGTTTCGGCCATCACCATTCGCATCCTGACCCCGCGAAGCGGCGAGGTTATTGAGTCGCCCGCCAACGTTGCCCAGGCGATTGCCACGCGCGATGCCCTCGCCAAGGCCATCTACAGCAACCTCTTCGACTGGATCGTCGAGCGCATCAACCAGTCGCTCAAGGCGCGCCAGGCCACCAGCAACTCTATTGGCATTCTCGATATCTACGGCTTCGAGATCTTTGAGAAGAACAGCTTCGAGCAGCTGTGCATCAACTATGTCAACGAGAAGCTGCAGCAGATCTTCATCCAGCTGACGCTCAAGACCGAGCAGGAGGAATACGCCCGCGAGAAGATCCAATGGACCCCGATCAAGTACTTTGACAACAAGGTCGTGTGCGACCTGATTGAGCAGGTCCGCCCCGTCGGTATTTTCTCCGCCCTCAAGGACGCCACCAAGACCGCCCACGCCGACCCGGCCGCCTGCGACCGCACGTTCATGCAGTCTCTGAACGGTATGTCCAACGCGAACCTGACGCCGCGCCAGGGCAACTTTATTATCAAGCACTACGCCGGCGACGTCGCCTACACCGTCGATGGCATCACGGACAAGAACAAGGACCAGCTGCTCAAGGGCCTGCTGAACCTGTTCCAGGTCAGCCAGAACCAGTTTGTGCACGAGCTCTTCCCCAACCAGGTCGACCAGGACAACCGCAAACAGCCCCCCACAGCCGGCGACCGCATCCGCTCGTCGGCCAACGCCCTTGTCGACACCCTCATGCGCTGCCAGCCATCGTACATCCGCACCATTAAGCCCAACGAGAACAAGTCGCCGTCCGAGTACAATGTGCCCAACGTGCTCCATCAGATCAAGTACCTCGGCCTGCAGGAGAACGTGCGCATCCGTCGCGCCGGTTTCGCGTACCGCCAGACCTTTGAAAAGTTTGTCGAGCGCTTCTTCCTGCTGTCCCCTGCCACGTCGTATGCCGGCGAGTACACGTGGACAGGCTCGTACGAAGCGGCCACCAGAGAGATTTTGAAGGACACAAGCATCCCGCCCGAGGAGTGGCAGATGGGCGTGACCAAGGCCTTTATCAAGGCCCCTGAGACGCTGTTCGCGCTGGAACACATGCGCGACCGCTACTGGCACAACATGGCGACGCGTATCCAGCGCATGTGGCGTGCCTACCTCGCGTACCGCGCCGAGTCGGCCACGCGTATCCAGCGTTTCTGGCGAAAGAAGCGCGTCGGTGCCGAGTACATGGTCCTGCGCGACCAGGGCCAGCGCGTGCTCGGTGGCCGCAAGGAGCGCCGTCGCTACAGTCTGCTGGGCTCGCGTCGTTTCCTGGGCGACTACCTTGGCATCAACGCCTCGACCGGCCCGGGCAGCGTCATCCGCAGGGCGACCAACATCAGCTCCAACGAGAAGGCTGTGTTTTCGTGCCGTGGCGAGATCCTTGAGGCCAAGTTTGGGCGTTCCAGCAAGCCGAGCCCGCGTGTCTTGGTTGTCACCAACAGCAAGTTCTACATCATCTCACAGGCCTTTGTCAACAACCAACCGCAAATCTCGATTGAACGCGCTATCCCACTGGGTGCGATCAAGTTCATCGGCACGTCCACATCGCGCGATGACTGGTTCTCGCTCAATGTCGGCTCGCCGCAGGAGGCGGACCCGCTTCTGAACTGCGTGTTCAAGACAGAGATGTTTGTGCAGATGCAGCGCGTCATGCCGGGCGGCTTCAACCTCAAGATCGGCGACTCCATCGAGTACCACAAGAAGCCCGGCAAACCGCAGCTGGTCAAGGTGCTCAAGGACTCGCAGGTGCCTGTCGACTATTACAAGAGCGGTGCCGTGCACACGCGTGTCGGCGAGCCGCCCAACTCCATGCCGCGGCCCACCCCCCCTGCTAAACCCGTGCCGCCACGGCCTATCACGCGCGGCAAGCTGATCAAACCAGGTGGACCCAACGGCCGCCCCTCGCGAATCACGGCCCCCAACAGCCGCAAGCCTCAGCCAACACCTGCCGCGCGGCCTGCCGCCAACTCGTCTCGCGCTGTTCCTCCAAGACCCGCTGCCAGTGGTTCGTCATCTGCTGCTTCCTCCGCCGCTGCTGGACCCCGTATCGTCCCCACTCGCCCTAACCCTGCTGCGGTGGCCGCTGCATCGGCGGCAGCAACCTCGGTGCTACCGTCACACACGCGCACCGCATCCAACACGTCGGCCGTGCGCGCGCCGCCACCACCACCTCCTCCGCCGGCAGCACCTGCGGCCATTACGGCCAAGGTCCTGTACGACTTTGCTGGCCAAAAGGACAATGAAATGTCCATCAAGGCAGGACAGATTATCGAGATTGTCCAAAAGGAGAACAATGGTAAGTACCTTTTCACATGATTTTATTTTTCGTTCTTCATATTTTTACTCGTCTTTGTTATTCCCGTACTAACAACTTAGGCTGGTGGTTGGCCAAGATCAGCGATAAGCAGGCTTGGGTGCCTGCGGCGTACGTCGAGGAGATCGTGGCACCCCCGCCGGCGTCTTCGCGTCCTGCTCCGCCGGCCCCGCCTCGCCGGCCTATCGGTGGCACCGGTGCCAGCCGTTCCTCGGCAGCCTCGTCGACGCTTCAGCCGCGTGACTCGGGCATGAGCCTCAACGGCGGCAGTGCCTACTCGTCGGACGGCAGCCGCACGAACACGCCAACGCCATCGGTTTCCGGTAGCATGAGCCTGGCAGACGCACTGCTGGCGCGGCAAAACGCCATGACGTCGCGGCGGGAGCCGGACGACTGGTAGACTGGTAGATCTGTGGATGCCATGAGGAGCGTGTGTCTTTCTGCATGTGTGTGTTTCTTCTTTCTCGGGTTAGACAAATAGTTGCCGTTGTTTGATATGATTTGTTACTGCGTCGTCGTCTTGGGTTGTTCTAGCATTTTTGCTGTGCTTTTTCTTACTACCGTGCTGTCAAGTCCTCTTTTACAACTGGTTTTGCGGATACGCTTTCTAGAGACCATGGATGACATGCCAAAAACGTTTTTCTTTCCTTCGTTCCTCGTTTGCGACCGAATTATGGACCTTTTTGATCTGAAAGACTCTTGAATTTGTTTTCGAAAACAGGAAATAACAAAATGAAATGGCACCCAGTGTATGACTCCCGCCGTGATGTCCACCAATGTTTGCAATCGTGCTACTTGAAATCTCCCCAAGTTACCAAAGTGTTTCATTGTTTACCCAAACTACCCCAGATAGGTATTAATGTTTTCCTTTTGTATCCGACAACGAACCCTCCACATATATGTGTGAGAGTGCCAGTCTTCCCTCTCCTGCTCACCGCTTCTTTTTGCTCTGAGCCGCCACTGCACCGATTTTTGCTTTAGCATCCCGCTGCTGTAGAAGTGTCGCAATGGGCACATCCTCATCGTTCTCGGCCTCTTCGTCCACGCCATAGTCTCGCAAGCGGTCACCGTCCGCGTTGGTCCAGCCCGGCTCGCCGTCCATGCCCTGTTCAAACTCGTCGTCGGACCCGACCTGGCGAACAGGCCCAGTGATCTGCGTGCGTCGCCTCCGGAAATCGGCTTCCTGGCGGGCCTGGAAGGCAGCCTTCTCTTCTTCAGGCGTGCCCCACTGCCGGATGCCGTCGTCACGGCCAGAAGCAAAGGCCGTAGACATGGAAGCCCCATAATTGGGACCGCCAGTGCCGGTGGCGGCCCAGTTGCCCTGCGCGGCCGCATGGCGCAGCTTCTCTGGGTCGGGCGGCGGCCACATCCCCGTGCGTTCATTGAAGCCGTTTTCTGGCCAGTCCCAGCCGGCACCGGAGGCGCTGCGGCCGGTGGCGATCTTGGGACCACTGGCAAAGGGCACAAACCATAATAGGAAATTGCGGGTGCCCATGGCCTGCGCCATGTTGTTAAAGATGCCGAGATCGTAGGGGAACTCGACGCGCATACGAAGGGCGGCGGCCTTGCGGGCTTTTCGTTCGCGCCTGGCGGTGCGATCTTCATCATCGCTATTGCCGTCCTCGGTCTTGTTGTCATTGCCGCCGTAAGCATCGTGCTCATCCTCATCCTCATCGCCGTCCTCGTCATCGTCGTCCCACCAGCTGCCGTCCGCATTGGTGGAGCTGTAGCGGTCCACAACAGCCTCGTGACGCTCGATCTCCCAGCCCTCAATCATTGTGGCGTTGAACATCCACGAATGCAGGGTAGTGTACAGCATGATGGACAACGCAAGGGTGGTGCCGGCGCAGACGAGGCCGAGAATGGTTAGGTGGATCAGCTGCGCCAGAGTCGGGCCTAGGTAGGCCGGCAGGTAGCGCTGGGCATACAAAAAATAGAAGCGGCGGCCGATTAGGTACGCGGCCATCCACAATGAGAGGTTGGTGAAGACGACGAAGCGCAAAAAGTGTGGGAAGGTCTGCATGGACACACAGTTGCCGGTCCAGGGGCAGTGGTGGTCCATCTTGGGGATACACCGTCGGCAGTGGCGGCAGTGATGGGAACGGGCCGGCTTTGGGGCGTCGCATTTACGGCACCAGCGTACGCCGGCCGTTGGTGAGTGAGAGGAGGAGCCCGAGGATGAGGAAGAACCGGGGCGCTCGGGCACGTTGGCAGCCTCGGAGGACTGAGTGGGTGCGGTTGTTGATTTTGGCGCTGTTTTGGACTCTTCGTCGGATGCGCCGGGGTTGTCAAAGACGTAGCGGCCGGGGTTGGTTATGCATGCTCGGAAGTAGGACAGCCAAAGGCAGCCGAGGAGGGTGTTGAAAACGACGGATTCGGTGGTGGAGAGCGGCCCCGGTTCGAGGGACGAGGCCGTGTGGAAGAGCCATTGTGAGCTGTAGCCCAGGAAGATGATGAGGGAGACGGCGGCTGGGATGGCGATGAGGTGCATGCCGAGTTTGGACGGGCCTGTTGGAATGGTCATGATGGCAGCGGTGCTCGCATGGCGAGGGAGGACGTCTGGCGGCGGCGATGTCACGATGTAGTGCGGACTGCCAATGTTGTCAGTCGTTGAAGCTGTTGACACGCGTGAGCATAAGGCATTCGGCGTGCGTTGCGCAAACTTGTGTGCTTTTCGGATCCCGTGGGCGTGTGGGCAGCGAACAGGGCAGCAAATGGACACAATTGGACTTCGTTGAAGAGGCTGGAAGAGCTTGTGGTAGAAGATGGAGGATGGGGGTTGTGGTTGAAGAGCCGCGATGTCAGATGGAAGCTCCAAAGGAAGCCGTAGAGCTGAGCATAGCCACCAAAAACGGATAGTGAGCAGGTGTCACCGATCGCTCCTGCTTCTGGGGCGGGGCGAATTCAAACCGAGTTACGTACTGATGGCCTCAAAAAGAAGGGAAGAGAAGGAACGACCGGACCTGCAGGGGGCATAACACGGAAGCTGTGGGTGATTCACCTGGAAGTCCCCACCCATCAGATCCTTCCCCTTGTAACGGAGACTTTGGCAGTGTTTGAGTACGAGAAATGCAGTTTCTCTCATTTCCCTTTGCGCCCGGAATATTTGGACTACGAGCTTCTCGCAAATGGCAGATTGAACTAAAAATACGAAGAGAGTCCAGACCGTGCCAAACCGACGTGTCGCGGCTGTGCTTGAGCAAGACTTGTCCCCACATGGCTCTGGCTTTGTTTTGTCCTCAGAGGCGTTTTCGACCGGTCTAGGCCGATTGCAAATTTAGAGTATTCTGCACTGTAAGCTGTAATTTACAGGGCCTTCAACAGCCGCATCTCCGCTGCAGCTAACAAAAGGCGGCATCTTGGCGGCTGCCCTGAACTGCACTTTTGTTGTGTTGGTGGAAAGCTTGAAGTTCTCCGACAAGCATAGCTGAGGTCAATAGAAACAAAGTGCTCTCCGTGGATTCTAACGCTTTCCACTGGTTGACCAGATTTTACTTTCTCACGTCGTGGGATGTTTTCGGCAATATAGGAAGTGAAAGATACGGCAAAATACGTGACAAAAGACATCTTCCCCAGTCTGTCAACAGAGGACACATACAAAAAGGGGCGACAACAATCTACAGCCACGCTCCTGCTCTTGTCCAGACATACAGACATACATACCTGTTCACGCCGCTACGCACTTGCCCAGGCATCTTGGCGAGCCCAGCCGGCAAACTTCGTCTGAATCTTCATGCTGTCGAGCACGCGCTGCTTGACGTCGGCTGCCACAATGTCCATGCCCACAAAAGCGCCGTGCGTGCTCGTAAAGTCATGGTGCTTGAGGATCGCCCACATGGCAAAGACCTCGTCGCCCGACAGCGGGATCATGTTGGGAATGCTCCACATGAACGCAAACGAGTTCATGCCGGCTGGTCGCGTGCGCGGCGCTCCCAACGCGTCCGTGGTCCAGCTGCCGCGTCCGGCAGGAGTCGTCACGAGCGTGTCGGCCACGAGCAAGTGCCCGTCGAACAACAGCACCTGGCTTCCGGGGAAATGGCCGCCCAAGCGGATGGCCAGGGCAGCAGTGTCAGTCCCATCTTCGTCCGTGTCTCCTACCGGCACCCGTTGCACATCGTCGCCCTCCCAAAAGACTTGGTGCGGTGACTGTTGTACGGCCCACTCCCGGTCCTCGGCACGCAGGTACACGGGGCAGTCAAACGCCGCGGCCCATTCCGTGTGCGACGAGTAGTAGTGCGGGTGCGAGATGACGATGGCAAGCAGCCCGCCAAGGCTGCGGATGTGCGCAATCGTGAGTTCGTCGATGAGCGTCAGGCAGTCCCATAGGATGTTCCCGGCGGGCGTGCGCACAAGCACGGCGCGCTGACCAATGGCCAGTTTGGGCTCAGTGACGATGCTTGTCAGCCGATCGTCGCCGCTGGTCACTGGGTGGAACACATTGTGGTAGTCGCGACGGACGTCAGCCATGGTGATGAACGCCTGCCCGGTAGGCGGCGTGAACTGGCGCGGGTCGTCGCAAATGATGCACGACGGCAGCTTGTCACGGTCGGCGGTCGGGAACTGCGTGCCACAGGCCGTGCAGACGAGCAGGGCGTCCGTCGCGTGAGGATCGTGAGCGGCCATTGTGAACTGGGTTGGGTCGACTGTTGTGCACGAATTGCTTTGCCGTTTTATCTCCTAGCCTTTGTACTTTCAGTGATCGATTCTACCCGTGTCTGTTGTGTTCGGTTCGCTTCGGAATGGCTGCCAAAGTCGACACAGCCGGGTGGGATGCATTGTAGATAAAGAGGCGCATCTCTTGTGAATGATTGAGATACCGTCATTCGGACATTGCCGAAACGAAGTACACGACTGATCGCACCTTCCCTGTTGCAGGATCGCGATAAGTCCGGCCTGAGCTACCGACTGAGCTACCCCACCTCGGCCGAGTTGGTTGTTGGTGGCGTGTTCGCCAGGCACGCAGGGGCAGTTGCGACCCAGTCGACACCGCCAATTTTTTTCTGCCGTGCCTGCTGCATCTGGTTGTCACTGCAATCGAGCCCCTGTTGAGCCAAAACAACGATCAACAAACTCACCACGAACAAAAGGCCCAACCAAATCGCTTTGCCTCGCACGCAGGCCTTCCGCGCCCCACCGTGGTCGATTCAACCCTACACTTACTGCTCGAATACGCACATGCGAACCACACCCCCCCACTCCTCGCCCCAGCATGAGCTTCGCCATCGAGGTGCCGGGAGCGGCCGTCCCCTTCAACCTGCCCGACCTCTGCAAAGCGCTTCAGGCCGGCAACTCAAGCGACCACAGCCAGCGTCAGGCGGCGTCTCAGCAGCTTGATGAGTGGCAGACACACCCAAACTACTTCCCGTCTCTGCAGCTCGTCTTCCTCGACCGCACGCTGCCCTACGAAGTCCGCTTTCTCGCCGTGATCTTGCTGAAGAACGGCGTCGACAAATACTGGCGCAGCTCGGCACGACTAAAGGGCGGGCTGCACCCCGACGAGAAGGCACTGATCCGCTCGCGGTTGTTGCAGGGCACGGTGGGCGAGGAGAACCGCACGCTGGCACTGCACAATGCACTGGCAACGGCCAAGGTGGTCCGCATCGACTACCCACAGGACTGGCCGGCGGCGCTGCCTGACCTGGTGGCGCTGCTGCGGAGCGTCAAGGACACCGATCCGGCCCAGCTGGGTGGTGGGCTGCTGGTGTTGCTGCGGGTGATCAAGGAGCTGGGCAGTGCCCGGCTTCGGCGGTCACAGACGGCGCTGCAGCACATTGCGGAGGAGCTGTTTTACCTTCTGGGCGACATCTACACGGCCAACACGACGATATGGATGGGCTATCTTACGGCCCAGAATGGGCAGCACGGAAATGGTAACGGTGCGAGCCGGACAAACGTCGACTATGCGATGATCAACAGCTTGACGGCCCTGAAAGTGCTGCGGCATCTGGTGATCAGTGGCTTCGAGCACCCACACAAGTCCAAGCTTGTGGAGGAGTTCTGGTCCTTGACACAAACGCAGTTTGACCAGTTCCTAGGCTATGTCAACAACAACCACAGCCAAGACGGCAGCAGTGACGACGATATTGTCGGCAAGCACCTGCTCAAGTTCACGAGATTGCACATTGATATGAGCGAAGCACACCCTGCGAGCTTTGCGGCCCTACCCAACTCGGTGGCCTTGGCACGCGCATACTGGGGCATTGTGGCCAACTTTGCTGACGTGTATACGAACTCGGGCGGCCTACGGCAAAACGGCTCGTCTGATAATGGCGGTGGAGGCGGCGGTGGAGAAGGAAAGTCATCCAAGCTTGAGGGCCCGCTGTCGGAGAGGCTTGCCCTGCGGGGCTTATTACTACTCAAGAGCTGCATCCAGATCGTCACCCAGCCACTGAAGACGTTCAAGTACCGCAGCGCCGAGGCGCAGCAGGACCAGAACGACGGCGTTCAGCGCATTAAGAGCGAGCTGTTTACCGACGAGTTCTTGCTACAGGTTGTCGACACCATCGTCACAAAATTGTTCGTCTTCCGCAAATCCGACCTCGAGGCATGGGAGGAAGACCCAGAAGACTGGGAAGCACAGGAGAGTGAGTCGGGCGCGGCATGGGAGTGGCAGGTGCGGCCGTGTGCTGAGCGTGTCTTCCTCAGCCTTCTCATTCACAATAAGCAGCTTCTGGTGCCGCCACTTCTGGCGTACTTCCAGCACGCGATGCACGACGAGACAGATCTGCTGACAAAGGAGGCCGTGTATACGGCCATGTGCAATGCTGCCGTGGCGATGGGTAAGGCATTTGATTTCGACAACTTCTTGAACACGACTCTTGTTCGAGACGCCCAGGTACATGGCCCCCTGGCCAAGATCTTGCGCCGGCGCGTCGCCATCCTGTTGGGTTCGTGGGCCTTTTACGAGCTGCCGGAGGAGTCGCTCAAGGTGGTGTACTCGGCGTACGCCCATCTACTGAACAAAACGGATCCGGCCAACGACCAAGTGGTTCGGCTGACGGCAGCCCGCCACCTCAAGTCGACGGTCGACGACTTCCAGTTCCGTGCAGTCATTTTCGAGCCGCACGCAGCTGGCGTGTTCTCGGCCCTCATCGACCTGCTGCAGGAGGTTGAGAGCGACGAAACAAAGTTGGCAGTGCTCGCGACGATGCGCACCTTCATCGAGCGTATGGAAACGATTGCGGGCCAGTTCAGCGACGGCGTGGTGGCGGCGCTGCCGGGCATCTGGGCATCCGCACCCGAAGACACGTTCATGATCAAGCAGGCCGTCCTGTCGATCCTGGCGACGCTCATCATGGCACTCGGCGCGGCGTCCCAAAAGTATCACGCGCTTATCTTGCCGTTGATCGCAGACGCCATGAACCCGACCTCGCCCGTGCACCAGTTCTTGTTTGAGGAGGCCGTGGAGCTGTGGCGCAGCATCATGAGCCAGTCGGCAGCACCTCTGGCGGCCGAGCTGGTTGACCTGCTACCCCTTGCGCTACAGGTGCTCGACTACGACTCGCAGCTCGTGCAAACGTGCCTGGAGATTGTAAACGCCTACATTATCTTGACGCCCGACGCGGTACTGACGGACCGGTTCCGCGTGCCGACACTGGAAGCCCTGACGGGCGCCATGGACGCCAAAAAGTGGGAGATTGTGCACGCGGCTTCGACAAGCATTCAAAATGTGATTCGCTCGGGCGAAATGCTGGGCGGTGAGACAGGTGTGGCGTCCATTGTGAACGACCTCGTGCGGGTAAACATGCTACCACGCATTTGCGAGCGGCTGCGGGCCGCATGGGAGGCGCACCAGTCGACAGGTCCCAATGCCAAGACCAGCCCGATCAAGCCGACGACGCAGGTCGAGTACGTACTGATCCTGAGCCGTATCGCGCTTGGCAACCCGAACGCGATTCTCAACCTTCTCGGCTCCCTCCCACTGCCATCCGGCGGCGTGCCGCAACTGACTGAAGCGACGAGCGGCGCCAATATCGAGGCGATCTGGCCGTGGCTCATAGCGGAGTGGTTCGGCAGCCTTGACAACATGGGAAATCCGGAGAGCCAAAAGGTGGCGTGCTTGGGGCTGACACGGCTGCTGGAGGTGCAGAGACCGTTGGGTGCCGGCAGCGGTATCCAGTTTTCGGACCTGGTCCTCGGCCGCCTCCAGGACTACCTCGCGATGTGGACGAGCACCGTGATGGATGCACAGGGCGACGCGACGAAACCCGATACGTACGTGTGGCCCGAAGGCGCGCCACCGCCGACCGAGTTCGACACGCCGCTGATGACGGCCGAGGCGGCGTTTGTGGCCAAGGATCCGTTGCACACACAGACTACTCACGAGTTCATCATGGCGCGGCTGATGGACGTGATTGGGCGAGTGGGCGGCGAGGGGGCTTTCAACGACAACTGGCTAGTGAATGTAGACCGAGACGTGCTGGCTGGGTTCCAGGCCCTGACAACGCCCCGGTCTGATCACCAATATTAACGGTTGTATGTGGTGCAGGACAGTATAACGAAGCAATGAATATTTACAGGAAAGATAATATACACTACATTGAAACGACTCTTCAGGCCAATCTATACACGCATCTCTATATATACGATATATCCACTGACAGTCCCCTACAGTTTGCTCTCAGCCTCCTGCGGCACGGCCACAACAACCTTGCCCCAAGTCTCACGGCCACCGAGCGCCTTGAGCGTTGCCGGCACACGGTCCAGGCCCGAAAACGGCTCGCCGTCGGTAAACACTGTCGGCCGGAACGCGCCCCGGTCAATCAGCCGCCGCAGGCCCTCCCACACGGCCGGGATTGCCTCGATCTCTTTTAGGGTGTAGGCACCCCAGTGGATGCCCACAATGCTAATGTTTTTCAGCAAGACCTTGTTCATGGCCAGCTTTTCAATCTTGCCGGCCGCAAAGCCCACAATCAGGATGCGGCCGTTCCACGCCGTGCACTTGGTGCTGAGGTCGACCATGCCTACAGGATCGTAGACAATGTCGACGCCGCGGCCGCCCGTCAGTTTCTTGACCGTCTCGGGCCAGTTGGTGTCGGACTTGTAGTTGATGGCGTGGTCGGCGCCGAACGCGCGGGCGACCGCAAGTTTGTGCTCCGTGCCAGCGGTGGCAATGACCTTGGCGCCGAACGCCTTGGCGACTGGAGTGACGCGGGGTGTCAGAGAAGACATTCTTTATAGTCGGGAGGGTAAGGGATCTAGGAAAAAAGGACCTACTCTGCACGGCTGCCAGTCCAACGCCGCCGGCGGCAGCGTGGACCAACACATAGTCGCCCTGCTTGACACCAGCGCGTAGCACAAGTGCCGCATAGCTCGTGGGCGCCGTGACAAACAGGCCGGCGGCTTCCGTAAAGGACCAGCCGGGGGGGACGGGCTGCAGCTGGCTCTCCGTGGCGACGACCTTGGTAGCATAGGCGCCCTGGCTGGCACCAAAGACGCGGTCACCAACTGCAAAGCGCGGTTTTAGAACGGAACTGGCGCTGGGTGTCGCCAACACGACCCCGGCAAACTCGGCACCGGCGATCCACGGGAAGGCTGATGGTTAGCGGGGAGCCTTGTGCCTTTGCGTCTTTCTTCTTTTGGGAGAGACTGCCACCTACGAGGCTGATTCTGGTACTTCCCCTGGATCTGGAGAATGTCGAAAAAGTTGGCGGCGGCCGCGTGGACGGCGATGACGTACTGGTCCGGCGCGGCCTGGGCATCGGGAAGCGACTCGACGACGAGCTCCTCGGGGCCCTAGAGGGTGTTAGGCGACAAGACGGTATAAGACAGAGGTGCGAGACATGCAGACGGAAAACAAGACAAAAGACTGACCTTTACGTATTGTGTAATCTTGATGCCCTTCATTGCAACGATAAGGAGGCAGAGGAGGACGGGAGAGATGAGAATAGACTGCGATACGGATATGCGAGAGGAAAGTACAGAGACCCCATCGAAGCCCTCGAGAACCAAAACAACAGGAGTATAAATGCGTTGGAAATGCGACATCCGGCACTCGGCGTCGGATTCCCTCTGAAGCCAAAAAGCTACGGCCACAGCTACCATTGAACACACCTTCCCCGAAGCCACTACTCCGCCCCTACAGCACACTTGCCCCAAAGCATCCGATTGCCGAGGCAAGGTCCCCTTCCCCGCAATTTCACCTTCTAGAGCTGGGGTAGCTCAATTGGGGGGACACTGATCTTGGATAGGCCCTATTTGAACAGCTATCTGAGGGGAGAGACGCTGTGCCTCGGAGGGTGCAAATAGCCCTGTCACTGACAGATTACAAATGGCTACGAACAACATCGCAACATTTTCAAAATGGCTCTTACATCGTCTTTCACATCTTGTATATGGACCAAAGGTTTTACGTAAAGCACTTTTATTTCTCATGCTGTGGCAAGGGTGTATATATGATGCAGGATGTCAAAAATAAACACTGAACCCCAAAATGCTAGATGCCTGCTGCCTTGAAACCCAAAACGCCATAATAAAAGCTGGTCAAAATGCCCGCCGACCTCATCAGGAACGTCGCAAATTCTGCATCATCACCAAAACACAACAGTCCGTCCTGTCCCTTCTCTCCAACAATTCAATCTCGGCCACGGCGTTCTGCATCGTACAGGGCCCGCTTCACGTCCATACACACATCCTCCACCTGGTCCACCTCCTCGCGCGACAGCGTCGCCGAATTGAGGAGCGTCAAGCTGCCCCGGAGCAAGGACAGAATGCCCGCCAGCCGAGGCTTCTTGGTCGGCCGGTCCTCGTCGCTTGCAGGGGGCACGTCGACCTCCACCACGGAATCCGGCTCGATATCGTCCGCGATGTTCACCTCATCCGTCGTTGCCGATGTGTCGGCCACAGCAGTCAGGTCCACCACATTGTTGTGAGTGCTGCGGCTACTAAGCTCCCGCAGCTCAAGAGCCAGCTGCGACTGTACGTCGTGGTCGCCATCGGACCCCTTGCTAGCGGTCTCGTCGGCCACGACTCTCTTGCTGCGCGAGGAGAGACCGACCTCGGCCGTTGTGGAAGCCCCTTCTTCATCTTGAACTGCGTCTGCCGGAGCCGGGCTGGCCGTTTTCTGGCTCCGCTCTGATCTGGCTTCGCTAGTGTGGCGTCTGGCCCGCGCAAGTTTTCGTTCGGCACGGCGACTGGTCACACCGGGGCTGAACGACGCGGTGGCGATGGCCACGTCATCAGCCTGTGCTGAAGCAGACCGCTTCCTCTTTCTGCGCCGCGAACGCTGCGATGGCGTCTGTTGCGAGCTCTCGGGTGAGCCAGCAGTGGTATCAGCCTGCTCGTTCTTGGCCTTCTTGGTCTTCTTGTCGTTCTTTCCGTTCTTTTCGTTCTTTTCGTGGCTCGTCCAGACCGTGATACAGTCGAGAGCTTCCAAACCGTCTGTCGAAGCATTGTTGCGCACCTTGCTGCTGCTGCGCGTGCTGGGCGGTGCGCTGGGGACAGGGGAGGACGGCATCTCTGGCTGGGATTGCTTGTTAACCATATCCAGCTCAATCGCCAGCCGCAGCATGCTGCGCTCCTCGCCGTCGCTCATCCGGAATGACACATTATGCATTGACGGGGGCGGCATGGCCATCAGTCTATAGCGTCGGCCACTGCTGCCCGACGCCCGGATCGGGCTCGACTGTGCAACAGCCTTGGACGCAGACGCCTTCCGGTCCTTGCGGTGAGCACGTGGTAAGCTCTGCGGGACTGATGTCGACGCGGAGCCCGAAAAGCTGATGTCGCCAGTCGAGCTCTCGTCGTCTGCGTGGTTCTCCTGTGACATCTCCTGAGAAAGGGCACTCTGGCGACGCGTTTGCCGGGGAGTAGCAGGCGATGTGGGCGGGCGGCTCTTCCTATGTACAAGGGGCGAGATTTGCACTGTAAGGTTGTCGCGCGAAGACATCAAGGCGGGGTCGACATCCGCTGAAGCAGGTATGACGGCATCTTCCATGTCGACATCGCCGTCGTTCGTGGGCTTTAAAGTAGGCGGTTCGTGATTGACAGCCTGTTCCGTTGCTGACGGCACGTTGTGCGCAGCACCACCGCTGTGTCCTCCGGTCACCTGTACCCGCTCCCCCAGGCTGGTCTCGATAACACCGTCGATACTAAGCTCCGGCTCAGGTAGCGTGTGGCGGGCAGCAATGGGCGATCCAGACAGAGGGGAAGACGAGAACTGCCACTCGTCCAGGATACTGCTGCTACGAGACCGTGAGGAGATGTCGGGCAGTAAGGGGTACCGGCGCGGCTCGGGTGGCGACGAAGGGGAGTCGATCTCGTTGTCGTGGGTTTCGGGGAAGACAAGGGCTTGGCCACGGCGTGGGGTCGGAGTCGAGGCGATAAACTCGTCCTCCGCAAAGGCACCTGCCGCCGTAACACACGGACCAGCGGCGGCTGTTGGCGGCTCTGGCGTCGCGGTGCGGACCTGGTCAGGTAGTGCAACGTCCTCGGACGCAGGGGATGACGCCCGCTTCTCCTGCTCATTTTCCTGGCAAAGGCTAGCTTGGACAAGGGCAGGTTCAATAACCTGCTGAGGAAGAGAAACACTCGACTCCCGGGCAGGAACTGTCCGCGTCGCTGTAGACAGCTTTCTGGCCGCAGCCTCGCCGGTCGGGCTTGAGCTTATCACATCCGAGTAGAGTGCGTTCGTCTCGCGCTGGCGATCACGGACCTCACGCTGTCTGTCGGTGAGAATCTGTGATTCTTCAGCAGCATCGATATCCTTGGCAGTTGATTCCGCTGCACTACTCGTCACGGCGCTCGGGAAATCGATGGCTGTGAACTCGATCTGCGAGTCATCGTGACGAGGCCGTGCAGGGGTGGACTCTGACTTCTCCCGCCGGAGCATCTTGTCCTTCTTGGCAGACTTCTTCGACTTGCCATTAGAACCTCTGTGGACAGACGATGGGGATGTAGCAGATAGAGGCGTATGCGTCGGTGTGGAGTGTGACTTGCTCAAAGCCGGGCGCGGCGTGGAGGCCTCGTTCATATGGCTGCCGGCAGAGGAAAGCGTTATCACGGCCTCAGGATGAAAGACATCATCCTCGGTGTCCACAAACAAAGGCTGCTGGGCTCCACCGGACGACGTAAGGGTGATGTCCAATCCGGGAATAGGAATGTCAACATAGACCTGCAGAGTCACAAGAGCTTCTCTGAGTCTCTCCGGGTAGTCCAGCACGCCCTCGTAGCCACTGTAGATTTTGTTCCACATGACCAGAGTCGCGTTGACGATATGGCGGTGCTTTCCGGCAAAGGAAGCGTGGAGGATTGGCTCCAAGGTTGCTATGGGAAGGCCGGATGACGTGCCGCCGGCACGCTCCAACAAGGCGCACAAAGCATCCCAAAGCGAAGTAATCTGAAGGAAAAGATCATTAGCTCGTGCCCGGAATCCTGGATCATAACAATTACAAGCACACTTGTTTAAGCTTAAAATTAAAGGTCGACTTACAGCATCAGCAGCGCTCGAACCACGGTTGAGCTTGCCTTCCAAGTCTTGCACCCATTCCGCGAGGCCATCCTGGACGGAGGCCAAGGCCTTCAAAAAGAGCTGCTCGTTCGATCGACCAAAGAAGCCTGTGAGCTCCTTCAGAAGTGCTGTTCCAAACACCGCCGAGTCGTGATTTCCGGCGTCGTAAGATACGTAAGCCTGCCGCAGCGAGTTGCTTACTAGTTTGTAAAAGTGGTCAAACGGATCAAAGGGGGCCATAGGACCAGATGAAGCGATGGCGGAGCCCCAAAGGCGGCGCTTCGCAGCATCCACAGCTTGGCGGTCTCTCGGATGGGTGGCTACGGATAGTAGCTCAACAATCGCACGAGAGACTGTTGGAGAGGCTGCGGCCGAGGTAGTCTGAGACAGGAGCTCCGTCATTGTCTTGGCCAGCGGGTCCAAAACGCACATGGCCAGTCCAGCTTCTCCGGCATCGTCGCGGACTCTATCACAAATGGTGCAGAAGAGAGCCTGCCAGCGGGTCCACGGCAGATTGGGCGTCGAGCGAAGGCCACGCTCGAGCACTCGGACAACCTCGCGGTACTCGTGGCCTGCAGGGGTGACGCTGGCGCTGCCAGAGCTGGGCGACAGTGACATCTGGTAGTAGTTGCCGATGGAGTCCCCGTGACTTCCCTTGATGCCGTTGCTGCCACTTCCACTTCCGTTGCTGACACTGCCTCCAGCGCTACTTGTCTGGGCCATGCTTGACGTGATCTGCGATGCGACGACCTGCCACGGACCGTACGGGCACAGAGCATCCATGGGTGTCATCTGTAGCATTTCGTAAGCCAAGGTGCGGCGGCCTTTGGCCGACTTGGCGGAGAAGAAAGGAGCAAAAATGGATTCCACGAAATCGGAAAAGTCTTCGTCGTCCTGGACCCCAGGAGGCAACGACGAGAGAATAGAGAAGAGGTGACGAAGAGGCGTACGAGATACTGAGTGACCTTTGCCGGCGCGCTGCGAGGGCGTTGCGACGGGCACAAAGGCATTTCTCTCGTCCCGGGACAGTTGCTTCTCGGTGAAGGGCAGGCAGCCGAGAGAGTCCACTGTGGTAAGGAGAAACTCGCGGGCGGCCGCCAAATACCGGGTCGTCGCAAAGGTGATGTCCGAGTCGTTTGTTTGGCTAGTGGAGGTTACGCTGCCGCTGAGGTTGGAGGTATGACTTGTCGACGGAACTCCGTTCGTCCACACCTTGAGAAGAAGAGAGAGTACGTGGCCAACGAAAGCAGCAGTCTCTGGTGACACCTTGATCTCCTTTGCGGCCGCAGCAGACACAGCTCCAACGACGGCCTGCCAAAGGATTTGAGTAGCACTGCGCGGTGTGGCGAGCTCGAGAAAGTTCTGCTCCAGGATAGGACCGACAAGAGCAAAGACGCGGTCGGCATTGCGCCGAATCCACTTCGCATCGACCGCTGGGAGGTCTTCCGGGGACACAATGGGGCTCTTAGCAATGTGGTCTTCCTTCCAGGGCCGGGGTGCGGAGCAGTCAATTAGACCGGTGAGAATGGTGCATGCGGACGTCAGATTGACTTTCCGTTTCTCCCGTGTCGATTCTTCAGCGGTGGACAGTTCGAGCAGCTGCAGCACAACGGGCCTGACAACGTTGTCCCAGGTGTTGTCCAGTTGGCTGGCATCATGCATAGCATAGTAAAACAGATTGCAAACGCAACCCAGGACAACCTTGCGGAAGTCGTCGGCTTGCTTGCCGGAGCCGCGGCGGCGCAGCTGGCTCACAAGGGCCTGGTTGAGGACAACGGTCATCTTCTTCGACAGGGTGCGGTTATTGCGAAGCAGGGCGTAGGTGAAGCGGCTCCAGGCGTAGTTGGCCTCTTCCTTTGTGCGATAGTCGCTGCTATTGAAGCAGGCCTGGAGAATGTGCAGCCACTTCATAAGAAAGTCCCACTTCTCAAGCGTCCGCAGGAAAAGGGTCACGACGCTCCAAATTTGTGGCACGGAAGAGGCCTCGGCCTTGTTCTTGGTCATGGTCTGCAGGCGATTGGCGTAGTAGTCGAGATATCTCTCGTCTTCGACAGTTGCTTGCAGGAGCTCTCCGAGTCGCTGTGAAGTAGGCCGTTCGCGGCCGAGAGCAAAGGCAGCCTCAAGTCCAAGGCTGATGGCGGCCTCGCGGATGTGGGGGACAGTGCTCACCATGTCAGCCAGCAGGTCTGGCATCCATTCCAGGTGCACGGTCATGAGCATCTTGTTGTTCTTCACGAGTGTCCGGTAGATGATAGATCGCATGACAATCGTGTTTTTGCTCTCGTACTGCTCGTCCATATTATGCAGAGCAGCCACCAGCCGGCCAACCCGGTCAGATGTCATGACCTTTGCAGGGAAGCTTTGCAGCGCGACGACGCGCATCAGTGTGCGCAGCACGTCCCGGGGCACACTAGATACCTCAAAGGAGCGAATGCAGTGGTCGATGATGAAAACGCCAAAGTCGTTGGAGAGGGTGGATGCAATGGCAGAGAAGCGGAGGAAGGTGTTGAGGAGGTCGAGAGCGGCAATAACGAGGGTTGAGTCGAGGGCGCCTTCAAGCGTCTTGGGGGACGTGATGTCACGCTGGATAAACTGCGTGAAGAGTGGCATCTTGCTTTGCAGAGCAATACGGTCAGGGAGGTTGTCGGAGGTCTTAAGGGCGCGGGCGAGCATCATGTAAGCATCCAGCTTCGAGTCTCGGTCCGCGCCGACCAGTTGCTGTACCGTTGACGCGAGCATGTCGGAGATATTCGTCGGAGATGAAGGGATAACGGCTTCGTAGGCAGTGGCCTTGAGGATGGACTTGGTCGGTCGCGAGGCACTCGATGATGGAGGGAGCACCACAATAGGTGGCGTGGTGTTTGTCTGTGACCTGTCGGCGGTCTCTGTGTACACGGGCGGTTCCTTGTACTCGGCCTTGGCGGAGAACTCGACCTTCTTTTGCCGCGATCCCGTGCTGCCGGTCTTGGTAGCAGAAGACACGAGAGACTGGGCACTGGGGGGTGTATGGAGGCTCGAACGGGGGTCGAGCGGGTTACATCGGCTGGCAGCCAGCAAAGGCTGTTTCCGGGCAACTTCTACCACCTGTGTCTCCCTAGGTGGCGTCGGTGGTCGTGCCGGGAGAGACTCCAGAAGCCGAGCAGGGGCAACCTCGGCCATACCGACGATGTGCAAAAGAAAGGGGGAAGGAATGAAGATAGGAGACGTGGGAAGAGAGTGGCACGCTGCAGAGGCAGCGGACTCGAGTATTAGACTGCCTTGTAAGCGGGCATAGCAGAAGACGAAGCGAGCCAAACGGGCGGACGTGCAAGGCGAGCAACGGGTATGCTCGTCATCAGCCGATGTCGACGAGGACGGCCGAGCAAAGGAGGCCGGAACACAAACGTAGCGAGAGACGAGATCGAGATCGAGATGACAAAACAGACGACGAAAACGAGTGCAGGGTCGAAATACAGTGATCGTGCTTCGCTGCAGTGCGATATGGAGCAGAAGCTGGCAGTTGTGTAATGCAGAAATGAACGAGAACCCAGAACGATGCGATGGAAAAGGGATAGCAAACGGCAGAATGAAAGGAAGGCTGAGGATAATTGAGGAATGCAAGAATTGCGGAACAACAGCTGCGAGAAGGAGGGACGTTGTGTTGGCGGGAGAGCGTGCCGGCGAGGAAGGGAGGTGGAAGCGTAGAAGCGTCGTCTGGGTCCTTTCCCTAAATGAGCCAAATAGGGTGTGCCTCGCCAGTGGTGAACGCGACGGGTCGCGTCTTTCCAGCTCGCCAATTTACGCGTGAAAGGCTGCGAGACGTGCCTCTGTCGCGGATTTAGCGTGTCACTCACAGTGTCCCACAGTGGGACGTAGTACAGTGTATCATACGGTGCACATTAAGCTTTCGCACTCTACGCACAGTCTACAGTGACGTCCACAGTTACTTTTGGCGGCTGTAGCGGGGTGAGCGGTGACTCGACTTGACCGCCAAAAAGTTAGTGGGGTTGTCATCTGTGCCACTCTACGGCTCGGCCAGTTTGTAAGATACCTGCATGTTCAAGTGTGCCTCTGCAATGTATCCGACGGTCTTCCGTAACGTCGACCTTAGATGCGTCTTTGACGCACCTTCCCTGCCCGATCTACAGCGCATGCCGCACTGACAGCAGGTGCGGTGTCAAGCTTTCGGCAGAAGCCTCATGAGCCTCTTGCTTGGCTGTCCCCTCCTCTGAGCTACGTTTCCGTTCGTGGTCTAGTAATTTTGGCTTTGTTTTATCATTTTGTATCTTATGCTATTTTTTGGTTGCTGGCCGGCAGCCTTTGGTCTGTGGCCACCGCCCCTCTCCGCCCCTTGCACACCGCCGGGGTCGACGACGCAGGTTCTCCTTGCGTTGACTCTCGTTCGAGCGCTTCAATGCCCTCCCCTCCGCACTTTTTTACGACTGCTTTACCGCCGCTCTGCCATGATACGACCGTTGCCGGAGCCCTGTCAGCGGTTGCTCGACAGGTCTAGATTGAGTCGACCGACGCCTGCCCATTCAGGCCTGGCCGGTGATGTATGCATCTGCTGTCTGTTGCTGTAACATACGATGGGCGATCCAACGCTGTAGCCAATTGGTCTGGTCTGATCCTGGTTGTCTTGTAAGCCCTGCGGTCTTGCGGTGTGTTGCCCGTTGTCGTCAGTGGTGCCCAGTCCTTGTCCCGCTAAGAAAGCCGCATTAAAGCACACTTGACAGGTGCCTGCCGGCACTCTAGCAAAGCGATGGGTTGCGGATTCTAGTTAGAACGGCCGGAATGGCTCGCTCCTGCTTCCCTGGCGCCGTGGCCTCCTTTGGTGTGCCAGGCTGTCGGTCTGCCGGGCGTCGTGGTTCCTCTCTCATTCCCTCCTTTTTTTCTCCTTGTTTTTGCTCCTTGGCCGTGTTGCGTAGAGCCTTTCATGCGCTGTCCTGCTCAGGGACCCCGTCGCGTATCCATCGGGGCCTTTGCAGATCACCACCCACCCTAGCGCAAGGCGAGCCAGAGACCAGCCAACGAGACGGTCCTGCCTCGTTAGTTCTCGTCAAACCATCCCCTCCGCTGTCCCCTTCCACCTTCCTTCTGTTTGGCTGCTTTGCTTTCTCGGTCAGAGGCTCTCTTTCCGCTTTCCTTTTCCTTGGATGGCCTCTCCGTATCTGCCCTCATTGCTCCTTCCTTCTCTTCATTCTCCTCTTTCCTCCTTTTCATATTCTCGGACTTTTGTTGTTCACAGCCATCATCTTCTCGCGTCCGCCTAGCTTCACACTTTCACCCGCCTTTCCCGCCGCATCGCATCACCAGTACCCTCGACAGAGGATCGACTTGACGTCACCCGCCATTCGTGCGCACCTATCTGCACAGCGGAAAGTGTGGAAAGAGAGCCATAGCATTTTACGACGCAACAATCGGAAAGCTGAAAACATCGCCCAGCCCAGCAGTAACTCGTCGAGATCGGTCTCCACCTGTGATTTTGACCGTCGTCCCTGTCGCCGCCTCATTGCATCCTTTCGCAGCCTGTCCTGGCAAATTACTTACTCACGTGCGCTAGTCCCTCTGTCGCCGCGCAAATTGCTGCTCCGCGCATCGCCTGAAAGTGCTTCCGGCCAACGCCGTGTTGTCGCCATCCTCCCCGATTGCGACGCATTCGCACCGAGTCAGAAACGTCCTGTTGATCCAGGCCAGACCTCATGGGCGCTGCCAAATCCACACTCCTCGTTACACATGCTCGGCCACACCACGAGAAAACAAAAATGGCTCAGCAGCTCCCACAGAGCGGCCTGACCGGCGCAGGTAGGTGTTTGTGTGTTTCGTCCCCGCATGGGCCCTGGCTGTATCGGACACTCGCCTGCGACAGGTGACACTTGACAGCCTGTTACCGCGTTTATGACAATTCTGCAGCCCAAGTCTATGCCCTCCAAAAATAAGCCAGAAAACCATTGCAAATTGCTGACCAGATGTTTCGTCCCCCAGCCAAATTGAAGGCGGTGACCGACCTAGTCAACATCCTTACGCAAGACCTGACAAAATCGAATATGCGTCCACAACGTGAGTGGAAACCAGCCCTTTTTTAATATTACATCTCCGAAGTGTGCCGGCCCCGCCCATAATTTGACCCCCCGGCGATGCCTGGCACCACTCTGCCCGTCATCATCCATCCAGTCTCCTCCATTGTTTGAAGCTATTTCAAGCTCACAGGGATAACTGACCATCGCCTCAATGGCTCACAGAACGAGATACGGCCTTAGAAGAGCTCAAAGTTTACGGGCGAGATCCAAAAGACGCGGATCCCATATTTACCACGGGAGTAAGTAGAAGACATCCAAAAACAACTTGAGAACCGTTTTTGTTCTATTTTAGAAAAATTCCCTTTCGTCTTGCTTTTCTTTCCTTTTTTTTATGTCTAGACGGGCTCATCGCCAATTCCTCCCACTTTCCCTCTTTAAGGCCCAACACGCTAACTAGTACCCTCGTTACTACAAACAGGGCATTGAAACACTCACAAAACATGCATTTAATAGCTCTTCCGCCACAACATCGCGAAACGCCCTACGATGCCTAGCCAATTCGCTGCTGATCAAGCCAGAAACCCGGCAAATCTTTGTTGACCTAGGTTACCTGGCGAAGGCCTGCAACAAACTCAAGACGGGCAACGTGGACGATGAATTCCTCGTATCACGAATCATCTTCCTCACCACCTATGGCACCAGCGTCAACCTGCAGGTCTTGATTGACCAGCACCACTTGGCCGATGCCATCAACCAAAACATCGCCCGTCATGCCAAGCTGTGTCCGTCAAAACCCGGCAGCAGCGGTAGCGGCGGTAGCAGCCCCAAGGCCAAAGCCAAAGCGGATCCCATGATAGACATGGCGCTCACTGAGACTGTCAAACTGCTGTTCAACGTCACACACTTCTGCACAGGTCGGGCGGACGCGTTTACGCCGTCCATCGCACCAATTGTAACCTTGATTTGCAAACACGATACACCGCAGCCGAAGCCCCTCGATCCGCCGCTGGGTTCCGTGGTCAACGCTCTTTTGACGCTGAACCTGTCCAGCGAGAAGGGACTTGCATCTCTGTTCCCCAAGAGCGAGCCTGCGGCGCTCACGGAGCGGCTCATTCAACTTTTGGACCTGTCGCTGCGCAAATATGCCGACACGGAGCTGGACACTGCAGTGCTGCCATTGGTGTCCGCGTTACGCAAGATCTATGAGCTGGCGCCCGTGGGGACCGTTCGGTCGACCATGCACGCCAAACTGCTCCCTACCGAGGCCGACCGCAAAAAGGTGCTCGGGCGCGGCAACAGCCTGCCTTCGTTGATTCTCAAGCATACAACGAACGCCTTGGCGCCAGAGCTCCGCAATGCGGTCTCGCACATGCTCTTTGAGCTCTCAGACAAGGATGCGACCAAGTTTGTGCAGAACGTTGGTTACGGCTTTGCCTCGGGTTTCCTGTTCCAGAACAACGTGCCCATTCCCGAGGGCGCAACTGACACGTTCCGTGCCGCAGCTGCTGCGGAAGGAGGCAGTGGACGTGCAATCAATGCTGTGACAGGCCAATTTGTCGACGAGGAGATGGCCCCCAACGAGCCCGAGATGACAGACGAAGAAAAGGAGCGCGAGGCCGAGCGCCTGTTTGTACTCTTTGAAAGGTATGCCGTAATTACAAGCTTTAATAATAAATGGGAATACTTGGCTAACTGGCGGTGTTCCAGATTGAGAAAAACGGGTATCGTTAATGTCGAAAACCCTGTCGCAACAGCTGCACGAGAGGGCCGCCTCGGCAACGACAAGATTGATGGCAAAGACCGAGTAGAGGAGCTGGACGACTAGCCTGCCTGTCTCGATCCGACTTCCGCTATCCGCCTTATTATCATCCGTGCTTCGTTTCAGAGGCGCTCTATTCCTATTTCCTTGATGACTTCATTTGCGACTCGCCCCAGCCTTTTTACAACTTGCATTGGCGTTTTGATCTGTTGTGTTGATTTACGTGCTTTTAAAGCCTTCCTTTTCGATCCTGTCTCATTCGGGTTCACTTGTCAATTTTTTTAATCTTTGTCTCCAATATCCTTTCTCCTTTGTGTCTTGGGAAACCAAAGTCGGCATGGTCTCTGATCTTGTGGGGTGACGCCGACACGACTGGTAGAATGTAATGAGCATGAAGTGAAACGGCAATGACGGTTCATACATTAGACACGGGAGTATACTAGTCGAAGATGGAAGTAGAATATATGGCAAGAATCGTGGAGAATCATGGAGTGTATGTCGAAATGTTGTGGCCTTGTCTTATGTGTGACCTATCACGTGCTACGTCGTTGGTTGTTGCGACGCCTTCGTTTCCATGCTGAGATTCCAGGAGGCTGCACCAGCTGGTAGGCGGCACGTGTCGGCCCTAACAACGGCCCAAGACGAGCCTGCGCGCGACTGGACCTTCCTTGTGTCTCGAGAAACGGCACCGTAGAGACAAACTCCCTTCCACTAATCTTACCTTCCCATTTACTCGTCTATTTTCTTTTTCCTCCGCATCGTCTCATTTCCCGACGCCACGATACTGCCACCCATTCTTTCACCTTGTTTTCGGTTACGCGGTCGCTTTCAAGATACGCACCCATTGTTCGTCGGGCCTACGTCTGTCGCGCCCCGCTCCTTTGCCCGCGTTGCCGTCTCGCACTGGCGCATCCACCAAGTCGCGTCACATTGACGTCGAGACGTAACGATACGGCGACAGGATTGTGGCAACCCACGCGCTTCCTCTTCATACCGAGTCTCTCCTTTTCTTCAATCGCATCGCATTCCCAATGGATTCCCTCTTCTCGTCATCCACCAACCTGTTCTTTGGGCGCTCAACGTCCTCGATTGAGCCGCCGGTTCCAGTAACGTCAGAGTAGGTAGCGCATGCGTTGTTCACATCCTGCTTTGTTTTTTGTTTTTTTGTGTTTTTTTTTGTGCCACCGCACGTTGTTTGCAGTTGCAACTTGTCGTGCAATGTGTTTTTATTGTGTCAGGTCGTACATTTAGAGTTTGCGACAGCAAAGGAGCGCGCTTTGTGGTATCCAGTGCGAAAATATCGAATTGCGCGCGACTCTCTTTGCGACGCATCTGACATGTCTAATTTTCTTTATCATTGTCGTCGCGCGTTACACTGGCAACATCCCGGCCCTGTCCATGGCAAAGATCGGATGGCGGCGTTGTTGTTGCTCTTCGGCAGTCGAAATGTGGTCATAGGGGCATTGTGGTGACTTTCATGTCAAGAGGAGGAAATCGCAAAAATTCACGTCGACAAAACGCGCTATCTCACGTCGTACAACGATTTTGGGGTCATTTCATCCTGTTCTTACCTAAATTCACCTTAACCGTTCATTTTCCTTCCAAACTGACATTCACCCTTACCCTGCAGAACAAGCATCATGCCTCCCGCGGTGGAACGCGTCAGTGGCCCGACGCAAGTCGCTGGCCCTGCACAGTCGGGCAACGCGACACCGACGATCGTGCGTCTGTCGGCGGACGACGAGGCTGACAACAACATTGATGATGAGACAGCCGCCGCAGCTAGCCTGGTTGTCAGCGACATTCTGAAGGAGGCCACGAAGCCCAAGGCGGGCGCGGCCGCGAAGGTCAACGGCAAGACGCCAACGCCCACACCAGGGACAAAGGACGACGAGACCAAGGATGATGAGCCCGAACAGACCAGTGCATCGGGTCGTTCTGCGAGAAAACGCGCCCTGCGTGTTCCTCCGGCCGCTGCCACGGCCACCCCGTCCACCAAGTCTACGGCACACACACCTCGGGCTGGCACGGCGACCAAGCGCAAGGCAACAGATGACGCCGAGACACCAGCGTCCAAGCGTGGGCGGTCTGCACAGTCAGGACGACCTGCGTCCTCGGCAGCCAAATCTACGGCGGTCGAGGACAAAGAGAATGTGGAGAAGGAGGTTGACAATGACGACAAAGCCGCCACAAAAGCAACGCCGGCCAAGCGCGGCCGCCAGTCCCGTGCTTCGACGGGTGCTGCTACACCGGGCAAGAAAGCCGGCCGTCCTGCCAAGGCTGCTGGTGAAAAAGCGGCGCCCAAGCCGGCCTCCACGTTCCCGTCGGGTGCCCGCCGAGGCCGCCCGCCCGGCAGCAAGAATGCCACCTCTGGTGGCAGCCCAGTCAAGGCTCGTCCTCTAACAGGCCGTCAGGCAGCACTCAAGGCGCACAAGATTGCCACGGCTCCGCCGCCGCCCAAACGTTCGGCCGCCACTTCTGCGGCCTCGGCCACCGGCAAGAAGCGTGGACGCAAGCCCGGCGCAACAACCAAGACGACCAAGACGGCCAAGACGACCAAGACGGCCGCTTCCACGACGGGCAAAAAGCGTGGCCGCAAGCCCAAGGAGGAGGCGGCCGAATACGTGGTGGAGTCGATTGACGCGGACCGCGTCAATCCAGTGACATCAGTGATCGAGTACAATGTCAAGTGGGCCGGCTACTCGGCGAGCGAAAACACTTGGGAACCGCGGGCCAACCTGACCGGATGCGAAGCGCTGCTGAAGGCGTATGAGAAGGAGAAGAAGTAGGGCCGGCAAGAGAGCGTTGTCGTTATTACTGTGATTTTTGCTTGTTCGGCTTTCAAAGCTTTATGGGTGTATCTACGGGGTAATTTTATTACCAGTCCTAACAACAAGGGCAAGATTTCTACGGTATCTGGGCAAAGGGCCAGGAAATGGGGGAGTTGTATGAGAATTGGCTAGAGGTCTTGTAGGAAAGAATCGAGCGGATACCAAACAGTTGCTTTGCTTACTACATCTTCATCCGTCAATGCAAATTATCAATCGTCACTCGCATCATTATACAAAATACAATATAAACAGGCGCGCATGTCATCAGGTATTCAGTATGTCGCAATACACATTAGCCAATGAGCATCCTCGCATCGCGCCTAAGCCAGCCTTGCGCCATGGAAAGCACCCGCTTGCCCGTCTACAACTGACAAAACCGTCCTCTGCAATACAAAAATTGACAGCAATGGGCAGGCCAACAAGGGCGACGAGGTCACGACGGCGTCATACTGGCACTATCAGCTGGGTCAAAACGACGTTGCTATTTGTATGCGCCACGACAGCAACGGCTTACCAGGTTCCCAGTCCCGACCAACAGCCCCTTGTCGTGGACAGCAATGGCGCTGCATTTCATAGCGAGACCAACCTTGCCTCCATCTCCGGCGCACCCAAGGCTGCCACTGTTTCCAGTCCGTTTAACGATGCCTTTCGTGCGCTCGTCGCCGACACTCTGGCAGCGTGGCACGTGCCGGGCGTCGCCATCGCGGTGGTAGACGGCGACCTCACGTGGTCTGAGGGTTTCGGGACAGCCGTATATCCAGACAAGGCCGTGACGCCCGACACGCTGTTCTACACGGCCAGCACGACGAAGGCGTTCGTAGCGGCCGCACTGGCGCTCATGGTCGACAGCGGCAACTATTCCGTCGGGGACGGACAGCAGAAGCTCGACTGGACGACGCCACTGTCCACAATCTTGCCAGACGACTTTGTTGTCGGCAGCGAGTATGCGGGTCGCGGCCGCGACACGACGACCGACCGCGACCATGCCTGGGCCACGGCTCGTCTGACGGTCGAAGACGCCCTGGCACACCGCACAGGCCTCGCGGGACATGACCCGTCCCGGTCGCGGCGTTATGGTCTGGCTCCCGACAGCGCCGGCCGCAACGCAGCGGTGCTCGATGTCACGCGAAGTCTGCGATACTTGCCGCTGCACACGTCACCGCGGACCGAGTGGCGGTACTGCAACCTGATGTACCTGGTGCTGTCGCACGCGGTGGAGACGCTGGCGGGCGGCCAGTGGCTGGGAGACATTCTGCACGACTGGTTGTGGCAGCCATTGGGCATGTCGTCGACGTTTTTAAGCTTGGACGACGCGCGGGCGGCGCCCTGTGAAAATGTGCTCGCACAGGGATATTACTATGACACTGACAAGGACGAGTACGTGGGTGTCCCGCATATGCCGCTGGAGGAGGTGAGCGGCGCGGGCGGCATCATCTCGTCGGTCAACGACTACGCGCGGTGGTTGCGGTGCTGGATCGACGGGCCGGCGTTTTCGAGCAAAGGGAGCAACAGCAGCACGGCAGATGTCTGTGGGGGCATTCCGTTCCGGCGGTCTAGTCTCGACGCCGTGTTGGCACCAAAGATGTTCCTCGGAAAGAGCGCAGCCTCGCCGGCGCCATTTGATGCTCCCTTGGCGTATGCCAGTGCCTGGACAACAAGTTCCTACAAAGGACATCGGTTCTGGGGGCACTCGGGCGGCAGCAAGTAAGTACATGCATGTTCTCTGTCCGCTACATGCACTTGTGAACGCAGACGGACTAACAACCGTCAGTGCATTTGGCGCCGAGGTGTACTTCTTCCCGGACGACCGCTTCGGCGTTGTGCTCTTTGGCAACACGGCCACCACGTCCAACATGGCCGAGCTGATCCTGCTCTGGCACCTGGCAAGTGAGCGCTTTGGCATCCCGGCGGACGAGCGCTATGATTGGGATGGTCAGTTCCGTCGATCGGTGAAAGCACGCGTCGCGCGCATCGATGGTGCGCTGGACCGTCTCTACCCGGATCGAGCAGAGCCGCCTTTACAACCGTCGCTGCCTCTAGTCGACTATACAGGCACCTACCACCATCCCGCTTACCAGAACATGACAATCGAGTTGGCGGGCAAGGAGGGCGGGCACAAAATAAACAGCAGAAACAACTACGAGGTGGCGTTCATAGCCGAGCGCCACGACTACACGTGGCCGAAACTGTGCGAATTTGTGCACGTCTCAGGCGAGCATTGGCTTCTGTACACAGATATGTTGTACGAGCACAGCGGCAACTTCAAGAGCTACGGGCGCGCTTGGTTCGAGGTTGGCGCCGGTGGGCGGGCGCATACGCTCGTGGTCGAGTTCTGGAACGCCGACGACGACACCATCGAGGGTGTCATTCCGTTTTCGAGGGTGGACGACGGCGAGACTTGACGTAGAGGCTTCACGGTATAGGATAATCTCTTCGAAAACCTTTTATTGTTAGCTGGCGCAATCAATGATCAAAGAGTGATACAAGATCGACAATAACGTCGACCAGCTTCAACACAACCCAGTACATGTGCAAGCGCAATAATCAGACTGTTGAGCTTGATTTGTGTGTCTTGAGAATCAACATGGAGTTTGATTTCAGTTGGCCGTTCAAAGGTTTAATCATCATCTAGAGCGCCGCGCGCACTAGGTTGTGTTGTTGGCGCATTTAACGTGCAATGCATCATAGTACTCACAGATTGGGTCGTCTCCATTGATACTGTCGGCGTGCAGCCAACAATGGAGAGACGACATGGCTGGTGTTTTGTGTGCAATGGCGTGGAAGAAGAGGAAGAAAGGGACGAAAATCTGGAGCTGTCGATTTTTTACAATTTATATGGGCCACCAGACGGGCAGAAACGTCTACACCGCCTTGTGCTCAGACTCCACCCCGATCACACTGTTTGCATAGCAACAACAGTGGCCGTAGCTGCCTTCTCTGCGCTTCCCTTCCAGGCACCTCATCCACTAAAAATGACGGGCAGGTGCAACGTCCAACAAAAATGCCACCCAATGGGCTGATTGGCTTGAGTGGCCCAAGACAAGGCAGGAGCAACCCCACCTTTGCCAAGCGTAGCGCATTTTGCGCAACCCCGAACGGTAGCCCCGCTGGACAGCAGCGCGCCGTCGCTCCTGCCTTGTGTTTTCGACCTTACCCCCTCATCCAAGGCCTAAAGCTAGCTACCCTTTTTCACCCTTTTTCTTCGTCTCTCGTCTGCTTTCTCCTATTTTCTCCCGCCTCTTTTCATCGTCAAACGAAGCAAACCACACCTCACGACGCCCACGTTTTTTCTTTCTTGTCTTTGATACCCCTCCATACATCCGTCAAAATGGCGAACGGTAAGTACAGAGAAGGCGCATCGGAGGAGGGACGGACACTAGGAGAAGATGGAATGGTTGAAACGGAGATCGAGAAAACGAAGATGGGAAAGAAAACATTGCGCTCTCCTGCTCAGTCACATGCTGCCTCACGCGCGCTGTTTATCTGGCCGGTCCCTGTTCCTTACCTCTATTCATCGTCCGCCCGCATGCTAACGCTTGTCTCCGCAGATTTCCAGAATGTTGCGCGTATGTCCAGCCCTTCCTAGTTTCGGCTTATGTCCATCTCCAACTCCATGATATTCTATCGCGGTACCGCGATGACGCGAGCCGACCTCACGAATTCTTAATCCGACACTCGTCGTCACATGCACACACAGACGCACCTCGAACCGAGATACTAACCGTTGTTCTTTTCTTCCGCGCACAGAGCAGTTTGTTGCTTTCTACTACAACACCTTTGACACCGACCGCACGCAGCTGCAGAGCCTCTACGTAAGACTCTCCCGGCCATGAAGATGCAAAGAGGGCCAACGGAACCCCAGCGCCACCTCTGGACGGTCACCTTTGCCCAGCGTGATTGGATGGTTCAGAGGCGACGGGCAGACGAACGACAACGAACGTGGCAGAGAAGCTGCCTTTGGGCATGCATTGGGCCCCGATAGAGTTGACACACATGCTAACCAATCGCCGAAACCAGCGCGACAACTCCATGCTGACGTTCGAGTCGTCCTCAGTCCTCGGTGCCGCCGCCATTGTCGAGAAGCTCAAGGTGAGTCGAGGACAACATACTATGCAGCTGCACTGGCACTTGCTAAAGCCGTTCCCAGAACCTCCCTTTCCAGCGTGTCAAGCACGTCACGTCCACCCTCGACCCCCAGCCCACCGTTGGCGACGGCGTCATTGTCCTCGTCACTGGCCAGCTGCAGGTCGACGACGAGGAGCGCCCCATGAACTTCACCCAGGTCTTTCACCTGGCCAAGGACGGCGCCAACTACTTTGTGTACAACGACGTCTTTAAGCTGATCTTTGGTTAAGCGAAAGGGACGAGCGGTTGGCTGTACAGGAGAAGTGTCTGATTGGTAGACATATATATGCTTCACTGTTGGGAAACTGGCATTAAATATTTTTCATTCACCGACATTGCGAAATTCAATACAAAATACACTTGCATATCACAATGCTGGCAAGAAGATGAACAACGTGTGCTTCGTGAAATGGTAACATGAAAAAATAGCAGCTAAAACGAAGCGAAACAATGGACCAAAACGCCTTTCCTGAAATGTGTGTATGTACAAGGGCACGTCATACAAATAACGTCCTCACTCTGCCATTTACCTCACACCTCGTCACCGTCGTCAATAAGAACATTGCGGATCCGCACCCCCTGGCTCTCTACGCTGTATCGCCGCGTCAGACCAAACTGCCGCGCCCCGGCCAGCTGTCGGTACGCCTCCTCGCCACCACCCACCATGACCATCGCCAACGGCTGCCACCGCACCAGTCCGCTTGGCGTCCGCTGCGTCTCGTCCAGTAGCGGTCGTACAAAGTCTTGCGGGTCGTCATGGAACGTCATGGGCGACAGTGGGCCGCCGGGACCGCTGCTGCCGACGCGCACGTCGTCATCGTCGCTCACGACCACGACCAGCTGCAGCCGCCGGGGGCTCGCCGCAAACGACGGGATGTTGGCGAGCTTATCGGAAAAGGTGCAGCCGCCACGGCGCAAAACGAGCACTTGGTGGTCGCGCACGGCCGTTTCGGGCAGGGGCGCATCACATGCTTGGCCACCGGCGTAGACAGAGCGCCACGGCAGCAGATCCAGCGACACGGGACCCGATGCGGGGAGGACGGCGCCGGCAGGGATGTCAATGGACGGCAACGACGCGGCACCGATGCCCGTGGGCGTGACACCGGTCGAGTTCAGGACGACATTAAGGGGCGGTCCAGTTGACCGTCGGCGGCCAGCCCCGCCGCTTTTGTTGCAGAAGGATGCGTGGTGGAGCGGATGTCGCCGCTGGCCCATGGCCGATCCGGGCACGGGCGTGGCATGGGCCGGTCCGTCGAGCGACGACACGATCTGGCGCCAAAAGGACTTGACGAGCGTCGTCAGCCCCGATGTGCTCGCGCACGATCGATCGTCTGCGGTTTGGCCATCCTCGATCGCGTCACGATTGTCGTGGTGGGGAGCGCCATGGCTGTGATCGTTGGTCTCACGTTCGTCTGTGCCATCCTCAGTGTCTGCGTTGCTGCTGTCGTCGAGGAGCACCACAACTGGGCCGTCCGGTTCGCCCTCCTGTGGCGAGCTCATCCACACCGCGTGGTGGAGGTGATGCAGCTTGGCTATGGTGGGGTCGCGCACCAAATTGAAGCGCGCATCCGAAATGTGGCTGACCAGCGCACGGTCGAGCAAGAGCCGCTCGTCGCGGCCCAGAGGTACACCGTTGACGCGTGTCACTCGCCACGACCTTTCGCCATTCTCTTCTTCTAATCGGAAGATCAGCTTCAAGCCCGATATGCTATTGACGCGGATCTTGTCGGGTGCGACACGGTTCAGCAGATTGGCGGCGGACAGCAGGTTGCCGTGGATGCCGTTGCCGTTGCCCTGTCCCGCAACGGCGGCCTCGGGCGGCTGTGCCGAGAACTCGAGGCTCATCTCGGTTGGTTGCTGCACCTTGGATGAGGTCCCATTGGTAGGGAGCATGGCCTCCGGGAGCGTCCAAGGAAAGAAGGAGGACGCATGTCGGCTCGGACGTCCGTTGGCACTGGTGCTGGCATTGCCTTCGGCGCCTTTTGCTGGCATCAAGTGCAACTCAAGCATCTTGGCCGCATGGTAGATGTTTCTGCGTGCCGTCACAGCAGACCCTGTAAAGAGATCGGGGTGTGGCGGCAGGGGGCATACATTGGTAAAGCCGTCGTTGTCGTACCAGCCCAGATCGCCGGCGTCAGTTGTATCCGGCTCCGGTTGACCAGGAATGCCGGAGCGCGTGGGCTCGGGCTCTTTAGTCTCCTTGGTGCTTGTGATTTTCGGTTCTTTCGTTTTCTTTGTTCCTTTCGCAGCATTCTTAGTAGCCGTCTTATCCTTCTTTGCGTTCTTCCTTCTCACACTTTCGCTTTTCAAGCTGTCTTGCGCGCGCCGGCGCTTGGGTATAATAAGGGGGTGGCCCTCGGTCGTAAACACATAGGCCGCGTCGAGCGAGTTCAGCGGGTGGCGGTCGTCGTACAGCAAGTACATGTACTTGGCAGTCTCGCCCAAAAAGAAACTTTCCATGCGGTCCGACATCTCGCCGCTCATCACATTCTGCAGGCCGGCCCAGCCGCACTCGGTCCAGCAGCGCCGCGTAATGTCGCGCTGCACCATCTCGCCCACGTACAGGTACCACGGGTCCTTGGTCGCTCGATAGATGTGGTACACAGACTCGATAAACTCGGGCCGCAGCGGCCACCATCCCAGGCCGCCCTCGACCGTGCGGTCCCTGACGGACCAGCGCTCCGGCAGCGCCGCATACTTGGCCCACACAGCCGTGTACAGTAGGTTCGTCTCGATGGCTTCCTCCAACTCGCCGGCCAGTGTCAGGAGGCCTGAGTAGTAGGCGCCCAGGCTGTCAATCCACTGCGCAGCCAGAGAACCAGTCCATAGATTGACGTTGACATAGTGAGGGTGCTCACGGTCGCTATACAGGTGGCGCTTTATGGCTGCATGCGCCAGGTGCCAAGCATCCAAAAACGACTCGGGCGCGTTCTCCGCGTCGCTCAGCACGGGGAAGATGGCGTTGGGGTCGTGCCACGCGAGCGCAGTCTCAGCCCCGGTCGTGACGTCCTGTATCCAGACGGGAACGCGGTGGTGAGCCGGCGGGCGTGCAGCCAGTGTGCGGTTGGGCAGGTCGTGGCCCGACAACAGGATGTGCGTCTTAAGGGCATACTCAAAGAAGCTGTCGGCGCCCGCACCAATCACCGAGTAGGCACCGATCCACCCACCCTGCTCGGCATCGACGCCTGCGCCGATGAGGCCAATGTCGCTGCGACGGTACCAAACGGCCCAAAAGGCGCGTTTGGCCAGTTGCTCGAAGCGCAGGTCACCCGTAAGCCGGCTCAGCACCGTGAATTCGAGCACCAGACTGCCAGCTCCGGCGCTGCAGGTCTCCGTGATCTCGACCGGGCCACTCGCCCTCTGTCGTGCTGACCCGCCGCTGCCATCATTGCCCGTGCTGTCGCCATGCAACGGTGAGTTGACGTAAAAGGGAATGCCGTGGCGCAAGTTGACGCGCGGGTAGGGCATCCCCGTGGGCGTATAAAAGGCGGGTAAGAGGCGAGTGGCCAAGTCGAGGGCCAGGCGCAGCAGCTGGCCGTCGTAGACAAAATTGTTTGGCCACGGGATGGGCGTCTGCCGTTCGCTTGGATGCGCTGGTGCTGGCGGCGGCACGTACCCCGTAATGGGCAGCTCGCCCACGGCAAAGAGGTGGGCACTCAGCAGACCGCCGACGCCGCGGATGACCGTCTCAAACACCTGCACCTTGCTGTCCATGTCAAACCCCCGTCCGCGGAGGCCGGCGCCCGAGGGCCCCGGCCGTCCATCACCGTACTGTTGAACCAGTGCCGCAACACCGTCCTGGAAGTCTCGGAGCGCTTTTGCACCAGCATCGCCGTCTTCGGGGGGTGCCGATGCCAGGATGGCCAGTGTCGACAGACTGTCGATGAGGGTGAGGGAGTAGTTTCCGAGGACGTCGTTAAGTTCCACGTTGCGCGGATTGAGGTTGTCTCTCGTCAAGGGCACGCAGGAAACAGGTCGCAGCTGGTAAGAGAGGGTTTCAGTCAGTCACATGGTAGTCAATCTACACTCCTAGGGCCTGCACAAACCTCATCTTCGGGAAAGGCAATGTGCATATAGTTGTCGAAGCCGTGGTAGAACATGTCGACTGTTGCACGCCGCAGCTCCGCCATGCGGTCGGGTCCCATCATGGCCCGCGCGAACGGCAGCCATGCACATGCCAGAAGCAGGAGCAATATTGGCAGCAGAAACGACGCCGTCCGCGAGCGCACGTGTCCGCCTACGGCCGCCGCAGCCATTGGCCGCCGGTCGATGCCTCCGAGTCCAGACATCACCAACAAAGGCAGTCCGATAAGGAGACCGGGGAATGCATAGGAGAAAATGTGTCGCTGCCAAAGCAGTGGAATAAAACGAAACGAAAGCTGCTCGTTGCTTGCAGCAATGAAAGGGGGGAAAGGTGGGCAAGGAAAGACGGGATGAAAGTTTGTAATCAACTTCCTCCTGCATCCACCTCACGTGGTATTATCGCAGGGCCTTGAAATGCTAAACTGTCCCGGAAATCAGGGATCGCGCACCTCCAACCAGAAATCGAACTAGGGACGGCAGGGGTATTTTGGGCAACGTCGCCTGGACTTGCGAGGCTCCTCTGCATAATAGATGTGGCTGATTCTGGCGAGGCTGAACTGTGGCGCAATATGTGTCACGTGATAAAATATCAACTGCGAGCATCTCTGAAGCCGCTGCCAGTTGCCCAGTATCCGACAGCAGCCGCTTGTCTTATTATGACTTTGCATCTGGAATTTTGGTAGTTTATATTCTATATACTCGCATGGTCTTGCCTGGTGGCTGCATACAAACACAGTCGGTGGTGCCACTCATCGAGGGTTAGTAACACAGCGATAACAATTCATTTTGGATGGTTATATGCGATCTTGACTTGTGATTGTATTTCATCGGACAAACGTATGTCGAACTTGTCTTTCATTGTAATTATATCACATCAATGAGATCTTTAATCTGCTTTCTGTCTTTATCTGACTCGTGTTTTGTTTTATTTGCATTATATTTTTATTTGCGTTATAATTATTAAATTTCGAGATTTATTAATGATGAGAAAACATATTTCTGGCTCACGATTCTTCGTCATTCATAAGCGGCGAACAAATATTGCGGTCCCGCTGCTCGTTGCTCCCCGTTAAACGTCCAATGAAACACAATTTCCTACCTACCAGTATGACACTTCCTCCTGTCAACTTTTGTGAAAATTGTGTC